GGGTTAACAACTGTGCATTTAGGTTTCAAAGAGCCCTTGTCGTTGACCATCGGATAACATGGGGAATAATAATTGACCTACGGGTTCGGAAGATAGTAGAGTTAGTGCATGGACAAACACAAATTGGAAAATCTCTACGGGGGCCAAAAGAAAGCCCTATAGATTAGCCCCATGTGACTCGGCATCCCACTTGGACCGAAGGATTCACACCCCACACTGCAGATCTGGTTCCTCTGGAACCATCTTCCAAATCGGGAACCAGTACCCGCCAAGACCTTGGATTCCGGCCCCGTTGCAGATATCCTCGGAACTTTCGCTCGTTTGAATTCCAGAGGGTTCACCTTGGCTCGGTGCGCTCGTAAACAGCATACGGCCGTTCTTCCATTGCATCGCTGTAGCTAACCGAACAATCCGCCTGTCACCCCCAACTTGCATCACTCATCGCAGTTAGGTTTCATCCGTATACAACCCGCCAGAGTACAATTGAAAAACTGCCTTTAAAGCCTGTCATATCGATGATAATTGCCATAGGGTACTATTCAACCACATTCCACCTGTCTCTTCTTATATACATCTTCCCAGAAGCGCGCTCGCCCAGTTCAAGCCTAAGGTGCTGTACATCGATGGCCCCGCGAGAGGTAGACATACTCCCATAGGACTGCGCAAGACAATATTCCCTGCTAGTGCAGGTGTTGAATAGATCTCATAGGAGCGTGCCCTGTCGTCACTGGAGTAGATAAAGACGCAGGCGCTCCCCATACCGAAGGGAACTCCAGCAAGAGTAGGGGTAAACCAGTGAACATCTGGGGTACACGTCCATGCAAACCATAATTGACCACTGGCTAGAACAGCTGCACCAAATCCAACAATGCTATAGCCGCGGGAGGAATTTCGAGGAATTTCACCCGTTGCTGGATCTCGGCGATGAAGATTTATCATTCTACGGAACACAGACTCTAGTTCAATCGCGATCAGGATACTGATGGCAATTCCAAGAAAGGAAAGAGCATCGACCCCATTGGATTGATATTATGGTTGAGGAACGACTTGAATCACTTTTTGGTTAGTGAGGGGCACTATTTTGAATCGAACTTGTGTGCAAAATTAATCGGTATCAGTGGGCCATTGTCTAATTAAATGCTATACTATAGTATAGTAATCTATATATATTGAGTGTATTTATATGGAAATTTAGAATTCGTATATATTTAGTATATGTCACGGAGTCCAGGATGACTCCGCATGATGACATTCTGTGAATGATGGTTGTCCCATGGGTAATTTAACAATTAGAACTCCATTCTGACCGAGCTCAAGATTTTCTGTAGGCTAATATTGGCTCACACCTTAGGATTAGTGGGACTTTGTTTTGGCATGCTTGCTGAGGTGATGTGGAATGTGTTTCTGCACCTTTCGTACTCCTCCTTCCTTAGCCAGTGGCGTTCGGTTCTTTTCTCCTCCGTGGCTTGAAGCCGAAAGTTGGGTGCCGGTTCCAGTCCAAGGTTTCCCGCTTCCATACTCCGGACCGTACACTAGTTACCAGTAGTCCATGAATAAACTAATCAGCCCCACCCGGCATCCCACATATCCTCTGTCGATGACCCGAGGATCATCCATCGGCGGTTCTGTGACCTCATAAGCTTCCGGATGCTCCCTTCGGAGCTTGCGAAGGACAACTAGTCTCCAAGGGCAGAGAACTTGCCACGTCTTGGCGGCCTGAGTAACCAAACGCGGCAAGCTACTATTCAACGGATTGGTAATACGGTCGTGTCCGTCGTGCACCGCGATGGCGAATAGTATGAGAATCCTACTAGTATATAAGATGGTTGGCTCGTCTCTCTGTCAATTCTTATGAGAGCAAGATTTCCTGTTTCTTTATTTTTCATTCCAGCTCCTTTCATCTCGTGTCCTAGACCCCGCAATGAAGTTTCTGCCCGTTTATCCTTTGGCCTTGAGCGCGGCGCTGGTGGCTGCCTCTCCGGCGGCCGTCAACAACAGCGCCTCGGGGGCTGCTGCGTCGGCTATCAATTTCGGTATCACACATATCATCAATGCCGCGTCCGTCTTCGACATCAACGGTGTGACGTTCCTCATTGATCCCTTCTTTTCGCCCCAGAACACGAGCTTTCCTGTCCCTGGCCTCAGCAAAGCGATCTGGTCCTTGCTCGAGCCGGCTCTGACGCCCGAACAAATTCCTCCTATCGATGCCGTCCTGCTCAGCCATGAAGACCATCCGGACAATCTCGACCCGATTGCCCGGATGAGGTTCCTTGACGGTCGTAAGGTCCTCACGACACCGGCTGGAACGGATGCGCTGCAACCTCGGCCAGGCGTGCAGGCCATGGAGAACTGGAAGACGGTCAGCCTGGAATTGAATGGCCAGGTATGGAACTTCACTGGAACCCCATGCCAGCACATGCCCGGCGGGCAGGTGACGGGCTTTATTATTACCGGCCCGGGCTTTGGAAGCACGGACGGCCGCCCCAATGCCATCTGGTACTCCGGAGATACGCTGTACCTGCCTGAGTTGGCACGCATGCGCGAACAATTTCACATTAAAGTGGCCGTCTTGAATATGGGCGCGGCCTACTTGATCTCGGATGTCGGCGAGCCGTACCGGATTATCATGAACGGAACAGAAGTGGCGCGGACCTTCCAAGACGTCGGAGCAGAGATCCTGGTACCACTGCATTATGACTCGTTCAGCCACTTCCCGGAGGGCAAAGACGATGCCCGGCGTGATTTTGAATCATCCGGTGTTGCGGACCACGTTCGCTGGGTTACGTCCGGTCAGCGGACTACGATCCTCTAGCATTCCCCCCCCCCCCTCTCGCCTTTCATGATAAAGACAAGACCAGACCTTGCGGACTGCCGTGGATGGGATCGGATTTCTGGGAGAGGAGGAAACGGGGGCTGCCGGAAGTAAACACATTGGAGCCGCGATTGCACGAAAAGAGCTGGAGAGTTCGATGTTCGTCGGTCGGTCTCCGCCAGCTGTTTCATGATTGACTTCATTTCACCCGCCGGTCGAATGACTCTGGCGCCCGGGTGGTTGCGTGAGGAATGGGGCTATGAAAGGGAACTTCCATGTATTTATTCAGTTGTACTCGTACCAACACATGAATCGTCCTCGGTATCATATGACGTGAGACTCCAACTCAATGATCCTGTAGTCGTAGTAGGGAGGGAGATTTAAATCGGTTTCTGTCCCGGAGTCCTGGGAGCTAAATCCAGATCCGTCAATTTAGGGATGATGATCAAACGGGTGGGTCTTGTCGAGCCTTGCGCGAGCTTGCATGGGAAATGCTCACCGCCAAGGCGGACCCCGTGGCGTGGCCAATTGAACTTGGGACCTTGGACGCCCCCGCGATCGTCTTCTCGTCATCACCCGCCTCTTCTCTGTGACTTGCCTCCTCCTCTCCAAGCCAAGTGTTGAACAGTGTCATTGCCTCCAGGACAATGAAATTCAAAAGCCAAGCGGTTTGTCAACCTTGCCGGGATCGTAAAATCGGAGTACGTCACCTTTCCTGCTTGTGTTTTCTTTTTTCCCTTTTTTCTTCTCTTTTCTTTTCTTTTTTTTTTTTTTATTTTATTTTATTTTTGTTTCTCCACCCACTCCAAGCCGGGTACGTGGACGCTGGTGATAGTGAACTAACTAAACAGACTAGTGTGACGGGAAACGCCCTGCCTGTACGCAGTGCCTCCATTTTCGAGAAGCATGCCCAGGGTATCAGCAGCAACATGTCATCTTTGTCCACCAAGCCCCGGGAGCCACCCGCAATAACACCGATCTACACCAGCGTCGACGGGGCATCCGACCGGCTCCACGGGGAGTGAGCAGCGCGACGGGAAATGTCTTGCTGAATTTCACGAAATTCAGATGGTCGACAGCGGAAGAGTTGCTGGCGGTGGCCATTGACCATTTCATCCCCGGGCTCAAGGTGCCGGTGTCCCTCTCGGAGCTGTATACATCGCAATCGCTGGTCTGCGCTTCCTGGTTGGACGCGCTTCCCCATTTGATTAATGAAGAACGATACGGATCTCTTCTCCTTCAGACAGTGAGAACCCTAGGACTTTCGATTCTCTGTAAAGAGCAGGCAAAAAAAGAGTGTGACTCCCAGCGTCTCCGATGCTACTGTTCTGCGATCCATCAGCTGCGAAGCCGACTGCTTCTCAGTGATGATCACTGTCGCGAGCAAACTGTCGCAGCGATCATGTCTTTGACACTTGCAGAGGTACGCCGAGAGCAAACGCGAATTCAGCCGGCTACTGTGGATTCACTAATGACATTGGTCTTTCGTTCCCCAGCTGGTGATGCCAACCTCCCAGAAAGGCTGGATAGCCCATGTCAGAGCAGTGGGTGAAATAATGCGAATCATTGGTCCAGATCAGTTTACTGTCTCGACTGCTCACCGACTATTTGTTGGCTTCCGTCCTATTATTGTATGTCGAAACAGAAAGACCCAAGAATGTGGGACAGCAAGATAACACGATTGCAGCTGATCGAAGCTATCCTCTCGCGTACACCTACCTTTTTGGAGCTCAATGAGTGGCAAAGTGTTCCGTTTCAGAAGCACTTCCCGTCTCCTATGCAACAGCTGTTAAGCTGTGCCGCTGTTCTTCCGTCATTACTGCAGCAAACGGACTCAGTAAAACAGGTCCCCCCACAGAATAGCGTCGCTGAAAGGCGGGAAGTCGCACTGGCACTAACTAAAATCCTCATGAATCTTCAACAATGGGAACTGTCATATAAAAACTCTTTTCGAGAACCTCTGTACTGGCCCAAGTCAAAGGGCGCAACTTCGGGCGACACGTCCATACAGTCGTTCTGGTTTCCCAATGCCCTCACGGCTACCGCTCTCATTCATTCCTGGGCCTTTCAGATTATTTGTCGTGCGCAAATCGACCAACTGGAAGGATTGAACAGAGTCCCTCGAGGCTTTGGAGACCTCGATACCGGTTCCACCTTTCAGATATTAGAGGGGCCCGTTGACTTCTCTATCAGAATTTGCCAAAGTATGGACTACTTCTTGGACGACCAGATGAAGATATATGGCCCTGCCGCCGCTATATTTCCCTTTCAGATTGCGTACGAGACCTTGCTTTTGTATTTACGCCCGTATTCCAACCAGGTGAAAGTGTGCAAAGCCATAATTGTTCGCTTCTCGCAAAAGGGGTTCGATGTCAAGCCGTCTGCATCACAGGTCCGTTCTACGACATAACAGCCACAGGTACCCTTGGACAGAGACATAGATTGACTTTCCCTAGTAATCCCCAGCCGGTGACATACTGCTAGCAACACATTCTTATATTCTGCTGTCACGGGCTTGCCCTTTCCCAATCATAATGCAGCATAGATGGAGGGAAATCGCACTTGGTCAATGTACGGTCGGTCTGTCATGGACGCGCGCAGGACTCCCGTCATTACCACGTATATTCTAGCCTTGGCAGGTTCTGACTCCAACAGCTTGCGTGGCTCTCACGCATGACAGGGATTGCAATGTGGGGTCATAGAGTGGACAGTTTTTGTTCATAACCTGATCGTGATACTATCGGTGGACGGTTCCACCACGGGTTGATTCCAGTGCGTGCAGACACCTGAAAATGCCCCATACGTTGCGTCGGACGGCGGAACGTCTCCATGGACCCAGATTGCATCCTGCTGGCAAGCATAATACTACGCAGAGGCGAAAGCTCATTGATTATATTGTTGAGCAAGGCTCACGTTGCTATTGTTTCCCGGCTGAGTTGCGCTGAAGGAATATGACAGCGGGATAACGGAATTATATATCTCTCTTCTGAACTGCTGTCGACGTGGCAACTCACAGCTTGCGTGCCGAAGCGCCAGGTGGTTTCGGCCACTATCGACGGTAATGCCCAATGATAGCACTCCCCTGGGTGGCCATTGTGTGCTTCTAGACCACCACGTAAACATCAATACAGAAGAACCAGCAGAAACTTCTAGACGGATTGCTTTCTCGGCAGTAGAAGAAGATAGCTTGTCTTTGCGATCCCCTCAGGAACTTGTGGGTTGTTGGTCTCTCCACGGTTTAGAGAACCTATGTGAGTAATGGTAGAAAGCGAGTGAGAATTACTCCCGGATCACTCAGGGGGGAAGCCAGAGCAATCCGGGAGCGACCCCAACTGCCGGTGCGTGCTCACTGAGCAATCAGCAAGTGGCCGGGACTGCACGTGCTGCCCACCAAACATTTCACTCATACTATTCCAGTCCAAAACTGCCGATCCCGCGACTCAGCCAGCCTCCATTCTTTTCGATGTGTAGGCCTTACTCGCGGACTCTTAACTTTGCCATTGGCCAGAGGGGTTTAAATCTGCAACTGAGGGCAATTCCTTCTATGTAATGCAATCCACGGGGTGTTCACCCTATATCAACGACAGAGGTGATGACTTTCACTAAATATCTTCTGAAAATGGTTTAGAATACTGTTTATCAATAGTACTTTGTTATATATTGGTGTAGTATTTTTCTTTTGTGCCCCTCGCTGCTTTCCAGTAATCAAATTTAGAGGATAAATTTTATATAAAATTATTAATATTACTGTAAGAGATATTGCCAGGGCCCAATATTCCACAAGACTAAAAGGTCATAATTCGGGATCAACGATTCCGAATGCCCTGGGGTCACATATAGTATACCGCCGTTACAATTACTCTACTAATTTTTTTCTTAAATTAAAATTAGTAACTAAATTTACTAGAAGAAAACTAGAAAATATTAAAGCAAGCTTATCTTTTTTAAAAAAAATCAACTAAAAAAAAAAGAAACTATATTAAAAATAATAATAATAGTAATTATAGTATAAAAGATTTCTGGAGAAATAAAAATAGTATAAAATCTTCTTTTTTGTAACAGTGGATGACTCAACCCGCTGCCTCAGGCAACAATACCCCGCCGAGGCGCCGGGGCCCACAACACTACATATATTAGAATCGCGCAGAGGATTCAGATCCTTAAGCGATTCGTTCTGTTCTACTTTACATACAATCTTTCTAGTAATCGGAACACGAGATAACTTCTCCGTACTACCTATCCTGAAGCCCGTTGGCCTAACTAGGCTCTGACGGCGTAGCGCTAGCCTGATTACGTACGCCAAAGGTGCCCTTACATTTTTACAAAAATAATAGTTAACTCTAGGACTATACTCTGTAGAATTTTTTAAATAATATTTTTTTAATATAGAGATTATTTATTTTAGTAAATAAAAAAAATAAAAAAGAAATTTAGAATTTGAGAAATATAAAATAAATATAACAGTAGATGACTCAGCTTACTGTCTTAGATAATAATACCTCACTGTAACTAAGCAAAGTATTCAGGTTCTGTCAATACTTAAGCTATACTATATAGATAGTTTTAGATTATATAAAATATTTTAATTTTCAAATAATTTATTCTACACTTCCCGAGCTAGGGTCGCCCGGGTCGGGTTTCTTATATAATAATCTATATCTAACTAACTAACTATGATCTATCTCAAACTTCCTTGCTTCCTTCCTTTCCTGGCAGTATACATAAAATTAGGGCTAATATTATCTACCACTATAGCGGCTATTCAAGTACTAGTACTAGTCCCGAGTCCTTTTCTTTGTTGCTGCCTACGTAAACAAAGAATGTTTGCTAGGATTATAATAGCCATCTATCCAATAAGATGGTATACTAAAGTTGGGGGTTGATGGACCCTGTCACCCTGCTCAGAGTAGTATCCGATTATGTGTCGGCTGAAATATAGTATATACCCTTCTTGTCCCGTTCCCCTCCCATTAAAAATTGTCTCGATTTCTCACAGCACTCACCAACCTACCTTCGCTTTACATCTTCAAGTAATTTCCTGCACATTTGCAACCCCTGTGATGGCTATCACACTGGACGGCGGCATTGCCCTCGTCACGGGCGTACGTTTACTCTTGTCTTCCCGAGCGTCAATCATGACCTCCTCTAACAAGATATATGGCAGGCTGCCTCAGGAATCGGGAAGGAGACAGTCTTTGCCCTCGCCCAAGCCGGTGTAGAAGGCATCATTCTTGCCGATCTGAACCATAGCGGCTCTGAATCAGTCGCTAAGGAGAGCCAAAAATGGGCCACTTATCCTGAGTTTCGCGCGACAACAGTCCAGGTGGACGTTTCTGATGAGGCCGCCGTGAACAACATGGTTGACGCAGCAATCAAAGAATTTGGCAGAATTGACTATTGCGTACACTCAGCGGGGGTAAGTCAGAAGAACCGAAGGGAGCGACAATCTTCGCCCATGGAGACTGACACTGCTGAACCTTCCAGATTGGTAGTATTTCCGGGGCGACAACCGAGCATCTCAAGGTCGATGTCTATGACCAGACAATGACGGTCAATGCTAGAGGCACAATGTTGGTTTTGCGAGCTGTCTCAGCCGCGATGGCCAAACAGGAGCCTCGCATGCACCAGAGTGCCCGTCACGGTACTTCGCGCAGCCTTGGCCGTGGCTCTATTGTTGTGGTTAGCTCTGTGAATGGCACCATGGTTGCGCCTGGGATGCTGTCATATGCAGCTTCCAAGCACGCTGTAGCAGGAATAGCCAAAACAGCAGGTAAGAGGACCAGCAAAAAGCCCTCCCCAATTTCCAAGATTGTTAGTGCTGATGTCCTGGTTCTCACCCTATTAGCAATGGACAACATCAAGAACCACATCCGAGTTAATATCGTTGCCCCCTTTTACACCGACACACCAATGTTTGAAGCTAGCCTGAAGCGAGTCCCTGAACTGGGCGCTGCTATCAAGGCAATTACCCCATTGAAAAGAGCTGCAAACCCCGAGGAAGTTGCGGATCCGATCGTATTCCTGTGCAGTTCAGCGGCAAGTTACACGAATGGAGCCACGCTCATCATCGATAGTGGAATAACACTCACCATACCTCGGACCAGTTTGTGAAGCTTTCTCGGAAACGGTATGCTGCTGGTCTTATGATCTATTCTATTTCGCTCCGTTGATGTACAGGCAGAAGATAGCATTTTAGTTCAAACTACGAGTCAAATTCTGCACGTTTGAAGCCTTTATAGCTATCTTGTAAGCGTCGACTAGAAAGTGCCCTATACATTGCCCTATATAGACGCCAAAGGTGTCCAGCTAACTTCAGGTGGTCAAATGGAATGGTTTTTTATTCCACAGATATAGAAAATAGAATAACCACCAAATAGCAAGTAAGAGATAATACTTTGGCCTCGCTTGGTCCGGGGTAACACTGGATTCATTGGATATTTTGCGGATAATTGGGCCTAGTCTCACTCAATCAATATCTCTGTTAATCTCTCTGGTCTGTATCCGTGGACAAGACGCGAGCATGAAGTGTACTCCATATGGAGTGCGTAAATCCCTACTTAGGCTCAATAGTGAAAGCACTACTGTAGCTAGTATACTTGGATGTCAACCTGGTGAATTAAATCCAATCACACGAATCATTGGACATCAACTTCCATCTTCGCACACCCAACCTAATGGTCTAGGACTTGCATTACAATCCCAGTGGCCTACATAAACCCAGAAGCAATAGAGTACTGAAATTCATAGCTCGATACTATCTCTATTTATATGGATCGAGAGATATAATTAACAGGGATCGACTTTGGTACCATGGAAAAAGCTTCATCTTTCCTTAAATCGTCATACCTGTCTATTTAGCTACGCCATTAATTGGATGTATCAGGGTTTCTCAGTACCTTAGTAATAACCTCGCTAGTGTAATTTCTGTGCGAGAAAAAAAAATCATCATAAACCACTGGTGGTTTTGATTTTCACACAAAAGACCTTCCCCACACTTCTTATATCGGCTTTCTAAGTGTCAATTACTCAGGAGGAACACCTAAGCTATAGCCACCAAAAAGCTCAACTACAATGCATTCACAGTGGGGTGGATATGTATCGTCATCTCCGAATTGGACGCCGCACGAGGCCTACTAGACGAAGAGCAGGAGGACCTCCCACAAAAGCCAAAGAATACCATATCCTTTGTAGCGAGATCTACGAATCTTGCTATATCTCTTTGTCTTTTACTTTGTCCTCTATCCCAAAGAGAGTGGTCAAGTTACGGTTATTAGGCTAGTTATGAAAAATTCTTCGCCAGAAGCATTGGAAGGATTTAAGCGCACGTGGTATATCTTAGTTGGTGGTACTTTTACATGATGACATCGAGAAGGTAAGGAGTTCACAGAATGGCGGAACAATTTGCAGCTCTGTGACGACCGAGGACAAACTTCAAGTATATAAAGCCATAGCGACCCGGCTTTTTTGTAACTGGACATCAGTGCTACAGCTACAGTAGGAATTCTCATCCCTTGTGGTTCTCCTGTCGTCAATCTACATACGTCGCGCGTATTTGTACCGATACTCTCATCTGTGGTTCGTGGTCGGGGAGTGTGGAATGCCAATGCCAATGGAGGCCGCATCATGTCCACGATGTGGTGGAGGTAGCGGAGGACATACCCACGAACCGCTTCCTAGACATCCGTCCAGTTGATGGTATGGAGCGATTGTTCGTGCCTTTTTAGTGACACGAAGTACACTGATGGATCAGTGCTGACGAACAAGAAACAAAATTTGAGTGAATGGGTTTTACAGCCTACTAGGCCGGATGTTAGAACTTTACAGCAAGGCTTGCTCCAGGTAAATGTACACAATCTCCCCTCGCTCAAATTCCTCCCGGCAATGGAGACTCCGATAGGAGCAACGTACATGAGTCGTAGTATAATGTTGGAGCACCCCGGATGCAAGCTGCAACAGCATGACATTAATAACTATTACAGAGATCTCACTAGCCCCAAACCATCCACCATAGTTACTTAGACAATTAACTCAGCGCGACTCAATAGCATACCGGAATTCATCCACAAGAAGGGTAATGTTCTCCGTCACGTCCTTGTCCTTGCCAGCAGACTTGATACGAAAGAACAAGGCATCCACGAGATACAGATCGTCCAGGTCAACAGTCTGCAACGAGTTGGTATCGGTATACTGAACCGAAACATACTTCTGGCTAGCCAGAGTAGATCCGGTGATCTGAATATCACACGGAACCGTCTGTTTTTTGTTTCCATTCTTGACACTGCAGCCGAGTTTCACAGATTTCCCGTTGAATTTATCCTTGCCCCCGTCCACACTGACAAAGCCCCGGACATTGACGTCGGTGATGTTGGTCATGGGGTAGAACAAGAGCTTGTCTGCCTTGGTACTCTTGACGTTCGAGGCTTGCACGGAGTACCGGCCTACTTGCCAGTCGCCGTCGTATTTCAAGCCTTGGAAGGGGTTGGGCTTGAGGGGACCAAGGGCGCGATTATTGAACTACAGTACTTTAATTAGGTACAAGATAGATCTGTCACGATTGAAGCCTAAAAAGTTTCTTACCGGAACGTAATGGTCTTTCGTTGACTCGGTAGGAGCGGCAATAGCCACACCAGTCGCGACTGAAAGGAGAGAAAGGAATGACAGCTTCATGTTGACTTGAGTTAGGATAGAAGAACTTGATAGGAAAAGGGGGTGAGAATTAATGATTTGAGGTAGAGGAAATAATGGATGAATAACGAGAACCCATGGCGCCCTTTATACGACCGCCAGGGCTGAATAACCCCTCGAGGACAAGGGGCTAACTGAGAGGTGAAAGACCAATCGGCATTGCCAGCCGCAGGGACTGGCACCCAGATCTACAATTTATCTTATGGCTATTGTGCTATTAAGGTAAACTTAGTTTGAAAGGTCTATACTAAAGGAGAGTCAATCTCGGACGTGTTCGGCACCCCTGCATCCCCACAAATCAGATCGACAGATCAGATGATTTACATTCCGGACACGGGGAATTGCTTTCCTCTTGACATTTGGAAGGAAAAAAAGCAAAATTTGGCTATTGGGAATGTAGAAGATCTTGGACCGGATTGGAACAATATAGAATGACATCCTCCACCGAGCGAGGCAAGATTTATCCTTGTCTATCTATTTGATACAGGTATTAAGGCAGAAATCACCAATTATAATAGACTTGACCCCTCGATATGATAGCCTGGAGACAATTCGTCCAGACACCAGCATAGTCCCCCAAAATAGAGATCGCAGGCATCGCACTTGAGGTTTGCAGTCATACTTCTCGCGCGACATGATTTCGGATCTAGGGGGGGATTTACATGCACATTACAGAAAGGATCAACGCATTGCTGACAACCAGAATTGCTAAGAGATTTCAAGGAGTCACAGTTGGGATGAGCATACAGCCCCGGATGGTAAATTCAAAAACTACCACAGATAAATCAGAACCGGACCAGAATATCTGTTTGGAAATACTTGGAATATTTCTGAATCGTGCGGAGGTGAGTCCCTGTCAGGCTCGAGAACCTCCCCCCCGAGGGGCGGCGATCACCGTATGCTGGCACAAGAATGTTGACAATTACCGAAAGATTGGAGTAATTGAGTACTGTAGTATAACTCAAGCACCAAAATTTGGAGTGATCCCTAGCCACCCGATCATCATCCGCTGGGCCACCCACTTTCGATAAGCCTTACGTTTAGCTTCAGATATCTCGTGGTCCAAGTATGTTCCGTCCAAGTTCTTCTCATGGGGAACCTTATCATATTTTTCCTTATCCCAATGGGCACCTTGATTGATTGACTTGAGCATCTCACTGTACTCTTCGGCGGTCTTATGCTCCTCCTCGTTTGCTAGGATTGCATATTTGACCGTTCGTATCTTATCAGTAAATAGAATGTTGATATGAAGATTTTTCTGCGGGTCCCAGTCCAAGCGGAAGGTCCAGGAATATGGTTTCTTGAATTCAACGGTTTTTTTCCTGGATGAAGCGTTAGGCTCTCCCTGCGAGGCATTGCCATTCGTTGGTGTTTCTGGCGGTTTGTCGATATACTCCACGTAACATGAACTGGTATGAAGAGCTATAGGTGTGGAGCTACGGCCAGTTAAACCAGTGGGAAGCTGATCGCCGCCTCCGCCGAGTCCATTTGTCGTTATGTTGAGATTAGTAGAATTGTTCATGACCTGTTGCATCGCCATTTGACTCTTTTTCTTAGTATTGTCTTCGGGTGTCGTATTCTGTTTGGATTCCGTATTCTGTACGAATATCGTACGCAACGCTGCCCGATACATATTTGTGGCCTGTATAACAATCTCCCCTTCGGTGGGGGTAGTTCCTGACGAGGAAGCCTTTCCTTGGTCCTTCACGGCAGTGGTCTTCGAGTTGCCACGAGCTGTTCCTGAACGGTCCTCGAAGTTGATGGGGTCGTTCCCGGTGTACGCATATAAATTTAGATTATCGAACACACCTAAAGGATCCGTGGAGGTCCAGCGCCCTAGCCAGCAAGCATAGTATCTCTCACCGCAATGGTATAAGCCACTTTCCTTGTCCCGTTCGTAGCTCGCAAAACGGTACCTTCGGGGAGCGTCGGAGGTCCGAGCTTGGTACGTGCTATACCCATATGGTGAGTATTCTTCGTAAGCAACGACATTGGCACCATCATCCAGTTCTAGATTCTCGCTTATCTGATACCGAACTAGATTCACGTTGCTCTCCACGTCATACCCATCCTTTGTCTCTACTACAGCCATGGGTGTGCCGGCATTGCTTAGATCGCCCACACTCGTTGATATTGACTGCCGTACTACCGATAACCCATCCCCGGCATAAGTGGTAGATACATCACAGAAAGGGAGGTAAAGAGTCTGTTTTAACCTCGCTCCCGTGTCTCTCACTGTCACCTTGCGAACTCGCTTACCCTGTGAATTGTAGATATACCACGTTCTCTCCGGCATGCCACCCTTCTTGACCCGTTGTGTGGAGAATGAGCGTAGGTGATTGTTATAATCCCAGGTCAAAGAATATCCCGCCGAATAAGTCATACAGCCGTTGAGTCCTGCATTGCCAACGTATTTGTAGATATCGGTTGCCGAGCCGACCGTTGTGCTCACTAACCTATTATTTTCCGCTTTGTAGGTGTAGGTTCGTGTCCATGGCGAATACGTATCGTCGTTCACTGGGCGATGTTGTGTCTCTAGGACATTGCCAACAACATCATACTTGTACGTTTCGCAATATTCAATCAGTTGACTCCCATCTCCAGGGATTGAATTAGGCTTTCCGAACGTGGGACCGTAAGGGATCAGGCAATGTCCCGGAGCATCGACCTGCTCTCGACCAGTTGCCAAGCATAGTTGGCCCAATGCGTCATATACAAATTCCTGATCTGGTTTGACAGCCTGGTTATTAAAGTAAATTGTCTGCTGGGCTTTGTCGTTCTTTTGGATAATCCTTCCAAGACAATCATACGTGTAGAAAAGATCCTGCAGAGCGGTGCCATCGGCCCGAGTGATTCGGGTCCTTACAAGCTTGCGTGTTAAGGGATGATAAGTGTGGACTGTTCGCGACCCATTCCCGTATTTTATCAACGCAACTTCGTTAGCCTCCGCATATGCGATGCTATGGACATGGGCGGTGCTGGCACGGCAATCTTCGCTAGCAATAGAATTCACCCGCTTCAGCCGGCCAGCAACGTCAAAGGTATTATCGATACCCTGACCCTTCGCAGTGGTTGTATGTAGAGTGTGGCCCACCGCATCGAAAGATGATATAGTCGTGTAGCTGCTGGGATCCATCTTCATGTTTCTCGCCGACCAGTCCAGAAGGGTATCGTACTTTTCAGCATATTGAATACAGGACTGTATGCAGTGACCCTTGAAGTCGAACCGGACATTGGTTTGAGCACCAGATTGATCCCAACATCGGTAGAGCTGACCTCTCAGGTTCTGGGCCTCTGGGTCTGGCCCATAGCTCTCGCCATATTCATTCTTAACGACAAGAGCTTCATGTTCGTCTGGTTCTGACAGCTGCACTCTGACCGCCTCAACTCTCCTTAGCATGTCATACAAGGTCCGTTTCCGTGGACCTCCGGACGACCATGACAACATTGATAGGCCATTACAATCTGACAAAAGCCAGCGGTCCCCGCCGTCCATGTTCTCGCTATGTAATGCTCGTCCCAACAGATCGTATCGGGTCGTTGTCACAACACGGGACAGGGCATCCATTAGTGCTGATATGTTGCCACGCTCGTCGTACTCCTGTCTAGTTCTACGAATGTCTTCTGGACTGTGGTTGAGCTCGGTGAGAATCTCTTGCCCTAGACTGTTGAAGTGCACAGACTTTGGAGTATTGCTATAGCATTCTGATTTCTTTGCCGCCTTTTTCTCCTTCTCGGTGGTGCCAGTTGTCATTCTTTGATAATACCAGGTGGGATAATAGGAGCCTCTGTCGAGACCCTGGAAGTGGCTCCCAACAGCATCATCTGTGGCAGGATCCTCTATCAGGACAGTGTCGCCAGCATCGTAGTAGACTTGAGCCCATGGTGTAAATTGAGTTTTACTCCAGGTTTGGTCGGCGTTTAGCACTCCCACCACCCGGTCAAGGGGGTCGAGCAGGAATGTAGTGGCAGGCCTACTGGATATATCTCTTTGGAGAGAGAACTCGTGGGTTTGCTTGAAAAACGGCAGAAACTCTCTGACATGCTGTCCTTTGGTGGAGGTCACACTACTGCTACACTGCCATTTCTCTTCAGTTTCGGTTTCATGCTCTTCAGAAAGACATAGTTTCTGAATTGCCTGGCCCTTGCCGTTCATGTAAGTGATAGAAATCGAGATCCTGCCCTGTCCATCCCTATAGTGCGTGTCACGCACGAGCTCCGCTTGAAATGCTGGTGATGTCCTCTCGTGCTGACACCAGCCCTGGCAATGAATTACCCGCTGACCGGCATATTTTAGGAGCTCTCCTGCAGCTCCGGAAGGATTGTCAGAGAAATGCTTCAATTGATCATCGCTCAGGTCGGCCGAGAAAGTATCCAGGCTATCTCCGACATCCTCCCCAAGTTTACCCATAACTGCCAGTCCAACACGGCGCCCGAGAGAATCAATTGCAATCTCGGTAATGTTTCCATTTGCGTCGGTAATGAGTGTTGGTAGCAGTCGAGCATAATTGTTATCGATTGTGATTGTGTTTCCCATCGCATCTACACGTCCAGTGGTAAGCAAGTTGAAGGAGTCCCGATTCTGCCATGACTTGCTCTCAAACTGATCAATCTGTCCATTTGGAAGGTAGAACTGCAACCGCGCCGCCGTCAGTCTGTTGCCGTCGCTGTCATCTCCAAAGATACTCCTCGTTGACGGCGCCCACCACTCATCTGGCTCGAGTTCTATATATCCTCCCTTGCGGAGCTCATGTCTCAAGGCTGCTGGTTGTAACAATGGACCTCTTCCCGGGTCCGTCAACACCACAGCAAGGAGACCTGTTGTAGCAAAGAGCTGATAGCTCTGCCACGGAACGGAGAACTGCTGTAGCTCACCTTGTTCCAATGGCCCATCGATATTGCTTTTCGAGTACAAAGTTCTCTTTTTCAAGATGAGTGCCCTGTATCCAGCTGGGGGTATATCAGATATAAGGTCCTTGGCTTTCTCTTCAATTGAGATCTTTTGTGCTTGCTTCAGTAGTTTACAGTCGTTGGAAGCCAGCTTTTCCAATTCATATCGGCCATCAGCTATAGCGGCGTCAAAGTAGCACCCTGGGTAGACACGGCTCTGCACAGTCTCTGAGACAACTGGGATCTGGAAATAATCCGGCTCGACGTCGTAATTGTCAATTGCATTGGTGTGGCTTGTTTCTACGTAGACAAGGGAGGTCTCCATTTGCTTTTGCTGATCTTCCAGCGTAGGCAACGTGCTTGTCGCTTTCCCATAACTTACTATGAGCAGTTTCTCAACATTGCCGTATTTATCCGTTGCAAGTGTGAGTGTCTGCTGCACTCTCGGCTCCCCTTGGTTCCTCTCATAAAGTGCGCTGATCTCTTCTCGATGATTGACTCGGTATATACCATGATTGCTGCTCTGTATCTTTTGATGAATCACCACTTCGTATGACTGTTGGGATATGGTATATGGGATATTCTTGTTTTCCCCACCACCAGTAGAAAATAGTTCTTGCCGACGAGGCATTCCAACGAGCGCGTTGTAGGCTTCACGTCTCTCCGTGGCCGTAAGATCGCAGGGTATTTTGGCGCTCGATACAGGTTTCAGCGAATCAAGTCCTTTAAAAGCGTCGGGAAGGACTGATACAATGTCTAAGCGCTCTAGCCCAATATAGAACCAGCTTCTTCTGATAACCGACGGGCATATGAATTGGCTATTGGGGACTCCGGCCGCGAAGTCTTCTGTTTCACATTCCTCGACCATTTGAAAGCCACGAAACTGGCGTTCAATAGGATCGTAGTATCCGTTATGATATGAATACGACACGGTTTGGGACGTCTGTGCTACACGATCGAGAAAGGTCGTACTAGCGATGCAGTTAACAGGAAACGGTAGTTTCGTTGCCCATGGTCTATTATTCTCTTCATCCTCGCGGTAGTAGAGTACGGAAGAGCGGTACGTAGCAGTGTATTCCCCTCCCATACCATTGCTGCACTTCGTGAGTAGCCCTGGTTGGACGCCGCCCATGAGATCCACAAAACGGACGGTTGTCCCTTCTGCATTTCTGGTGTGGCCAAGGAGGTCTGAAGTCCAACAGAGACACTGTGTTCCCCGGCCGCTAATGTCAAACACATCAACAGTGCAAAGGCCATCTAAGGGCGGAAGTGAAGCCACTCGATAGCCATCGCTCCAGCTGTTGCCCCATCGGTTGTAATATACCACAGCGCCGCCCTCGGGAGGCATGTATATATAATCAGTGCCTCCAAACCCGGTTATGTTTGCCATTCGAATACGCCGTGTTGAAAAGCTCCCATCACCTGGTTGAAACGGCGACTTTTCCATGCTCACTTCTGAGCCAAAGCGTCCGTGACCCAGGTTGGGCCAGTACGAGACATTGCCATTCCGAACCCAGACGATATCTGTCAGGCCATCGCCGCTCATATCCCGTAGAAAAAGCGATCCTGTTGCATCGGGGGCGAACTTGGGCGCTCCTGTCGTGCGCTGCTCTACCCCGTATCCCTCTGGACCAAACGACGGGTGCCAGGCCAGCTCACCATCTTCGCCCGGGGCCATGCGCAGAATATCCGCGCGTCCGTTGCCAGTGAGATCTATTTTATGAACTGGCCATGCTTGTTGGAATGGGCCCATAGTTGGGTATGTTTCGAAAGGGGTATAATTAACCCATGCGCCATTCTCCGTGCGTCCAAAGAATCCTCGGAGACTCTCGCCGGGCGAACTGGGTATCACGTCCAGGAGGCCATCCCCAGTCAGATCTTCAAAGACCCATACTCTTGCATCAGCACCGCCAGGGACTTGAGACACTAGAGCTGGCTCTCCAATTTGTGTTGTCTTGTCCGTGCTTTGGTTGCGGTGATAGTACCAACCCCCGCCTGGAACCTCGACCAGTACACCCGGAGCGCCATCCCCGTTGAGATCCAGCCACTGTGCTTCTCCGGTGCCAAGTCCGGATGCATTGAGCCCAAATGTCTCCTCATCCAGCATCTGGTAATCGGGGGGCGCGGTATATTCAAACTTAGCCGCTGGCAAAGAGAGGTTGGAGTAGCCCGTCTCCCCAATGGGCGTATGACCGGTCGCGACGTACGATTGAAGGAATGTGGTTCCTGTTCGTGGCTCGGTATCGTATGTAAATTTAGTGGAGGCTACTAGGCAGTCCGAGCGACCCAGTTGGTCGGGGAAATGATGGAACATGAGCAAACGCTGGCATCGACGATAGGTTCGAACCTCGAAGCCACCGGTACAGGTAGAAAACGGGTCAGGGCGAGAGGGCCATGGGTTTTGCTCTACTGTAGTTGGGCAGTCCTCATCGTGCTCTCCATAATCGAGAACAACCTCGAACATCCAATAGCCTGGAGGAGTGTCCAGCACCTTCCAAGTGTTCTTGTCCCGGTTTGGCTCCGTATTGCCGTACTTGATCGACTTAAGATAGCGTTGTCTGCTCCGAATGTTGCTCTCCCGATTGGCTTCGAATAGGTCTTGGTTGAGCCGCAGCCCATAGGCGTCATCTGCTTTATACTCAAAGACCATATGATTTCCATAGCTATCGTACTTTTCGCATGCGAGCCAAGAAAAGATCTGTCTCAGATTATGTAGTGCATCCTCGTCGCCCCTGGCGATACGCGACGCTTTCGTCTTGCCGTAGACCAGCGTCACATTTTCAGAACTGATGGTCCTCCAGTACACGTTGCCCGGGCAGCTTCTTTGCGTCCATCGCTCAATACGCATGGGTTCTGACTCCACGCGCGCTCGATACCTACGCACTGACCAGTCCTCCCGAACAGCTTCTTCAAAGTTGCCATCTTCCTTCAGTACGGGGACCACCTCTCCGACCGCCGAGAACACGAAGGCATCTCGATCATCATCGTAGATAGGCATTGATGTCGAAGTCTTGCGGGTAATACTCTCGACTCCTTCAAGGTGCCAGCCCAGTCCAAAGATCCCGTTGGCTGCGCTAGAACCAGACTCATAGACTAAGTTTAGGGACGGTCCGAAGCCGCTGCGGCCTGGCGAGGTTTGAATGGGAAGATTGAACGACATTCCTCCTGTACATGTATTGACATTAAACCTGTCACTACTTGAGCGACGACCATCTCCCTCGGCTAGTAAGTGCCCGGGTGTGGTCTGGCTTTCTGTGGTCTTGCTGTTAGGGCCGCCATCACCTGACACAGGCTTCTGGGACTTAGAAGGAGGCGTGAACTCCGCCATTTTGCGAGAGGAGCCTTCCATTGCATGTGTGGGGATACCGTTGAACGGCTTACTATGTAAGTGTCACAGTGAAATAAAATACTTGGAGCCGCCTTCTCAAACTGGTAGAGGAATGACAGGTAATTAAAGCCGTGTAGACAGTGATCCATTCCTCACTATTCTTTAGCGGGCATATTTTGGCTTGTTTGCAACAAATGGGAGAAATATCTACCTGCTGATACGAAACCACAGAGCAAAACGAACGATGTCAATTATCTCCTTGGTCCACGATTTGCTGGATGCAAACTGATGCGGGGGACGTGCTTGACGTACTGAACAAAATTCCATGCGGGCGAGCCAGTGTGCCACATATCGGAGTATCGGGCAATAGACTCCGCATGGATGTAACTGTCATACTAGCATGATTACCGAGTATGCTGATCTACTGGTGTGCAGTGTTTCGGAATCTCCGCAATTGGACATTCAAAGCGCTCAGCCTGCAGATCCAATATTACGCCAATGGATGGATAAGTGGGGACTTTATGGACCATGTACTCCGTACATAGTATATATGGCAAGTTTTACCAAACCTTGAACGCTGCGAGATCCCCGGGCATGATAGCTGTAGAGGTAATGCTTTGCAGAGGAACTACACTTGTGGATATGTTCATAACCAGGAGCAAATTGTTCTTTCTGATAGTATAGTCTGAGAATCTACAAAAGTCATCAAATCGGCCAGACCGCTATGCTTCTAGTTAATCTACGCCGTTTTGCCCTTCATATTTAGCTTCACTATCGTAAACGACACTCCGATTATCGGCTCTATCAAAGAGAAAGCAGTGGAGCATGTTGTAAAGCTGAAAGGTGGGGTCGACCATCTCTCTTGTTGGCTAAAAGCGTGAGATATGTACGGCTGCCTAATAATCACACGCCTGCACGGTGGTCACGACCATTGTCGTCGGCCTATGTGGGCCACATTGCATTAGTTTCGCTCTGGCCTAGTACTACGGTAGGGTGTGAAAAGATCGTGCTGATCCCTATGGGTGTAATTGCATATCATTCCCTTTTTACAAAACTTGCCAGCTGTATCCGTATACGAAAAATATTAGGACAACCGTTTGCACAACGGTCCTGGTATATAGCTCCACTCTGTAAGGACTTGTACAGCCACAAATAGAAGAGAAAATCGGAATTCAAAATGATTCATATTCTTCACAATTCAGAGAGACACCATCCCAGTAGAATGCCTTACTTGGTGCTGATACTGATTGTTTGATCATTTACGTACAGTCAACTTTCAATCGAGAGAGACGATCTTTTGTGACGTGTCTATTTGTATTCGGAATTATGCAGTCTCAGCCTGATATGGAACGCCACGTACTCCAAGTCACAATCCAAAGTATCCATCCTCTTGCATCTCTCCCCTCACTGCGAAGTCGAATCATTGTCCAGAAATGGGGTGAGAGACCCTGGAAGAAATCGACGGATTTGATGGCATACCTGACCCCACCTTACAGGCTACCTGATGTTGTCGCGGTATTGAACTAGTCCTGAAGGTTTGAAGGTCTATTGTATTATGAAACGAAGCTTTATATCCCATTTTCAGATGCTACTCGTTGAACGGATCGAGTTATCGGTCATTAACCACATGTATATATATATCGTAGTTGACCACTGTGCACCAGGAAACAATAGCAGACCTTGCCCAAGAGGAACCCCTCGAATGGTGCTCTGAATCCTGCAATCCTTTGTTTCCGTCTAACACCATGTCTGATTTAACCATCTTCAAGAATGCTTCGCCTGAGACCTGCGATGAATGTGTATCAACAACTTCTGCCGCTGCTTATTTTGTTTGGCTATTGGATAAGCTGAAAAAATTCAAACCCAAAGATGAGAGCTCAAGCAGTTTCAACCTCCAAGAAATTCTTTTCCAGCGTCGCCCGGACCTGAAGGACTTGGAACTCACTTGTGCCAATACGAAAACCTTGATCCCTTATATTGACGTGGTTAATGAGGTGCTAGAGGATCTGGTCTCACACTTCCACGGCACCGGTAGTGCAGAGAGCACTACAGTGAGCATCCGTGCTTACAATATGAACGACGGTGATACAAGTAACCGCTCCATTGATCGACCGAAAAATATCAACTATAAGCTATTCAAAACAATCATGCCGAACATGATGGCCCCTCTTCATGTGCTTCCGTTCAACCAGGCTTTGTTCAGTATACGTACCTACCTAAACGCACTTGGGACTTCTCGATCCGAGCTGCTCTCCACGTTTTCCACGAATGGATGTTCGGATGAAGTGCCAGGCCGTGTTAGGATAGCCGAGATACTAGGCTTATCCTATGATGACTACGTTGCCATCACACACGAAGGACCCGACCGAAAGGAGGTATGGGAGTATTGGGGATACAAGAGTCGCCAGGAATTGATAAGTTCAACCAATGGCCCTGTTGTACCAGGAGTCGAGAAACTACTCCACCGCACTGGATTGACGCTTCAAGAAATGAACAGACTTAAGGATTCTGCATATGTGAACAATCTCTGGAGGATTGAAGGTGGTATTAGCGGAAATATACTCTTCAAGGCTGGTGTTGATCAGCTCCCCCAGCTCGATCGACTGCAACAATTTTTACGCCTACGAGCAAGGCTGCAATGGTCAATAGAAGAACTGGATGCTATTTTATCAACGCTTTGGAAACTGGAAAATAGATCTACAGGGCTAACCATTGACTCTAGCATGCTTTGTCAGCTGGCGGCCGTCCAGGAATTAGCAACATTGGTCAATCACCAGCCCCGTGAGCTACAACCACTTTGGGGCGATATTTGGACTCAGGGTGAGAATTCGCTCTATCAGATGCTATTTCTCACCGGGTCTCATCTGCCACCTGAGGAGCAAAAGGTCTTTGAATCAGTCAAAGAGAGCCCGTTAGAAGGTGCATCTCCCGAGAAAATGGAGAACCATCTACCTACTCTTCTTTCTCTTCTAGGGTTGAAGCCACTTGAGTTCGAGTCTATAAATAAAGAGGAAAGGCTTAGCGACAACCTGACTCTGAAAAATATATCTGCACTCTATCGATGCTCTCTTCTCTGTTCTATGCTTGGGATTTCTCCAGCTCAGTATCACGAACTACTGTCACTCTATAAGCATGTTGGAAACCCCCTCGCCAGTCCCCAGAACACCCTGGCCTTAGTGAGACAATATCTCTCAGATTCACATCCAGCGACAGAGAAGTGGTCATTGGAAGAAATGCTGGTTGTTACTGGCGCCAAAAGCAGTTCCACGGACCCAAAATTGAACCCAACCTTAGACAAAGTCCTTGGCCTTGTTATCTCGCTTCGTAATGCCGTGGAAATAGCCCAAAAAGCTTTTAAATACCCGGACCCTAGTTCGCCTACTGCCTTTGAATCTACTTTGACACAGATATTTGACACGAATGCTCCGGCGATAGTAAGACTCATACTCGCGGCAAAGGAAGATAATTATGAAGGCGGAATGCTAGAGGGATTGTTTCTAGGCTTATTATCTATAGATGAAGAGATAGAACAAGTTGAGAAGCGGTTCAATGAGTTCTGGAAGCGCGCGAGGAAGCTGCGAAATCTGTCCATCAAGGAGCGCTGGAAGGTTCTGATCACTGAGCTCAGTGAGCGCTGGAGGAAGCCGGTTAACGAGGCCTATGAGTGCTGGGAGAAGCTGGTCAACGAGTCCGATATGACAGCCCGACGGTCAATTTTTCTAGGCGTCGTAAGACGTCAAATTACAGCTGCGTTAGAAGACCAAATATTGCCTTCAACGATTGAGACAACTCTCCGGGGCTTATTCCCACAGAGTGATATCTCCATGCTGTCCTACCTACTACGCAATGTAGTCAAGGTCAATAAAGTGTCAGGGATGGATGCCTTACTTCGCCTCCTCCGGACAAGTGAAAAGACAGACGAGACGACAAATTTCGAAGGTTATTTCGTACCTAGCAGTACAGGCACTTACATTATTACTTCTACCACACAGAGTGTTATCTCCTTTGACGGTTGTGGATTGAACTGGACTGAAACAGAGGGTCAGTGGACGACCGAGACCAAACAGCTGGCAGGAGGACATGGCTCCATGGTGTCGTTCGATGGCAATATCAGAAAGCTTCATTTAGCTCGCAAAGACAATCACAAGATGTTGACATCTGAAGCGGGTGTATTCATCTTGCACAAACAGGTGGAGGTTACAAGAGGTGTGATGGCCTCTTTGCTACAAAAGTATCTTTTAATTACTCGGTTGCACCTGAGCCTTGCCGAGGTTACAGAGATTCACCAACAACAGACACTCCGCCCAGATCCCTTTGAGAATACTAGTCTTCCGGGCCTACGTCTTCTGGAGAAGTACTGTCTCCTACGGGACGAATTTTCACATTCAGGGGCTATTTCGCCATTACTGGACCTATATAAGTGGCTGAAATCACACCATGCGGTCACAAACGATCCAGACACCCTACTCAGCAAAGCGTCAAAGGAGATTTCCAAGGTTACCAACTGGAGTGAAAATATCTCCCTATCTGTCATAAAAGCCAGATTCCGCAGTAATCGTGATGCTGCCTTGATACTTGAATCACTCAAGGATGTATCTGTGCTTTTTGAGATGAGACAGTGCGTGCGCTTCACTCGTCATCTCGGTCTTCCTGGAATTAGTGTTAACTCACTATATGACTTGGCTTGCCCCGAGTGGCCACCAAAAGTAGAGACGACTTTCCGACATGCCCAGATACTGAGGAAGGCCCTTGAAGCTAACTGTCTGCCGACTGCAAACGGTGAATCTGATCTATTGTCAACCGCCAATGATACAATTCGTAGTGCGCAAAGAACGGCATTAGTTCACGCTTTGCTAAACCAGAAATACTGCATTGACAAAAAGCTCACCACGACGGATCACCTTTTTGATCACTTTCTTATAGACTTCCAAATGGGGCCGGTCTTGCAAACATCACGTATCAAGCAAGCCATTTCTACTGTCCAGGTGTTTGCCCAACGTTGTATTAATGGTAATGAAGGACTGCCTGAGGGGTTCCGAGCAGGACTACGAGAAGATCCCGACCATGACTATATGTTCCGGTATCGCCTCTGGGAAGCCAGCAAGAAGGCAGGCCTATTCCCTGAGCAATATATTGATCCGACACTGCGGGACAACAAGTCGTATCAGTTCAAGACAGCAGAGGCTGCAATGATGCAAGCCAAGCTTGACAAGGAAAGCATCGAAAGGATCATTCGAGATTATATTCACCAAGCTGAAGAGGTACTAGACCTTCAACTGGAGGCTTATTTATGGGATAGTGGCCACAAGGGGTTCCATCTGTTTGGTCGCACGCGCAAGTCACCGCCAATCTTCTATTATCGCAAGGCCGATATGACACTCTCAACGGACGAAAAGCGCTATATACCGTCATGGTCGCCATGGGCAAAATTTCCAGTCGAAGTTCCTGTTCTAGAAACCGATGCGGACGGCGAAAAGCTGCCACATCCAGGGTCGTACATTATCCCAGTTATACATCACAATCGGCTCTTGGTGTTCATCCCTCAAATCACTCTTCGCCAAACAAAGGTGCCATCCCCCCCAAGTGGAACGATCGAGGATTATGTCAAGAAGAAACCTCTGAAAGCAGAGGATTATCGTGAATGGGATATACGACTAGGGTACAGCGAACTGCAGAATGGTAAATGGTCCGCGAAGACTGTGTCACAGGCTTCTATTCACCTGCCAATATCGAAACACGAAAATCGACGTCTAAAGGATGCACAGGATATGCCGGGACTGGCTGCGAATACCCTCCGGCACCAGGATGACAACACAAGCGCGACTGAGAACTCCGGGTATCATGTTAATATCGCACATCTCAAATTCTGGCCACGTCTTGAAGGGACTGAAGACACAACCAAGCTTGTTGTCGCTGTAGAGTGGGTCCAAGCAATGTTAAAAGAGGAGACCACAACCACGCACTCGCTCAAGGTCAAGCCCATCGCAGATTACGTACTGATCGGTCACAAGCTGATGCTGCGGGAGACGGTGGATGTCGGTCCTTTGCCAACCACACTCACAGAGTTTGAAAAAGTCTATACGAAGACATCTGAGGGCTGTTCTGGATTCTTGGAAAGACTACTCGCCCATAAAAATCAACAGAATCGTCCAACCTTGACTTTCCCCATATATATCCAACCAGATCTCACCACATCACGAGAAGAAAAGGTAGAATGGATCATGTCTCTGGATGATATCAATCACCCTACACCTACCGTGCTAGCTTGCGAAATTCACGATCGTGAGGAGACTAAACAGTACATTGGAATGCCTCCAAATCAAGATGAAATGAAAGGTCCGATACAGGATATCCAGCGGGTGATGAATAAAGTACTTCCTGGGGTCATACGAGACATGAGTAATACCGAAGGCCTCACGCCAATATATCGATATATTCAAGGTTTGTCTTTAAAAGACAATGCTGAGAGCTTCGGTCGCGAGAAGAACTCTGGGCACAGCGAAATGGCTACGCCGCTCGCTATCTACTCCTGGGAACTTGGAGTCCATCTTCCCTCTCTATTGATGGAGCGTCTTCTTGCCACTCATCAGTTAGAACTTGCTCTGGAGATGGCCAGGCTTATGTATGATCACAGCCGGACAGTGAAAGGAGATCTGGCAGGGGCGCACTGGATTTTCCCACCGTTTCAGGACGGCACAACGCTAAAGGGAGCTGATATTACCGTACCCCCAAGCGCAAGCATCCACGCATCAGCCCGTGCGAATCCGGCAGCGTATGTAAAACGTATTGCCTTGAAATATATTGAAATTCTGGTCGGGCTGGGGGACCAGCATTTCCGCCAAAGCACTCTTGAAAGTATCCCCCTAGCCCTGGAAAGGTATATTGAAGCATCGGAAGCATTTAGTACACTCTCAGCTTCTATTCAAAACCAGAAATCTTCAGAGGTACATAAAATCAAGGGGATACTGACATATCGCGGGATCGAAGAACAAAGAAAACATCGACCAGAGTTTCCCGAAGGCTTAGGGTTCTACAAGGCCAAGGATACCTTCCGTGATTCACTACAAAATCTTGTACAGGATCGGCTTTACAAAATCAGGAACGGGCTGGACATTAACGGCCGGAGGCAAAGGCTCCCACTCTTTGCTCCACCTATGGACCCTGGAGCCTTAACCCAGGCCAAGGCAGCCCCCGGCGGAATTGCCGGCTTGCTATCTAGTCTCGAGAGCCCGATGCCAAACTATCGATTTGATTATCTGATTCGTCACGCCTTTGAGCTTGTGAGCGAACTCCGTAGCCTTGAACAGCAATTCCTTACTATAAAAGAGAAAAAGGATGTTGAAGGGCTGGCATTACTCCGATCTCGCCATCAATGTACTGTCCTAGCACTGATCAAAAAGGTCAAGGAGCACGAGAAACAAGAGGCACTCAAGGCCATTGATGTCATTAGTGCAGCGCGCACGCAGCAGGAAAAAGCGATGGAATATTACCTCCAACTCACTGCCGATAAAGATAGAACTAAAATACCTAGTATTGGCGAATCATGGAAGGGCGTGCCACAACAGATTCACACGATCAAAGGGGATATTCCAATGTCTCCCTTCGAGAAGGAAGAATTGGATAAGGCAGATACCGCATCCAACCTCTACCTAGCGGCGGGTGTGGCCAGTGCAGTTGGTGCTGTGATGGCCGCTATACCTAACTTTGGGGCGAAGGTACAACCGATGGGTGCAGGAGTCGATACTACTACAGGGGGAGGTAACTTTTCCAGAGTCAGCCACTTTCAGACAGGCGCTCTGGAGATCGCAGCGCGTCGCATGCAGGAGGAGGCTGCGCAGGCTGGACGGAAGGGTGCGTTGAGCCGTGCTCTTCAAGAACGCCGACAGGCCACGAACAATCTTGGCTGGGAACTGATGCGACTTGACAAAGAAAGGTCGCATTTACAAGCTAGATGTGATATGTGTGACGCGGCAATCAAGTCATCACAGCAGGAAATTGAAAATGCCGCCGCGGAAGAGGAATGGCTTCGGACAAAGTACACCGGGGAACAACTATATAATAGGCTTGATAGCGGGGTGACCATGCTATCTCGTCAGACATATCAGCTTGCCCTTGAAATGGCCAACGTTGCCCAGCGTGCTCTGCATTTTGAGCATTCGCTTCGATTTCCTAAAAGTATCAACCCAGCCAGCCAGCCAGCCAAGGGGCTGACAGACTATTGGGAGCAATCCCCTGATGGGCAACTAGCTGGGGAAGCTTTGTACCTGGACCTCAAGCGCATGGAGATGCTTCACATGGAGAATCGTACTCATGATTTTGAGATTACGAAAAACGTTTCTATTCGGCATCTCGATCCATGTGCCCTCCTTCAGTTACGTGAACAAGGCACAGCTGATTTCGATTTACCTGAGGTTATATTCGATATGGACTTTCCAGGCCACTACTGCCGGCGGATCGCGTCTGTGGCGGTATCTATTCCTTGTATTCTGGGTGCCTACACATCACTCAACTGCACCCTGAGGCTGCTGGGCCATAGATATCGAATTGCACCAACTGGCAACCAAAGCGCCTTCTACGAGGAAAAGGATGAAAACAAATTCCATAGTGACAGTATCCCCATAGATGCTATAGCCGTCAGCAACGGGCTGCATGACACTGGAACCTTCACACTGGATTTCAATGGACAACCACGTTACGGACCTTTTGAGGGTGCTGGGGCCATCTCCAAGTGGCGCCTTGCGTTCCCTTCACCATTCCGACAATTTGACTATCATACTATCACAGACGTTATTATTCACCTCCGCTATACCGCTGTTGATGGTGGACAGCAATTTGCTAGGATGGCTGCAGGTGCAGTAAAACAATGGGTTACCAAGCCAAAAGGATCGGCCTTTGCAATTGACCTTAAGAACGAGTATCCAAATCAGTGGCGATGTCTAGCCCGTGAAGGTAAGATGGATCTTCCGGGTATATTAGATCGATTGCCGTTCTGGACCCGCGGGAAGGAGAGTTTAAACATCTATTCCCTCAGCCTCCTTGTGTTCCCAAAGCCTGAGCCTATCCCTCAGTCCGTTAAAGTCGAGGTTGGTGAAGAGACGATCACAGCGACTCATAAGGAGAGACTTTTGAAGGAATACGGGCACTTTGAAGGGGAAGATATGCCCAAGGCCTTTGCATCATCATCGTCATGGAGCATCAATGGGTTTAAGGACAATTCATTTACCCAAGGGTGGCTCTTAGTGCAGTTTACCTCATGAAGCCCTACATAGTAGACTCACCACTACTCACATGCAGAGTAGTCTCTAGGGCTGCTCGTCTATTGGTATGTCTTAAATATATTTCTATCTCGCATCATTTCTATGTAGATACCCTACGCTTTAGAGGTGGTATAAAATAGCGAGGTTCCACGCGGTTCTTCCAGCAGGACGCAATTATTTCAAGCTGGCCTATGGAAAATAGGTTACTATTCCTGCACCTACTAGCTATTTGTAGACGTGATGTGCGAAGTCCATTCTGGTCGGGCCTAATCTTCCCCTCCACTCATACACCCTGGGCAACATAACCGAACCAATCCGTGAGAGTATTCGACTAGGACCATCATGCAGGTATAGTGTCTCCACCCCCCACTGGTGGGATTAAAAAACCCGATACCCCTCATTTCTTGATGAATTCCTCATTTCCAGCCCATGTTGAGCTGTGCTTGGATTATCTGACTCATTGAATGACTACAAAATGTCTACTACTTCTACGGAGGACACCTGCGACGAGATGAATCTACAGACCGAGAAACTTTTTCGAGATGATTCTGAGGTTACCACGCTCTGCCTGTGGACAGACAAGCGCTATAACCATATACTTGGCCTGCTGTTAGTTTGGGCTAACGGATATTCAAGCGGGGTTCTTGGAAGTTCGGCTGGCATATATCACGAATGGCACTTTGAAAGCTTCCTCCAATCTGAGAAGGATATAAAGTTTGATGAAATTGAATACTTGAATGAAATCGGATGTGATTGTTATAACGGGCTTGTCGAAGAAACTTCAATGTTTCAGGCATATGTTGATACCAAGTTCCAGTGTGCAGGCTGGGCTTTCATTGGGATGGAAATTACACAAGCAGGACCAAGGCTTGTGTCTCTACGTCCTATGGCTGGCATTCGTAAGAGATTTCTTCTACATGTCCTTTCAGCACTAACAGCAGGCAGATTCCTACCGAGATAGAATGGAATATGACCAACCAGAAGAGGAGTCTAACAATCAGAGTAGGAATACAGTGAATCGGTATGTTCTGCATGATGCCACGCACTATCCTGAGGCTCTGTTAACTGGCAAAGGAGTCTTTGGGTCATAAACCCCGTGTGAAATCTATAGAGGTGGGTAGAAGGGGTCGGCCTATACCTGCACGTTGAAGAATTCGATAGGATGGACACTGCCTCATTCAGGACTATTCCCTCGAGTCATTCCGATCAGATGTTTTCGAAAACAATGTTCATTTAACAAAACTCATACTGAGTGTTATGATCACAGTACGCTCAAGATTCAGGATCTGCACATTGCCACACCGAAAAAATCTTTAGATACTCTAGGCATGTGCGTGAAATTGGAGTGTTGTTGGAAAATTTGCCTAAGCGTTCGAGCCTGATTTGAGTCGATGTATCCACCATGAAGTGCGCTTGCTATGATCAAATGAGATAAAAAGATGGGCAGTACATGATATTGAATACTTGTCCAATTCACTTTATTTTACGGTACATCTAACCGCCGTAATGTCATAGAATTGATTGTCCTTTTCTTGAATTATAAATAGGGTCCGGGCTACGTATATCCACTATGTCGCATCAATGGAGACACATACCTACAAAAGGCATTCGGCTGGAAGCTAGTCTCCCCCGAATTGCCTTTTAGGATTGCCTTTTTAAGCCAGTAACCAGCATTTATGACTACAATAGAAAGGCTGAGAACTATGGTATGATCTCATTAACGATATCTAACACCAATAAGTTTACACACAGACAGCAGGCCCGCGAGGGGGACTCAGGGGGTGCGTCAATTACTCTTCTTAACATAGGCGTTTCTCTGTTGGAAATTACAAGGTTTTTTAATAACTTATACCCCCAATGATTAGAAGGATAAGCCTAACTACTATCGTACTAGTATAGATCGGGCTGATCATCTAAATAGCTCCGATATTATTCCCGGTGCGGCACCAAGATCAGTCACTTCATGAAGGCGTCTACGCAAGAAAGAGACGCCCGCTGCTTAACCAGGTACTCTGTGAGAACTCGAATTTGAACAATCACGAGGAAACATAGGTAACTCAAGCCCTAGCTTCCAAGGGAAAGAGAGACTTAAGACAGACATAGAAGACGTTCGGCACATCCTGTGAGAGATAATCCGTCTTAAACCAGGTTTTCTATTACTGGATATTGCGCAGAATTCTACGCTGGTCGTGCAAGCGTACCTACCAGCCGCCAAAGCGCTTGCAGAAGAGACTCGAAATTCCACCCTCGCGATCGACAGGAAACGAGTTCCGGAGTTGTCGATTGCTCTCAATAGCTGTCTGCGGGAGCTACAGGGTATGCGAAGTACTCTGGTCATGTTTCCAGCCACAGAATGGGATGATCGAAATAAAATTCTCCCTAAGCCCTGTGGGCAGCTGGGGGTCTCTGTATTAGGTTATTTCTTTATAGGATATGGTCTGCAAGGGATACTGTAACCTTTCAAGATTCATGTGGAAATGCCATATCAAAATCTAAAAGAAAGTTTGGCATAATATGAATGATATTCTTTGATTTCTAGAACAGGTCTAGCAACAAGACAACTGATTCTCGCGTATTGCAATAACTACCCACTTTAATTTGATGTGCGCTAGATTTGGCGTTTCAAAACTGCTCCGCGGCCCCGCGGATCCGCAGATGTCGGCTCAAAAATATATGGAAAGAAGCTCGGAACCGCAGTCAGGCATATCAGACGGCCCATGTTGAATAAACCCCCCAGTCAGATCCATAAACGCTTTCAATGGATCCCTAGAGCTAGACAAAGGCACCGCCCAATATAAATAGAGCACAAACTGAGCTGCGTTCATTTCCATTCCATCCTGTTCAATCTCAGATTCAAAACTACTTCTCTTATATTTATACCCAAATCCTGCCAACCATGGCCAACAACACTAATTCCAAGCCCGTCGTCTTCATCGGCGCTGCGGGTGGGATGTGTCGCGTTGCCGTGGAACGCTTTGCCAAAGCCAGCAATGCCCAGCTTGTTCTTGCAGACTTGAACACTGCTGTTATTGAATCTCTTGCGGCCAAATTACCAGCATGAAGGGCAGGTACTCACGAGCTTAATCCGTTTGACGAATCTGCCCTTGCCCGGTTAATCGGCGGCGCCGGGCTGGTTGTTCTGGGCGCTGGACCGTATGCGAAAACTTCTCATCCAGCCGTCAAGGCATGTATCGCAGCCAGAATTCCCTATCTCGACTTTAACGACGACGACGTCGAAAGCACGCAGGCCGCTCTCGCGCTCACTAGAGAAGCAAAAGAAGCTGGTGTCCCTCTCTATATTGGATGCGGCGCGTCGCCCGGCCTGAGTAACGTCATGGCCATGGATGCTACCCATGAACTCGACTCCATTGATAGCATCGATATCTGCTGACTTGTGGGCGACGAAGCTACTGTCGGGAAAGCCGTGCTCCAGCACTTGATGCACATTGGGGCTGGGCCGTGTCTGACATTGGTGAATTCAAGCCGACAGTGAACGAGCCTTGGGTCGGGACTACCTACGCGCCTATGTATACCGACGATGGCGACAGGCTCTTACACGAGACCGCTCATCCCGAGCCGGTCACGCTTCTCTATATCACAGTTCCAGTCAGTCCCCCCTTCCAGGTTACCTGCAACGCGCGAGAATGTGAAGGAGCGCAATGAAGGACAGCTCACAGGCAAAAAGGTGGTTTCCCCCGTCGACGAGCGGAATATATAAGCAACATATGCAGTTGCTGGGGGGCACACCACTGTCATGGGATGGTGACAACATTTTCGAGGAAGGGTTAGACTTTCATATGATGTTGGAAGAATTGTATACTTTCGTTGGTCTAAGGTTTATACAATCAGGAGGAAGGCTAACGTCCCTATACCTTATTTTGCACTTGATAGAGAGAGGTTCTTCTAGATGTTCTTTCAGCACTAACGGCAGGCAGACTACGGCTTTGATGAACGGGAACCTAGCCAATTAGAAGCGGAATTTTCCCGATTGGTATGTTTTTGCACTATGCCACGCGCTATCCTGAAGCTGTGTCAACTAGCAAAGGTTCACGAGGCGGAGAATAAACTTTGATTTTGAACAATCATGAAGAAATGGGAGCCTTGCTCTCGAGGTAGATAAGTGCTAGCTGCAGGCTTGCCTGCATCCAAAGACAGGGTGATTAGGAGTATGGAATTTCATTTTCTAGATTTACGTCCACCGAAGTTCACCGCGTACTAAAAGGAACAAAAAGCTTCCTCACCGTCGAGTGGAGATCCGAAGCTCCTTACTATCTTCTTCCAAACCAGCATCCTGCCCTGAGACCCACCAGGTAAATCCTGCTTCCTTCTTGGCGCGCCCAATCCAGTGCGTTGCAGGAATCCGTGGGAAATCTTCAATAACCCCAGGGTCGCATGCTGCGGATATGTTGTTTACATCCTCCACGCGGATAATGACCTCGGCGACATGTTCTTGAATGATCATTTTCGATTCCTGATTGCCCACCACGGCAGCTACCATTGCGTCCGAGATCTCGGCTAGGGGCATCAGCGCAAAGCTGCCCCTTAACCCTCCAGTCGTAGGGACACTTTCTAGCTTGAAGACAAGGTCGTGGAATTCTTTCTCGAGGTCCGCCGGCGGAGGGTTCATGTGCTCTGCCTGAACAGGACGATGGATGCAAACAGGCAGTCCGAGGCGATCCGCAGCGTTGGTGAGCAGTCGCTCGCTCGCCCACTTTGAAGCCAGATGTCCGTCTGCCCCATTGAGAGGAGGCGTCTCATCCACAGGGATAGATGCCACTTCTCCGCTGGAGATGAAGTGAATAGGAACCTGACGACGCTGCCCGAGACGGATAAGCGTCTTGGTGCTGTGAACGTTCTCCGCGCGCACGACTGGGTACGCGTCCCAGAACGACCGGTTCGCGCCACAATGAACAATACGGTCAGCATCTTTCGCCAGCGATGCAAATATCTCTGGATCCAGACCTAAAAGTGGAGCTCCTAGGTCGCCGTGATGGGTTGTGACTTTCGACGACGTGCTCACGAGAACTCGGCCCTGGTGTCCGGGTGCGCTGCGTACTGCAACTGCGTGGATGCGGCCCACATGCGGACTCGCTACCAGGCCCTGGAGGATTCGTGACCCTAGGAAACCTGTCGCACCGGTTAGGATGACGGTTAGATCATTACTAGTTCGAGGGGGATGGCCTTGTGTTGAATTGTCTCTCTGGAGGTCATCGACTGAGGTGTCTGATTGCCAGTCAATCGGGGCTACAGTCTGATAGCGCGCGATCTTCTCTGCCATATCGCTGAGTCGATTCGCTTCCATTAACTCAGCCAGGGGGACTCTCACCCCCAGGTCCTGGACGATGATTGCCTGCAGCTTGATGAGGGAAAGGGAGTTCCCGCCCACGAGGAAAAAGTCCGTGCTGGGGCCGATCGTACAGATATCGACAGTATCTTGCAGGACTTTAGCCCAAGCTCGTCGTAACCTATGTTCTGAAGGGGAGAGACTAGTGGTCAGAGAAGACTCGTCTTGCGTCCTCTTAAGGACGCTGATTGGCAGCGCGTTCACTGCATGACGGTCAATTTTACCGTGCATATTGAGTGGAATTTTCTCGACAGGAACAATGATAGCAGGCCACATATATTGTGGAAGCGTTAAACTGGCGCGAATCTGCTGTAATAGGCTTTCTCGCTTTTCCCAGTGAACTGGATCAAATTCAACGTGAGCCGCAAGGAACGCATTATCAGTCTTGCCCCGGAGTGATGCGACCACTCGGATGAGAGTGCCCCTACCGGCCTGCAAGATTCCATATTCCATATCTTGCAGATTTATGCGGATTCCACGCAGCTTCACTTGGGTGTCCCCATCTATCCGACCTTCAATGACCAGAGCCCCGTCGGGAAGCAGACGGCCGCGATCGGATGTCCGGTACACATGTGTCCAGCCCCGGTCAAGGTCCTCTTGAGTGGCATAGATATTAGAGATAAACTTCTTCTTGGTCAATGATTCCAGATGGAAAAAGCCCAAACCGACACCCGCACCGCCTATCAGTACTTCCCCTGATACGCCCTGTGGCACTGGCTGCAGTTGCTTATCGACAATGTACGTTGTGTAGTTGGGAAGTGGATTCCCAACCGAATATGCACCTTCTGTGTATGTCGAAGGATCCAAGTCCTGATACTGGACTTCCGTCTTATGGGAAATTATAGTAGTTTCTGCTGGGCCGTACATGTTGAAGAGGCGCAGGCCTGGCATCCCGAGACGTTGAAATTCCAAACCAAGGGATCGTGTCAAAAGTTCTCCTCCCGAACACGCAATCCTCCAGCTTGTTGCTTTTTTCAAAGTCTCCCCGCCATACGGAAGCCAGGTGGCATACTCAGATGGCGTTGCTGCAGTATAGGTCACTTCCCCCTCCACTATGATTTTGGCCAATTCGACAGGATCCCCTCTCAACGAGCGAGGGACTACAATTACCCTTCCGCCCTTGGCTAGTCCGACAAGCACCTGAATGAGCGAGGAGTCGAATGTCAGGGCGCTTTGTTGCAGAACGGTTTCACTCCCTAATTTGAATTGCTGTACATCGCCTTCTATCACGTTGCGAAGACTCGAGTGCCTTAGAGAAATCCCCTTTGGTTGACCCGTGGTGCCACTGCTATGAAGAATCACGCAGCATGCTTCGGGTGTCGACTGATTTTCCAGTACGGGTGTAGTCGTATCATAATTGAGATGAGAAATATTGAGTATGTGTGTTGGGCTAGGGCATGAGACTCGGTGGACGTCAGCTTCCGTCTCATCGTGGCAGAGGATGGCCTGCGGTTGGCAAGCTTGGATGATGGTTTCTAGGCGCGGTAATGGATTCCGCAAGTCAACAGGCACATAAGTCGCATTTAGCCGCCAAATGGCTAACATACAACTGATCCACCCCGTCGTCGGATGCTGGAACAGGCACACGTGCGAACCAGGTCCCACACCCATACCATGGAGTTTACTCGCGATCACATTCACTCGGATCATGAGCTGGCTGTATGTGAGCGCAGTAGGCCCGCCCGCATCCTGCATGGCTATCTGAGCAGGGTGGGATCTTGCTACATCATCGATATGTCTGGAAATTGTGGATAGCCACTGAGATGTCAGCAACTGACCTCGGCCAAGGTCAATTGACGACTGCACATCCAGCGGTGAATACAAGGGGGGCTGCATCACGTTGGCTTCCGCTGACATAGCAAACGATTGTACTAATCCACCATAGCTCTGCGCCACGATGTCTGCTTCCCGTCTCGAGAATAGGTCTTCTTGTAAATGAAAGTCAATGACGGTCGATCCGTCTTCCGATCCTACGAATTGCAGCGTGAGATCGTACGGTGACCTTCCGGGTACCCATTCCTTCCTCACAATCTTGATATCGTCGAACATGTAACTGGCGCCGGATTGCGGCTGCCAGTCCATCAGGACCTGGAAAAGCGGGTTATATGCTGTCGACCGAGGTACCCCCAGCTCAGTCAGCATTGCATCATAAGGGAGTCTGGAATTGGCCCTCGCCAATCTGGTCTTCTCGTTCATTAGTTCCAGGATGTGTCGAAACGGCCGCGAAGCATTGTCCACGGAAAGCCTAATGGGCAGAATGTTCAGCAGGAAACCAACTGTGCGCATGCTAATGGCATCGGCTCGGCCAGCGTCCACAAACCCGATGCAGACATCATCCATGTCTGTAAGTCTGGCAAGGAAAGTCCACAGGACAGCCATGTAGAAGTTGAATGGAGTAGTCCGATTCCTGCGGCAGATGGCTTGGACCTGGGCAGTGACCGAGGGAGGTAGGCTATGTCGCACAGTGGTTATGGCGTATTTCTTGATAACTGGTCGGGACTGCACGCGACACATTGGAAGAAGAGGCATCGGGCCAGGCAGGTTAGCGAACTCCGTTCGCCAGTATTCTAACTCTCTGGCATACTCCCCTCTTTCAAACGCAGTGTGTTGTGCGGCGGCCAACGCCGGGTATTGCAGGGAAAGAGCAGGCAGCGCCTTGTGCTGGTAGGCCAATTCAAGCTCCTCAAAGAGGATGAACACACTGGCTGCATCAAGGCAGATATGATGATATCCGATAATGAGGACCTGGATATCATTTGGGGCAAGGACGAGGCAGATCTGTGCGATGTCCCCATGGGCGAGATCATAAACATGGTCACGGACTCTCGCATATACCTCTCTGACTGCGTCGGCAGTATCAACGTGATTGACTTCCAGCTGCCAGTGTGAGGTCGACATCACGGCCTGACATGGATCGTTACTCCCGTTAATCCCGGATAGGAAACAAGTTCGTAGCGCCTCATGTCTCATCCCCACACGATTAACCGCGGTTTTCAAGTCGTCCACCCGTGGCACTCGGTCCAGGTTAAACATCATAGCGACGTTATGCGTTGTTTTGTCTTCTATGAAGTTATCGAGGAACCAGTAGCGTGCCTGTGAAAATGACAGTCTCTCGGTCTTTTCAAACTCAGGGCCCGATATCGGTTGGGACAAGCTTGGTGTGCTCGCTGTAGGGAGTTCAGGATACTCCTTGGAAGCGGGTGCACTACCTGTCGGGGAGCTTTCTATATCGGAGGAGTCTAGCGAGGTAGGGAAGGATGTTGACAGCTGGCTGCTATCACTCGGACTGGTTTGAACATCGACAGCGTCCACATCGGTTGCAGGGGAGGCTACCTCCTGAACTTGCAGCCTTTCCACTAGTCGGCCACTGACCTCCTCCACGAGCTGGCCAATAGACGCGCCGTTGAGGAGCTGCAACACGGCCAGATCAATACCGAGATATTTAACGAACCATGTCCGGAGCTCAACAGCCACTAAGGAATCGATTCCTAGCTCCACCAGCATCGAGTCGCGGGAGATGATTTCATCGTCAGGAAGCTGCAACTTGCGGCGCACTTTGGCCAAAAAAGCAGGTTCAATAAGTCTTATGGCATCTTCTTTGGACGTAACGGTTTGTAAGTGGGTCTTAATATCAACGCTGTCTGTTGTCATTTTCAGGTCGCCTGTAGTTCCTTGATTGAAATGGTTGACATGGTGCCAGGCTTTTGGATTATTGATCCATATGACACCCGGTTGCGTCGGTGGTGATACGTACGACAAACCTGCAATAATGTCCGCAGGCTTGCCAGCGTCCGGAGGCCCTGCGAGAATGGCTTCCGCGAACAGCTCGTGGATATCTCCTGCGGAAAGAGTAGCGCTGCCCGTGGTTTCGCGGAGCGACTGCATCACCCAAGACTGTGCTCGGGATAAATACCCGACCCCTTGGATAGAGCCGGGGCTGATGATACTTCCTACCTGGCCTCGATCTCTCCGTCTATTCACAATGCTGGCCATAAAGCTATTGGCAGCTGCGTATGCTGATTGGCCGATATTGCCTAACTGAGATGTGAGAGATCCAAACATGATGAAAAAGTCAAGAGGCACACTGCCAAAAATCTCATCCAGTAGCAAACTCCCCTGAACTTTGGGCTTGAGTGTCTGCTGCAAAACATCACAGGACATATTAGCGAACATCTGGTCCTTAAGTATCATTGCTCCGTTGACCACACCACCTAGTGGCGGGGATTTGACGCGGATCTGGGCGTCAACAGCGAGAATCGACTCTCGGTCAGTAACATCCCTATGGTCGAGTCAGATATACACGCGATTCAGGGTACACTGGAACGTTGACTCACATGGCCATCGTGATTACTCTCGCACCAGCGTTGGACATTGCGTCAAACCAGTGCTGTTCGATTTGTGGCCGGCGACTCGCCAGAACTATATGGCGTGCCCCTCGGGAAACCATCCACTCACATACCGATCTCCCAAGGTCGCCAGCCATTCCAATCAGCAGGTATGTTTTGTTTGGGCTTAGATGGATATCGGAGCTGGCCGATTGTGTACGCACGGACACATCACAAACCTCCCGCCAGTTCAACAGACTCAATCCTTCTATTTTTGGTTGAATGCCCTGGAGAGCGGGAAGACTCAGGCTATTGGCATTGATGCTCTTCCCCGCAAGCTGACAGGCCATGCTATAAGCGCGGTTGAGGTCGTGGCTAACCAATTCGACGTCGTGTTTGGGATGAAGTACAGGGGAGGTGTGACACAGATTGGTTATGTCCTGAATTATAGCATTGGGGAAAAGAGAGCGGAGGTGGCGGGATATCGAGCCAGCCTGTCTGTCTAATTGGATAATGAGGGAAATGTTCCCACGAAGCTGACATGTCAGTCTCCGGTATGTGATCGAGGGGTGGATGAAGATGACGTCGTCTGATAACTCTTCATCGCTGCTGGTGGTGAACAAATGTTGGACACCTCTGACCAACGCCTGCTGCTTCACTGCGTCTCGGAGACTTTGACACGCACCATGTATCAACAAACAGGTACCAGGGGTAGTAGCTCTGACCAGGGATATTGCCATCAAGTCCCACGCGACAGCGCCCAAGAGGCTCTGGTCTTCTGCTCCAGGGGGCTGGCCGTACCGGATAGTCCAGCTAACCGGGGTGATGACGGTGGATGCGAGGCTGCGAGACAGTGCAATGACCGGGACAAGAGTGTCACATTCTTGACCGATGACCAAATATAGAAATCCAGCCTCATCTATTCGTAATGCCCACAGGGTAGACCAGCTGACTTTGATCTTGGTGTATGTTTCGTTTGTGGGTTCATGAAGATGTTGGGAGCACTGGACAATAGTGTAGCGCCCCTTCGTCAAAATCACTTCACAGTTGGAACTCTCCAGGTTGACAACGTGATCGATATTGCGCCTTTTGGACATGTATCGATCGTTCATCCCAACATCGTCGATGATACGTGCACATTCCATCGTGCTGCCGTTCCAGCGCAGCTCTGGCTCCGTCGTCCAGACAGCGACTGGCAAATCGTATTGGTTTTCAAATGTGGGCAACACCAAGCGCAGCAATGTCTCAGCAATGAGTTGCGATGAAAGACATGCTCGATCGGCGACATTCAGATGCTGGACACGTGCATAAGTGTTCTCGTGGCGTAGGCAGCGTAGGAATCCCTGTGACACAGTCTGGGCCGGGTTGTCTGTTAAGGAGCCTGCATTAACCCAGAGGAGATTCTGGGCAGCGTTTAATACCGTCTGTAAAGATTCCAGGTCTTGCTTCCGGAGACTAGAGCAGAGGCTGGGTTGGTCCAGTTCCAGAAGACTAAGCACCGTAGCCATGCTCCATGATGAGTACCTCTGGACGTCATCTAGTCCATCCACGACGAGCGTTTGACGGAAGAAAGGCCCCACCATGGTTTTCAAGGCTAAGATGAGCTCTGTTGTCTTGCTACTTGCGCAGCCTAAGATTATCAGGTCCTTTGGTGTAGGGGCTAGTGGAGGAGACCGTAGCGGATCACGGAGGAGGCTGATGGTGTCGTCCGCTGCTTGAGAGATGAACACTGACATACAGGCCAGCCGATTGCCATCATCATTAATGATTGTGTCTATTCCTGAGAAGCCCGTTCGTTTTAGTATAGAATCCCACTCCATGACGGGAAGCATCGGCCCCCAAGGTCGGATCTTGTCTTGCTCGCTAGGCCACCATCTATCGAGGCTCCCGTGGACAAAGGAGAGACGCAGGAGATTCGGATTAGTGCCCTCCAACACAGCCAAGTAGCCTCCAGGCTTGAGCAGAGAACGAACATGTCTTAAAGTGTCTTGCATATTGGCAGTGGTGTGAAGCACGCCGGCCGCCACAACCAGATCGTACGAGTGAGGTTCAAATCCCTGGGATGTGGGATCAACACCAATATCCAGAACGCGATAGATGAACTTGTCGGCATGCTCAGCATACTTCTTCTGTGCATCTTCAATGACACCTTTGGAGACATCTGTGAACGTGTAGGAATGGAACGACGGCCCAATTCGATCTAGGATCGTGCTCGTGGCCAACCCAGTGCCTGCGCCGATCTCTAGGATCTTCATACGCGGGAAACGGAAGGCGATTTGCTGTACAAGGGGCGCGAGATAGGCTTCGCTGCACGGGGCAAAATCATCGGATTCGCAGTACATTCGACTCAGAAGGCCAGCCTGGCTTAGCTCCTCGAGGATGGATGTCTCATATCTCAAGGCACGTAGCAGGTTCTGGCCGACTGTTTGTATCTTACTTGCGTCTACTTCCAGGGCCACCTCCGTCAGCTCATTGGCAATCTGGGTCAGATCCGCGTTTAGCCAGTTTGTTTGACAGGTAGGATGCGTCCCGTTACGGACCATTGATAGGGTATGGTCGATCCAAGACACTATCCGAATGCCATGCGGGCTCAGGTTGGCGCGGTCCTCGGCTGTCAGCTGAACTTGTACATCTTGTATGTATAACAGAGATAGCTGTTCCGATAGCTCCGATTGACGCACACTCCGGTGGGTTGCGACACATGACAACAGCCTGCCATCCGGATGCAATGGGCCCCAGGCTAATTTAGAGAACAGCAAGCGATCATCTGCCGCGGTGGGACGCGCCAGCGGAGATGTTTCCAAGCACTCGACATGTATAATCCCATTTCCAGTATGGTCATAGAGGGCGACATCCCCACAGGTACCGTCCGGATCTATCTGTGTAATCTCCGCGTCAAAATGAAGCTCCTCCCTTAACTCGTGAGCACGGCAGCCAAAGAAATACGGGTTGATGGTTATCCGATCAATCCGAGTAGGGACATGCAGCGTGTGTAACCGGCCATCCTCTGGCAGGCCTGAGGCTGGAAGTAGACCCTGTAGCAATGTATCCATCAGGGCTGGGTGTATTATCAGCATAGACTGTGGATCCTGCTGACAAGGATTCCAGATACAGCCGCTCGAGGTGCCCTGCTTGCGCCGGACGGAATGCATACCACGGAATAGATCCGTATACCCATGCCCCAGTGTGCCCAGGTGTTCGTAGAAAGCATCCATGTCAACCTCTGCCATTTGGCAGGTATTCTGCAACCGTTTCGGAAGCACACAGGGGCTCTGCTCGCCAAATCTGGCGACTAAATTACCTGAGGCACATTCTTGGAGGCGACCCCCAATATTGGCGTAGCAGGTAAATTTTACACCTAGTCTATCCTCTTCTTTAGAGTTTCGATCCAAGTGAAACAATACCTCGACACCGGGGCTACTATCATCACCAAATGCTATAGCCGTCTGGATGCGAAGATCGTATAACTCCAGTAGCCGGATGCTCCTGTCCTCTGCAATGATATGCACGGCCTCAATTGCCATTGCCGCATACCCTGTGGCCGGGAAAACTGCCTGGGATTGAATCATATGGCCATTGAGCCACGCCATATCTCGTGGATGGAGGATATTGCACCAAACGTATTTGTTGTTGGTACTGTTTGGAGTCAGGGTGCCCAGTAGCGGGTTTGCTCTTCCCGCATGGTGGGTAAGTGCCTTGGAATATCGTGACTCGGCCCAGTACCTTTGAGTCCGGTCAAACGGGTAAGGTGGGAGATCTTTAACGACGGCGAAAGCCTCCCTACTGTCAAAATGCCGAATGTGTGACTCCAGGTCTAGCTTGTCTGGGCCTACCATGCGGTACAGCTCCCCGATTGCCGCCGAAAAGGTTTCTATACCGGAGGTGAAACGGTTGAGCAGACCAACGTATCTTGGCTCCGGCGCTTCACTAGATAGACCGGAAATGGTCTGTAGAACGGGGCCCTTCAGGGTAGGATGAGGGCCTACCTCGATCACCATGTCTGGAGTCATCGTATGCATGGCCGCTGTGACAGCCTGTGTGAACAAAACAGCATTCGCCATATTGTCGCGCCAATAGCCAGCCCACATAAGATCTAGATGGCTATTTCGTATCTGCTCGCCATCATAGACGCTGGAAAACCAGGCTGTAGAATTACAGGCCTGTGGATGTATCTGGCACCTCTTAAGGGCCTCCATATACGGCTCCAAGCATGGGAGCATGTGATGCGAGTGGTACGCAGTCTTAACCTTGAGCATACGTGCGAATTGCTTCTGCTCTTTTAGACGCATTTCTATCTGTTCAATGGCATCCGCGTCCCCGGACAATGTCACACTGGACGGCGAGTTCACTGCGGCAACCTTGACCCGCCCAACCCACTCAGGTAGTTGGCAAAAGGCTTGTGCCTCATCAGCATTCATCCCCGCAGCTAGCATTCTCCCTTCTTTTCCATTATTGCCCGCCAGAAATGCGACAAACCCCCGAAGATGAGCGATACGAATTGCATCTGATTCAGTCACAACACCGGCTGCATAAGCTGCCGCGATTTCACCAGAAGAATGGCCCACCACCGCTGAGAACGTAATGCCAAGTGAGCGTAGGAGCTTGACAAGTATGATTTGCACAGCAGTGCATAGGGGTTGCGCGATGGCTGCTTGGTGCAACCGTGAGGTACCCTCCGGTGCCGACAGCTCTTCCAGGAGCGAGTAAGAAGGCCGGTATTCTATTGGCAGACTATTTAAAGACTCCTGCAAAACGCTAAGCCAGCCTTGGATACTTGGAGACCGTGTGAGCAGATCTGCACCCATCTGTGCCCATTGTGCACCCTGGCCGGTGAAGACCCCCAGGATGTGAGCCGGCGTGGCGAGCGGACGATGAAGGTCAGGAGCGAAGCCGGCAGAGTTCCTATGAGCAAGCTCTTCTTGCAGCTTAATACGCAAGGCGCTTAGGGATGAGGCCGTAAAAGCCCGCCGTCGGGGGAACACTGAACGTCTACGGAACAATGTCCACGCCAGGTTAATCGCGTCCACCTGAGGTTGGTGGTTGAGGAATTCGATAAATGCAGCTAAAATATTCTGCAATGCCTTCTCTGAATGTCCAGAAAATACAAATGGGACCATCCCCACGCCACTCGAAGTATCACTCACGTTATTGGAGTCCTGAGTGTACGATTCCAAGATTACATGGGTGTTGGTGCCTCCAAACCCGAATGAGTTGACAGAGGCTCGACGTGGGACTCCCTCTGGCAGTGCAGGCCACGGTTTTACCTGGGTTGGAATGCGCAGCCGGCCATAGAATGGCTCGATATCCGGGTTCACTTGTTGAAAATGTAAGTTGGGCGTGATGACACCATGTTGGAGACACAGCGATGCTTTTATTAGGCCTGCCAAGCCCGCAGTGCCTTCAGTATGGCCGATGAGTGTCTTCACTGATCCCACGTAAAGTGGATTTAGGTCGTCTGCTGCCGGGCTCTTAGTATGGCCGTTGTCGCTGGTGAAAAACGCCCTATATATCGCCGAGGCTTCCTGAGGATCTCCCGCCGCCGTTCCAGTCCCATGGGCTTCAAAGTATTGGCATCGATCTAGAGGCCGACTAATTGGATCCAAGCCCGCCTTACTATATGTGGAGCGGATCAAGGCCGCCTGGGCAGTACCCGACGGCATTGTGATCCCCATAGTGCGGCCATCTTGATTGACTTGCGTGGCTCTGATGATACAGTCGATCGGGTCTCCATCTGCCACGGCATCGCTGAGTTTCTTTAGAACAACGGTAGCAATTCCCTCCCCTCTTGCATAGCCGTCTGCATCAGCATCCCACATGCGACCCCGGCCCAGAGGTGAAAGCATATTCAAATTCGCCTCGGAGACATACATGCTGGGCGCCAGTATGAGGTTGGTCCCACAGGCAACAGCCACGCGGCAATCATTGTTACGGAGAGCCTTTGCGGCAAGATCGACAGCAACGAGACTGGATGAGCACGCAGTATCGATCGCTATAGATGGACCGTGCCAGTCAAAGAAAAAGGAGACCCTGTTGGGGATAATTGAGCGAGCCGTACCCGTGGCAGCATATCGAGGAAGCCAGTTGATATCGCGCGCCTGGATGAGCGACCAGTCATCACACATAACACCACAGAAGACCCCAGTCGGGGAGTCTCGTAGGTCCTCGATTCGAATTCCAGATGCCTCCAGCGCTTCGTAGACTGTTTCTAAGAGAAGTCTCTGTTGCGGGTCAATGCATTCGGCTTCGCTGGCGGACATGTTGAAAAACGATGCATCAAAACCTTTCACATCCTCCGTGAGAAAGTATGATTCGGTGACATTTGTAGTGCCATTGTGGGAACTGACTGGGTGATAGAAGGAGTCAATGTTAAACCGGTCTTTGGGTACTTTACTTGCAACATCTCGAGGCTCATGTAGAAGATCCCAGAGGCGCGAAGGAGTTGAGCAGGATCCAGGGAATCGGAACCCTGTACCAACTATCGCAATGGGCTCCATCAGAAGAACTCTTGCAAATGAAAATAAAAGTCACTAGGAGGTGATGATGAGGAGCATTGGATTTGAAAGTATATTGGCTAACTGATAATTTTCTTCTTGGAATACAAAGCCACAGGTTCCCCATGCCTTTTGAACCTTCCCAGCAAAAAGGAGTATGTCTTGCCAGTGGATCCACATATTGAACAACTGACTAGCGGTGAGGTGCAAAGAGACTAGAGTGACCTCTTGACGATTGGCTAGTATTGTATCGTTACTATTGTACTCTCTATGATTTTACATTATGCCTAACCTATCGGACTCCTTACTTCTCTATCTTTCTTCACAGAGAGAAACAGATATATCCCTTGGCGAAGGCGCTTCGCATTGAACTATTGACGCCACCCGCTGAATTACTAACTAGTACTCAGGTATTCCATCCTTCCCCCATTTATAGACAGCAGGAGGTACTGATCACTCGATGATGAGGTGGTTGTCGAGTGTATGCTTCTTGTCTTTCTCTCTGTCGCCAGGAACTGAAGCTCGGAACTGTTACATCTGACCGTGGCGACCTGCAGCCCGCATGAATGCTCGGAGTCTCTCCACTTCCGCGCCCTTCAATCGTGGAAATATGATGAGTTCACAGTACGCCCTTGACTGCCAGTCACCTACGGCTATTGAGGCGTCTACATGTCACTCCAAATCTCAAGATGAAAGTCGGGATGAAATGGCTAAGGAAGGCACCTCCTCACTTCCGCCAGCGGACCATAGCTCAGACCCAGGCAGGGCTTGCTGGAGCTTTACTCATTATATGGTGGTATTTGGCTCATTCTGTGGGTTGTTTGCGTCCTTCGGCTGGTGTTCGGGTGATTAATCTCTCCTTTCTTATTTCAATCTCAGTCTAACACTCCTCAAGGGATCGGACTCTTCCAGGACTATTACCAACGGAACCAACTGAAGGCCTACTCGCCGACGATCATTGCGTGGATCAATAGTTTAGGGTTTTTCCTTATGTATTTCGGAGTAAGACTCCATCCAAATCCTATCGCCTGAGCCTGACTCAACTTTTTCTGCCAGGCTTGTCTTGTGGGGCCTCTTACAGTACGCTTAGGTCCTACGCCAGTCATTATAGTTGGATCGACATTGCATGTTGCAGGCCTTCTCGGTACTTCCTTCTCGTCGAAGTTATACCAGATCATTCTGTTGCAAGGCATTCTCAGCCCCCTGGGGGTCAGTGCGGTGTTTTTCGTTAGTGAGTGCATTCATTCGTCCATTCATTGCCAGCAGGACGCCTTCGTAAGAATATGAGCTGATTCCTCCTCCACCCAACGTATCAGACGTCCAGATATTAAACCGATGGTTTCGGGGTCGTCAATCACTAGTGACTGCTATTTCTGCCTGTGGTACGAGTATTGGCGGGGTGATCTTTCCATTGATGATCAAGTATCTCCTGCCGAAAATCGGTTTTGGCTGGACCATGCGATGTGTCGTGCTGATCATTTTCCTTCTCTTGATCATCACTACCATGTGTATCAAAGCCCCACCCGCCAACCCTATACCACAGCCACAACCAGCTAGCGCATCTCAGAATCATCGCCGCTGGTCCACAATTCTCAGGGACCGCAATTTACTATTCACTATTACTGGAATCTCGTTTCTCGGTAGCACATATTTCCTGGTGTCCGGCTTTGTCGTCCCAGTCGCCAGGCTCCGCGGGTGGGACGACCAGGTTGGTGCCATCGTGTGTCTCAATGCAGCCAGGTACGCAAGCCCACCCCGATGAGAGAGATCTTACTCCCCAGACGCCACTAATGAGTCGATCGGCACGCCAGCATCGTGGGCCGAATTGTGCCAGGTCTGATGGCGGATCGAATAGGGCGATTCAACACGATGGCCGTGTTCGGCATTCTGTCTACGGTTTTTATATTTGGGTTGTGGCTTCCTGGCACTGGAGTTTCCACGTCTATTGCCTTTTCCGTGATCTACGGATTCAGCTCGGGCTGCGCAGTTTCTCTGGGTCCGTCCATGATGTTCAAGATCTCCCAACCGCAGCACATCATTCCGAATCTGACCCTCCTTTACTGCGTCCAGTCTATCGCTGCTCTCTTCATCAATCCCATTGGGGGCGCTCTTTTGTCCGTGGGGCACGGGCAGAATCCACACTATCTGCAGCTTCTAGCCGGCTTCATTTGTGCAGTAGGGACGATCTTCACGATTCTCGCGCGAGCATCCCAGACGGGGCTGGTGGTGAAGAAGGTTGCATGATTTCTGCGTGTTGGGACTGCAAGGGTCTTCGAGCTTAGGGCTTAGTGGACTGCAACTAACTTTTGGAATTCTTGCCAAAGCACTGTGGGAGGGTCAGAAACACTTCCTGCAAGCTTCAGCTCTCCACAGAAGACTCTCCTCAACCCACTGTTCTGGACCAAATGATCTACATTCCACACTCCAGACGTCCCCCACACCGCTGTCGTTCGATGGGCCATCGTAACGCATCAGAGACAGGGGTATTCCAAATACAGAGAGTTATAGTGTGGTTGAAGAAATATAGTAGATATATTTTTATTATAGTTCTGTACTGAGAACTGTTTAAAAGTAGTAATACACGTGACTAAAAGAGAAGAATTATATATATCGGCCATCCATCTTTTCGGTTAGCAGATCAGACACGTTCAATAGCGGGTGGGTCTGCTGATCTAAGAAACGGCTATAATTGGTTCAAAGGCTCCACTCGACTCCCTTTTAAGGAACTCTGTAAAAGTAAATCGATGAGATTTCCCTGCATAGGGGTTTGAAGGGGATTTTATATGGTAATCTCTTTCCGACCTCTAAGTTTGGATTGCTTGTAACGGTGGTTTAACTTTTACTCTAGTGGTTCTTAAAGGGCATACATAGGGCCAAACGGAAGTTATTCCCGAGGCAAAATATTCACTTTCTACATCTCCCCGTGACAGATCTACGGAGATCACCGGTCAGAATCTAGGTCAGAAAGCAGGGGATGAATCTGCGTAACTTTTCTCCCCAAGTTTAGATTTGAGTTCAAATGGTTTGCTCTGGTGCGGATCTTAGTGCTACATTACATGAAAATTTCAAACGCCTGCCGACTGGGCAGAAAAGAGAATGATTTTAGGTGAGTTGAGATAACGATATGCCATAGTACGTTATGAGAAAAGCCATAAACTCCCCATCTAAAAAGTAGAATACCTGCCAGGTAACGCTCCAAAGTTAACTAGAAAAGTCACAGAACAACGATCAATCTAAGAGTCACCACTAGTCCAAGATTCTAAGTCCTCGATCAACGCAGAACAGACCATGTAGTTATGGCACCAATCACCGCGAAGAAAGCAGCCCACCGAGTAAGGCCACGCCTAATATGATAGTTCGCTACCGCATCGATGGCTTGACCATCATTGATGCGCGGAAATGCGATGTCCTTCGGCACATCCTTGCCAAGTGCCTTACACAGCGGCTCCCAACCCTCCCTCACATCAAAGAATACCAGACGATCCTCCGGCACAACCTCCTTTAACCAAGCAATATGACGGTGGTAGATATCCACGGTGGATTCTAATTTCCCATACACCCGACGTTGCTGCTTGGGAAAGTAGGAAATCCACTTGACGAAATGCCTCATCCCAGGAAGCGGGAGGAGGACTGCCGGAAGGTACCACAACGTTGCTAAGTGACGGACTTGCGCATAGCTTTTCACCCAGGCGTCCGGATCTCGAACAGTACAGATGACCATGGCATCAGGGTACAGTTCTAGGAGTTCTGGGACAAGTTGTGTGCCAGGAGCATCGGTGATGGCAGCGTATCCGTCTAATGTCTCCTCTAGAAGGGTCAAGGCTTCCTCCCGGTCCTGTGGTGCCCCAGTTAGGCAGTTCTGCATGATGCTGATCCATGACTGTATTTCCGATGGTGGTCCCATCGTCACTTGGGTTCCACCATGGTAGACCGGGCCTTGAAGCAGGATGTTTAGAGCGCTGCTAAAGGAAGCCGTCCCTGTCCGAGAGAGACCGGCCCCTATGACTTGGAGTTTTGTTCCCTTTTGAGGAGTAGAAGCCTTGTGGCCCATATTGCTAGCGAATGTATATGGAGGTTTCGAATTAAGAAGCTAACAGCAACGGTTCTCTTGTCGCCGTTGGAAAAATTCAACAAGAGAACAGTGTTTGGAAGACGGACAACATGGTTTTGGGGTGGTGCGTGTAGGGGATTTATTGCTGGCGTAGCTGAGCCAAGCCCTACAATACATGCAAATTAGCGAGTTGCAGAGAAGAAAATAATTTAAAGAAAATTGGCATTTTGTTTTCTTTCAATCCCTCACACGTATGGTTAGTTCATAAAATTCCCATTACTCATGTTCGTATTGATCTGACGTATCCAATGGATAGGATCACCAATACCTCTGAGATAAAACCCCTATGCAACCCGACAAAACGGCCATCCCTCAAAAATTAGAGCCTAGAAATAAGCATGTTGGTAGGCTCGACGCTATTGAAGACAATTCAACGTTTACCCAAACAATTCACGAGGAAAATTCTCTTCACGCCTCATAATATACTTCGCGTCCCTTGCGTTGCCTCGTGTTCTCCCTTCTCTTTCTAGAAATTCTACTGGGGCATATCTTAGAATATGCAAAGGAGACTCATTACGGTCACCAGATCGAGTGGAGTTAGTCTTAGTTAAGTAGGGATTAATCTAAAGAATTCACAAACCTTGTCTTTTCAGTCGAGGCCCTGAACCGCTCTCTCTCTCTCTTTCCTCTTTCTCCCCCCCCCCCCCACCTTTTCTTTTCTTCCTCAATTCTTCCACTGTTGCCATAGACCAATCGGGAAGCATGTTTGGACTTAATAGCCATTGTACGTAGTGATAATTCTCTAGGCCAACAAGTTGCTGTATACTGTTGTGGATAATCACTATGCAACCTTCTCATATTCGGAGGATCAAGGCTCGATAAATGCCTGACCAGACTTCATGCTAGTAAAGATCCAATGTAAGCACTATCATGCACTCTGCTATATAACCTAGTCCAGCTTAGAACCAGGCGTCCACCTTCTAACAACTTTTGTCACCCATATCCGTCACAATTTCTCCGAATTATAATACGTGCTCATGCGGTATTTTGTTTCACCATTGTACTGAGATAGATCCTGCAGTGCCTGCAAACCCTCTCTTCTAATGGTGGACCGGATCTCCTGGTTGCGAGGAGTAATCCGACACTCAAACGGGTTGGGCCGCATGTTGAGGCCATTCCTATAAGACACGATCGATTAGCCGCTACGTACTCGTGAATCAAGGAAGAATCGCCATCGAAGCACTTACGTATAATCAAAGATATCCACGGGAATTTCATTTCCGCGCTGGTCCAGCGCCTTTCGAATATCAAAGCCCCACAGTAACCGTGCAATGGTGATAAAAGTCCCCTGCTCAGCGAGACCCTGGCCGCTGCACACTCGCCGTCCCCATCCAAATGTCATGTAGCCCTTATCGACCGGGAACGGGCGATGAACAGGGCTTGCTTCGAAGTATCGATCCGGATTGAAGCGGTCGGGCTCGGGGAATTCTCGTTCGTGATGATGAATTGCCCAGACGTTCCCCTGTACCCAGGTATTTTTAGGGATTAACCAGCCCTAAGCAGGTTCCTCGTATCAGCACATCGAGGCATGAACCGACAGGGAGAATTTAACACAAGAGCATTGCACCTTATAACGATCGTCCTTAATCGGCGCATGCGGCTGCCCCCCAATAATAGCAACCGACCTCCACCGCAGCACCTCTTTCACAAACGCCTTCACATATGGCAGGTTGGGCTCATCGTCGAACGTTGGACTTCGGTGCGGTCCCACCGCCCGGTCGAGCTCTTCCCATGCCCTGAACAGCGTCTCCGGGAATGCACAGCAAGCGAGAACAAAAGTGACAAGCGTGGAGCTGGATGTGTCACTGCCTGCTCCGAAAAGGTTACCGGAGAGCGAGGAGATCTCCATTTTAGTAAGATTGTGCTTCGGTGCCTCTTCAAACAGCTTCCTTGCGTAGCACTGTCTTCCCTCCGGATCACTGGCTACTTCTTCTGCTAGTGCATAGAAGAAAGGCCTGCCGCGTCCTTGTCCATTGCCTAATCCGTGCTTCCAGGGTGCCATCCAGTTCGGGAATTTGGCGAGGACTAGACCATGTTAACTAAAGCACGGGGATTGAGATATGTTGATAGAAGACTAACAAGGAAATGATTCCATCAACATGGGAAACGACTTCCCCGGCACATTCAACTCAGCCGCCCGCTGCATCACCGCGATCACCTCTGTGATAATCGGGTCCGTATATGCAGACACACGTCGTCCAAACCCAATTATTGAGACCACGCTCGTCGCATACCTCTCAAAATGACTCACATACTCCTTAGGTTCGCTCAAGAGGTCCAACGCAACGACCTTGCTCTCGTCGTTCTGGAACCCGCGGTAGTTGCGCACTTGCTGCAGTCCAACACCCATATGTGTTAGTTTCCTGTGTAGCCGCCACCTATCTCCATAGTACATGTTGACCATATTAGACTGGCCAGCGCCGAGCTCACTAAAAACGACCATCCGTGGACGGGAGGCATAGATCGCGGCTCGCTTGTTGAGGAGTTCGTTGGCGGCCCAGGCGTCGCAGATCCAGATTGTTGGTCGCCGGCCTGTCCAGAATGTGATCATGGGCGTGTTGTATTCTTTTGCTAGTTCCTCGAAGTATATCCATGGTTTTTGGTCAGGTAGTAGATGTGTATTTCCGACTAGGGGCAGGGGAAAGGGGCCTGGTGGCTGTACCTGATTGTTAGCGCAGCTATCGGGATATATTTGATGTTAGTGGAAACTTGCCATTTGAAAATGAAGATATATCATATATCCATAGTCTACAATCAAGACCAGTCCCAGAATCACAATTACCAGAGGTAATGCTGTGGTAAGATTTACTTTGCTCCATCCAGGATGGCTGAGAATGTGCCAATCCTGGATGAGAGCAAAGAGCTGCTCAACCCTTTCGACTATCATGATTCTGAGGTGGTGATATGCGAACAGGAAGCTTTCCACGACAACTACGTCAGCTAGCTATTTACATATATTTTCAGACCCCTATTTCACCCTGCTTCGGATAAGTGTATATACCGAAATCACGATGATAGGCCTGCTAGGTCCTGCGGGGTATCGTCTTCTGACCTGGTTGGGAGATCAACATAAATATTGGGACATCAAAGTGGCGGCACAAGTGGCGGATATCCCGCCACTGCTGAGCTTACCCCACATCCTGTACTGTTTGAAGAAAGTCTGGGGAAGGATTGGCATATCTTAGATTATGGGCAGCAATTGTGACCATCTAGCCGTCGGCATATTGCTCCGGTTGGGAGGTCTACAGTTGTAGAGATATACCATCCAGGGAAGCCACACGACCATATGTATGTATTCAAGTTAACAGGTTTATCTTCTTCCAACTCGGTAAACCCTAATATAGTAAACCTGAGCGGGATCCGCTGCCGCTGCCCCAGATGTTCGGAGCCCCATTTGCGGGGTTTGTGGGGTAATTAAAGCCGATCTCTAAAAAGAAGTACATTAGCATAATCTGAATAGACAATCCGACTGAGTCAGGTGCATTTTAAAGGAACGCTATCGGTGGAACGTCAGAGTCGGACATATATTCGTGACTTCCATGGAGTCCTCGGCATAGGTGCTGTTCTTTTATAGCCGGAGCTACGAATCGATATAAATGTGGGGATACACCTTGAAAAAGAAGTGGCGCTGCACTCTGGCCTTGAGGTCATAACCGACGTTGCAGCTACCTTTCGTAAATGCTTACTTCCTTGTATCCTCATGGCAGAGATTAGTATATCCACGACAACATTATGGCAGAACCGAAAATGTCTTCTCCTCTGCTCACTAGTCTCAATGGCCAACCTGCAATATGGATTTGACCTGGCTGCTATTGGATCTCTCCAGGCTATGCCAGGCTTCCTCAAAGTATTCGGATACCCAGACCCAGGATCTGAGGGAGGATATGCCATTGACGTGAGATTATATCGCCTCTTTCAGAATGACGCGCAAAAACTAACCAACCGCCAATTCACATAGAGCACGGTTCAACAACTGATTACGTCTCTCTTAACTCTGGGTTCCTTCGTCTCTTCCCTGGTAGCAGGGTTCTTCTCAGCCTACCTAGGCCGCCGACATGCCTTGTGGCTCGCTTGCATCGTCAACGCCATCGCATGCGCCATCCAAATTGGCGCCCCCTCACCAGGAGTTCTATACCTTGGGCGAGTACTATTAGGATTCGCGAACGGATTCCTGGTTACATTCTCCAATATTTACACTGCAGAGGCATCACCAGCCCACCTGCGTGGCGTGATGGTTGCTCTGTTCGCGTACTGGGTGAATATCGGTAGTATTATGGGTGCTGCGGTGGATAACAAGACTAAGGAAAGGATGGATCGCCTTTCGTATCGGATTCCCTTGGCTTGCCTATATATTGTCCCTACTTTCCTCTTCGTGGCGTTGTTCTTCGTCCCTGAGAGTCCGCGGTGGCTTCTCCATCGGGGAAAAGTGCAAGCTGCAAGACGAGCGCTTGAGCAACTCCGCGGTACTAGCTACGCTACGATACGTGCTACATCCAGCAGCGATGAAAGCGGGGATGAGATGGCCCCGTCTCTTCTGGAACTGGAGTGGGCGGAGATGGTCAAGGGTGTTGAAGAGGAAAAGCGCGAGCAGGGAAACGTTACAGCGTTAGACATGTTCCGAGGTGAGTTCACCTTTATTTCCGAACCTAAAAAGAATGAGTTCATCATCATCTTATAAACAGGAATTGATCTCCGCCGAACAATCCTCTGCTACTGCATGATCGGCTGCCAATCCGCGTCCGGCGTGTGGTTCCTAATCGGCTACCAAACCTACTTCTTCACAGTATCAGGCATAACCAAAGCCTTCGAGTTCTCCATCATGAACACCTGCTTCGGCTTCCTCGGCGTCAACATCGGCATGTACGCAATCCGGAACTGGCTTGGTCGTCGCGCAATCCTCATACTCGGTGCTATCGCCTGCGGATTGTGCCAATTAGGAAGCGCCATCGCAGCAACGGTGAGTCCGAACTCTCTTCCTACAGGTCAGGCATTGGTCGCCTTCACGGCTTTGTTCATGTTCTTCTACAACGGCTGTGTTGGTGCCGCGAGTTACCCCGTTGCAACGGAGCTGGTTAGCTCGAGGTTGCGCGCCTGGACGGTGGGCACGGCCACGTCGTTGGGTTACCTGCTTGCTTGGTTGGTGAACTTTTGTACGCCGTATTTTATTAATCCGGAACATTTGAATTGGGTATGTTGCTTCCCCCTGGGATCTATTTGTTTCGTGTCGAGACTGAGACGATTTGCTATACAGGGCGCCCGCTACGGGTATATCTGGGCTGGGTCCAACCTGGCTTGTGTCATCTTCTTCTACTTCTTCATCCCTGAGATGAAAGGTCGCTCGCTGGAAGAGTTGGACGAAATCTTTGCCGCTCGGGTCTCGGCTCGCCAGTTCTCGTCCTACCAGTGTCTTATCGGGGAGGCAGCGAGAATCGATGCTGTCAATGCGGAGGGTCGTAAACATAACTGGGAGATGTAGTAAGCAATATTAGGGTTAGATGGGCGGAAATTGTCAATTCCTTGGTCACCGTTGTATTCTTTCTATTATATTCCTAGCACTCCTAGATGCTCTCTAAATTTACACGACTTTTTACCATCGCTCCGTTAGGCAGTTGTTTCGCGAGACAACGCTTTATGTACCTAAAACTATATGCATACCTCAACCGCCACGAGAGAAGATGGAGGACGTCAGTAAGAGGACAGAGTCTGTCTAATGCCAGCCCCGTGGGGAAATCAATCAATGGATTATTAATTGGAACGTCCAAAATTAATAAAGTGGAACTTGTTAACCAAGACGTCAGGTCCGTAGGTGGTCAATTCAGACTCACCAAAGCTTCAACCCTTACTGCTGCAATAATGTGGGCAATGTGAGGTATCACTTCATCCCGGATCCTGCAGAATAAGTGATCATGTTTTGAGCCAATAACACCTAGATAAACTGCAGATCTGGATGGATTCATGCATCTTAAACTTCTCCTCGTTATTAATGACTCTCTTTTATTGGGTCAACCACAAGACCCGAAGTATGATTCGCCCATAACAGTATCAATGCGTTTATGACAACTTCATGCTAATTTAATAGTACGGCCATGAACCTGTTTTGTGCCGCATAAATCTCGAAACACTTATCCTAATAACATATAATACACTTTGTTCTGACCTTCTTCTGCGACCGCGAACATTCTATCCTTCCTCCTTGTCCAGGCGAAGCTCTATATACAGCAGAAAACAGCGGGACAAAGTCTGTGCCCGCCATGGAGTCCATACTTCTACTGCTCGCAATTATCCTCGTCGGTTTATCTCTGGTTAGATCATTATTCGGCAGAAAGCACCCTCTAGGACCCTTACCACCAGGACCTCACCGAAAACCGATAATCGGCAATCTAACGGACCTGCCATCCCACGATGTCCGCGATTGGGAATACTGGCTTACACATAAAGACCTCTACGGTAGTCACCTCGTCTACAGAACAGAATATCTCCCTCCCCAGGGCAATACTAACATTGAGCTAGGTCCAATCAGCTCATTGAGCATATTAGGCGACAATATCGTCATCCTCAATGACGCCCGCTACGCCAGAGAAATACTTGAAAAGCGGTCTTCCATCTGGTCCTCCAGACCTAGTTGGAACTTCGGTAAAATGTCGTCGTCATTTCCACCGGACATGCTTGGACTCAGTAATGGCTGCTGACACCAGCCTAGGGCCGGTTGGGATAAGATTCTAGGCACCCTAGAATATTCAAACCCCTCGTTTAAGGACATGCGGAAGGCCCTTGGTCATCAGATTGGGTCGAAGTCAGCTGTGTCTCGATTCAACGCGGTGCAGGATCGTGAGGTCCGTCGGTTTCTTCTTCGTGTACTTGAGGATCCGGATAATTTACTACAACATATACGCAAGTATGCTTTACGCGGCTGTCGCGCCTGGAATGATGAGTGTGTTTACTGATAAAGTCGCTAGAGAGGCTGGTGCTATCGTTTTAAAGGTCGCTTATGGCTATACGATTGAGCCACATGGACATGACCCTCTTGTTGACCTCGCCGATGAGGCGATGGCTACGTTTGGGTTGGCGATTCTCCCGGGGACGTGGGCTGTGGATTTTATTCCGATCTGTAAGCTGTTGGGGAGCAATCTCTCTCGTTTTGGTGCGGGCGTTGACTTAGATATCAGTGAAACATGTGCCTACGTGGTTTCCGGGGGCTCGGTTTGCGCGAATGGCAAAACAATTTCGAAAGCATGTTGCAGCGTTCAGCGATGTGCCCTATGCCTTTGTGAAACGCAAGCTGGCCCAGCAAGACTTTGAGCCATCTTTTCTGGCCGGTTTACTCCAGAAGAATGCGAACCAGCTTGGGCCGGGGTCTTATGAAGAAACGGTGATAAAGTGGGCTGCTGCGTCCTTCTATGGGGGCGGATCTGATACGGTATACACACATTTTGTCCATATCACACTCCAAGGATTGAGACCCATGCTGATATATTCCAGACGGTATCCACCATGTCGAGTTTCTTCCTTGTGATGGCCCTCTTCCCCGAGGTGCAACGGAAGGCGCAAGCCGAAATTGATCGTGTTGTAGGGTCAGACCGTCTACCTAGTTTTCAGGATCGCGAAAATCTCCCATATATTGATGCCATGGTCAAAGAAATCCTCCGGTGGCATCCGGTTCTCCCGATGGGTACCGCGCATGCCTCCGTCAAGGACGATATGTATGAAGGTTATTCCTTTCCCCGAGGGACTCTGATGGTCCCAAATGTTTGGTGTGTATCATCCTGTTTGCGACACCGACCTTATATGGTTTCACTTGAACTGTTCCAAAGAGCGCCCAGTTGAACAAAACAAAACTGCCCTGAAGACAGACCATATACCAGGAGGTCAACTATTCCTGCTAACCGCATTTAGGGCATTCACACACGACCCCAATACCTACCCAGATCCGCACTCCTTTAAGCCCGAGCGCTTCCTGAGCGACGAAGGACACGACCCGGAGGCCAATCCGTACTACTTGGTCTTCGGATTCGGACGCCGTGTCTGCCCCGGCCGCACACTAGCGGATGCGAACCTATATATCTCCATTGCTCAATCGGTGGCAGCCTTTACCATCACCAAGCCGACTCGAGATGGCAAGGAGATCGATCTACGGACCGAATATCAAGCGGGTGCGATCAGTCACCCGGTGCCGTACCACGTTACTATCCAGCCGCGTAACCCGCGGTATGAAGAGCTTATCCGAGCAGTGGAAACAGACCATCCGTGGGAGAAAAGCCATTCTGAGGAGCTTAAAGATCTTACGCTGGTGTGATTTGTGGCGTGGGTATTCCGGTTATTTCTATATTTTTATTGTTGATACTACTGGGACTGCAGAGACGGCGTCGCTGTTGGCTCATCCAAGAACAATATATTTTGCATGGTGTCTCTACTGCCATGATACAAAGGGGCGTTGCACGATTGAACCGGTACCTTCGACTAAGCGATGGAATGAGTGTATTTTCAGGGTTGGGGAACAATAAAGGGCCTGGGTGTGGCCATAAGAACGCATACTTTGGGGCAACCCAAATTAGCAAAAAGGAAAAGCGTAGCAACACTCAGACCAGTCTCCCAGAGCCGAGTGAAAAAGCTCTGGGAGAGCAAAAAAGATGGAGACGCGGGGAATCGAACCCCGGACCACTCCCATGCTAAGGGAGTATTATACCACTAAACCACATCCCCAATTGGATATTCGGACACAGTTTCAAAAGCTATATAGAGGCATGCTCAACGGTCCGGTCAATTGTTGAAACCGCGGACTTGCGCATTCCAGGCCAGATTCCAAGAATGCGGTCAAGGTCCAGAGTTCAGCTAATGCGGCGACCCACGTGGAAAGGGAGATAATCCCGTTGAAACAGCGAGGTATGTGGTATGATATTCCCGACCGCCTGTTCACGGACATTAGAGACCCGACTTGGTGATGGGGGCCGAGCATCACGGAGCAGACTCCGGAAATATATTGTTGTCTGCCATGCTGCTGCAGGTGGTCGCATAGACTTTCCCCATCCACTCCGCCGTGTATTACGACATGTCGGTGGACCACAACTTGAAGGCAAGTTAGTTGTTTACCTTCTGTCAGACCGACTCATCTTGCCGGGATTCTCCCCTCGAAGTTTAATTATAGTACCGAGTGGAGTGAGATCATCTTCTAAAATATCACTGCCTGGTGTCGTGGCTGTGGAAATTCCAGACGTATGCAAGCTGAGACAGGCAACCCAATTTCAGAGTGGACCAGGGGATTTTCCGTGCGCAGTTCCCAGCACGATTGAAACACCTGAGGAGGGGGGGATCAATTAATTCGTGGGACCGGATTCGAGATGGGAGCTGTCTTGTTCCGTGAGACCTACAGTGACAGCTCACGAGGTGGAGGAGAGAGAATGCATCTTCTTCGTCTTTGCTGTAAAGCCAGCAAACGGAGTCCGTGTATTAAAGTATGCAGCCCACATTTCCCGGTGGAGACCTGCGGTGGGACACGGAGAGTCTCGGCAGGAATGTTGGATGGTCTCAAGACGACTCGGGCGCAAAGTCGACGCCTGACGATGACGATGATCAGGATTTTCATGTTGCAAAAGTGGATTGCTGGGGGAAACTTGCTGCGGTGGCTGGAGGATCTCTGAAACGTTGATACAATCACAATACACGTTGTGAGGCTGTTGCGTCCTCCTTGGGACAGCTCTGAAACGGGAGGAAAACCAAGTTGGGATCGAAAACTGCGACCGATAAAATACAGGGCGCTAGTCTGCATGAGGGAACGTCGTTTGAAGAAGTCACTTCGTTGCATGCAGGAACACACCAGCTCCACTAATCAGAATGAATCCCCAGCCACCCCCAGCCACCCCAACTCTCAGCGCCTGACCCAGGGTCCCACTCCGCATCCAATCAGGCTGCACCTCGGTCGTGCATCACGTAAGTTTGGGTAAAGTTTCCATATCCGCTCAGATCGTCTTATCGCCAGGTCTTGTTCTTGTTCTTGTTCTTGTTCTGGTTCTGGTCGTGTTTGCTTTCCCCTCCCTTTCTTTCATCTTCATCTTCATCTCATCCTATCCTTTCCTTTCCTTTTCTTCCTCACTCGATCGGAGTCTTTGTGTCTTTGGTTGCTCAACGTTCCCGCCCCTGTAGGTCCTGAAGTCCCCCTGTCGTGTAAACAAGACAGATTCCGGTGTGGACTGGCACCGTTGGTTTTTTCTTCTCTTTGTGATTGTGTGGCCGTTGGTTGCATAGATCCCTTGTATGAATTATTTGTACTACACTTGCCTCTCCCCCCCAAATTCGCAAAATCGTTTTCGTTGCGACGAATGCGGTGCCTCCCAGTGATATCGCATTCCTTTGATTAATTTCCCCCCCCCTCCTTGGTTCCTCTCGGGGCGACGTATCAATTCGCAGCCATTATAATATGGCTTCCAAACCGCCCCGGTTGTCGATGATCAACCATGCCGCCGGCATTTACGCTGATATGTCCGTCGACGGGCCTGCGATTGGAACGTTGGTTCTCGTCATCGACCGGGCGAAGAACCTGCCCAACAGAAAGACCATGGGGAAACAAAATCCCTATTGTGCGGCTCGTTTAGGGAAAGAAGCGAAGAAAACGGATACTGACTTGCGAGGGGGCCAAACACCGAGATGGTACGTGCGAAATATTGCCTTGGTTTGATCTCGGTCTCTTCTCTCTCGACTTCCTCCCGATTGGCCTGGTTTTGACCTGTTCCTGTTGACGTTTTCTAGGGATCAAGAACTTCGATTTACCGTCCACGAGTCACCAGACTATTTCAGACTCAAGGTAACCATATTCAACGACGACAAGAAAACTGACCTGATTGGGGAGACCTGGATTGATCTCAAAGACTTGATCATTCCCGGTGGTAGCCAAAGTGATCACTGGCATCCATTGCAGTTTCGTGGAAAGTATGCCGGTGAAGTCCGTATTGAGATGACTTACTACGACACTAGACCAGAAGATGAGGCAGTGATTGAACGCCGGACGCAAGCGGCAGAGAAAGTCAACGTCCCCAGTAGACCGAGCACCTCAAGCTCAAGCCTAAACGTAAGGTCGAGTCCAGCGCCAATCAGCTCCTCTTCGTCTCTCTCAGGACCCCGACAATTGAAAGAAGTCAAGCGACGTCCACTGCCCAGTGGTCCTCCAGGGTCAGCGCCGGCACGTCCTGCGCTTCCAGAAAAGATGGCTTCGGCTCCGCCAGCATCCACTCAATCCCCTCCTCGACCGATGCCCGAACACACCCATTCCACTCCACCCCTGCCAACCCACGATCACCCCCACTCTACGCCGTCCCCAGTGGAATATACGCGCCACTTGTCGCGACCGTCAGGGCTTCCGGAGGTCCCCTTGGATGCATCCGCGTATGGCCCACCACCGGGGGTAGCCTCGCACTCCGGGAGAACCTATGAATCGCCCGATGATTTCCACCAAGAATGGAGTAATCCATCCCATCCGGCTCCGCCTCCCCCTCGGCGTCATCCGCAGGACGTACCTTACCATTCGCACCGTGAAAGGCCAGACTCGTATGAGATACGCTCCTACGCCCGACCGCGGTCTGGGTACGGCAATGCGCCGCCCACGGACTTTCGCTCTTCTAGGCACGACCGGCCAACAAGTCGATCGGGACCCGAAATGTATGCGCCGATGCCAGAGGCAACACCACCACGTCCGAGCAGCCACCACAGCCACCACTATGCATTCGCTTCGCCGGAGCAGTATGTGCCCAACGAGATAGCGTCGGGACAGCAAGTCTCCCGGTACGAGCAACGCTCCCCAGCGAGTATCCGCGAACCTCAGGTAGAATATGGTTCCCACCCAGTGGAAACGGAAGCCCGTTATCGCCCGCATAGCAACTCCCTAGTCAAAGAAACCAGCCCAATCCGACCTCCTAGTAGTCGTGAAAGCCTACCGGCAGAGTATGCAACGATGCAGCCCCGGGTGGAAGACGAAGAAGAGGAGGGTCCTCCGCCTCCGCCCCCGGTTCATCGATCCGGCCTGGTCCAGACCAGTCAGCAGTTAGTACCGTCACCAACCCCTTCGTACCAAGCTTACTCGCCAGAGTTTGCATCTCCCCGGACCTCCAGAGAAATCAATTTGTCGCAGCCGTCGCACCTGCCGTCCGACGCGGCCCGGATGCAAGAACTTCCCCCACATACGAACGGACCGGCAATGCCCCCCAGTCTAGTCGCCGGGTTTGACCCGGTCATTGCAGAGGCCGAGTCGGACCGTGCCGAAAATGAACGGCGCCAGAGTCGAAGACGCAGTGAACTGATCGAAGATATTATCCTGCCGCCCGAGCCGACGTCCGTGATCGTGCCGTACCCGGTAGAACCGTCCCCACCGATCATGGACGACCGCCGTTCACTGATCAGTAGAGGATCAGCGCATTCATCGGAGACTCGTCTCGTGCCGCGCCGGAAATCTGTCAGTCCCCGACCACCACCGCTCGGCGAGCGGGAGGCTTCTCAAATCCCGTTCTCGCCGGATTCATTTGACGCCTTCAATCCAAACGCTGCTCGCGCGGCGGTCTTCCGGGATCCAGCTCCGGCATATGAAACACCAGCCGAGGCGATGGACGCCGCCCGACGGTCCGAGAGGGAAGCAGCACGGGACCCAGGTCCGATCATTGGTGACGATGGTCGAGAGATCGATCCCTCGGACCACCTGCCTACCGATACATGGGCGCCGGAGCCAGAACGGAAGACCAAGAAAGCAGGCGTGGTAGTCCGCTTCAAGAATGTCCCACGAAAGAGGAGCCCCGCGCCACCGCCTGTTCGAGAGTACGCACCACGGTCCCGGCCCGTGGTGGACGGACAATATAGGCGTCAGTCATACGTGCCGGATCCTGCTATGCGAACCTCGCCCGGGGAGAACCGTGGTCGCGCACTCTCGCCTTACAGGCATGGGCGGACCATGAGTTCCCCGAACGCAGCCCCCTCTCATCGAGCCTCTGTCTCCCCATCTCCACGCGGACACTCCCCGTCAGCCTTGTACGCCCCGGTCCACACGGGCCCACCGATTCCCGCCAAGGTGCCGATTACCCAACCCATGAACCAGAGCTACCCGGTGATGAGTAGTAACGGGGCTCCTCAGAGCTATCCCGTGGCGGGCAGTGACCAGGGCATGGACGCGCTGAGCCGAGAGCTGAATACCATCGACATCGGGTCTGTGGGGTGCAGCAACCAACGGGCACTGAGGAGATACGTCCCCAAACTGCCTGCAGGATATGCCGCATGATTTTTCGGTCCATGACTTGATGACCTTTTCTTTGTTGTCTTCTTTTCTTTTCTTTTCTTTTCTTTTCTTTTCTTTTCTTTTCTTTTTTTTTTATCTTTTTGGCCTCTAAGATTGCATGGAGCATGAAAAATGTACGAACGTGGTTGCTGGGGTTAACTTTTCGGGCGGCGTTCAGGTTTTATACACACAGAGATATCTATACATACGCAGATTGATACTTGGTACCGGTGAACATGGTTTGACTTGAACATGATCACGAATATAGCAGATGATTGGCATTGCATACATAGCATTACTCACAAGACTGAATGGAAATCCTTGGTCCATCCTTGTCTGATTCGCCCTTACGACTTACCACCTATCACATCCAGGAATCTACAAGCCCTCACCAAGACCAACAACCCAACAGTGAAGAAGTACCCCCTTTGTCTCCAACCCACCACAAGAATCATGATGCCTTCCAACTAGGCACCTGCATACCATTCCCCTTTCTCCAATCACAATGCCCATACTCACAACATTTGCCACATACAACCTCATATATATAAGAGTAAAAAATAATAAAAGAAATAAAAGAAACCCTCCCCATCATCCCATATCCCCCCTCTAAACAAAGCCATCCACCCCAAAACCAAGTTCCCCAAAACCAAACAAGAAAACAGACAAAAAGAAACCCATCTCCCAAAGGAAGAAAGAAAGAAAGAAAGAAAGAAAGAAGAAACCATAAAATGCCGCCACAACCTAGAAGAGAAAAACCAAAAGAAGAACAAACTCAAGAAGAGCCCTTCCTTCCACCCTGCGAATTCACAAGTCCCTGTCCAGCAGCAACAGACGACGATACTCAAACCACCTACTCACGCCGAAAAGTCATCTCGCATATCTTCGGCCGCAATAAGTCCGCCACGAAGCGGTTCCCAGACCATGTGTGGGTGCATTACTGTCGGCAGCATTACCAGCGGGCGCGGTATCGGGTCGAGTGGCCGGTTACACAGTGTGAGTTGTTGATGATTGTCCTGGGGAGGATGGAGAGGTGGGGTGGTGTTTCGGGGTGGGAGGTTGTGTTGAGGAAGAGGGAGGTGGAGAGGTTGAAGGTGGAGGATGGAGGGGAGGTTACTTTTTCTTCTTCTTCTTCTTCTTCTACTACTACTAATACGACGACTACTACTACTACTACTACCGAGTGTGATCTGACCACGCTCTCGTCTGGGTCGGGTTTGTCATCTGTCGTTGCTGAGCTTGCCCCTGTCGGTGATGGTGCGCGGGTACGGGGCGAACGTGGCAGACGCAGGAAACCGACTATTGTGCCTTCGCCTGTGCCGAGTTGGCTTCTGAGGGAGGTTGGTCGGGATAAGTCGTTTGCGGATTTGAGGGACCTTGTTCGTCGGGTGCGTGGGGAGATGGATTCTCTGCGCGGACAGGGCGTGCCGGCTCGTCGGATTGTGTTTCCGGATATTGAGCTCTTGCCGACGTTTCAGCCTTGGGTTCTGACTCCGGTGAAGAAGAGGCAGAGGAGGGGGAGGAGGGATGCAGGTAGAGGGAAGAAGGGTGGGAATGGGAAGAAGGGTTCTAGGGTTAATAGGAAGGGGACTGTGAAGAACGTTCACGTGGGAGATTGATTGAGCTTCATTTCTTTCCTGTTGGAGTTGAGACGGATTGAAACAACTATTTGAGTTGCATTTCTGGGGGTTGATCAGTTCTAGACAGTGGGATGTTGAAGTCAGTAGGTATCATTCAATGGACGGAAACTCACGGGTCATAAACATTACTCGTCGACATCTAGTCTGTATGTACATGCAAAAAGAACGAAAACCACCAAGTTGAACAGAATGCCGACGCAGGAAAAAGAAGGAAAGCAGCATAAAAACGCAGAACCGCAAATCACAAATGCACCGCCGTAAACGTATATCGAATCGTACCCCCGTTGACATGTCTCCAAGAGGAATAGAATTAGGAATGGTCGGGGATCAACTCATAGCCACCTTCTGACGGTAGTACGCGACCGGCAATAATAAGGGCGGCCGCACAGAGCAAGCTAACACACCAGCTAATGGTACAATAAATCCAGGACTCATCCAGTTTCCAGCCGGGGAAAAACCGCGGGTCATGGTCGTACAAATAGGCCTGAAGCAGAGATACTTAGCACGGGTCATCTTTCTAAGCCAGCCAGGTCGATCCAAACGTACCACAATCGACATGCTCGCCGTCTGAACCACGACCGATAACACGATCAACAAACTGAGAACCTTCCACCCGGATTCCCGCAATCGCTTCCCACCGGATAATATGATCAAGTATGCGACGATACTCATGCCCTCCAGAACGACGGCAAAGGACATAAGAAAGCCCACGGAGCGCCACATGGAACAGAAATAGCGGCCCCGACCACTGCAATCGTCCTGCTGGGGGAAACTAACGCAGGCATCGGTGACTGACGAACAGCGCCGATGGAGGCCGTATGAATACCAGATCTAGATCGATGAAGGGTTAGTACGCATGCCGATCGAGACATGAAGACAGCAAATAAAACGACAAGAGAATCCGCACCTGATCATTGGAATAGCTGATCCATTTTGGGATGACAATGGATGATACGGTTAACCCGAATGCTGCCTTCCCCGTCAGTCTGTCGTCATACTCGTTTGCCAAGTTACGATTGCGACGGGGCGCACTTACAAGCTAGAAAGACAATCAACGACGATATGTAGACAATAGTTTTTGTTAGAAAGCCCGTGTAGTTTCGATCTTCGCCGCGCGGTACTAGATGGAAATCCATCGTGAGGGGGGAAAGTCGTAGTAGTGCTAGTAATATATATATTTATATGAAATGACGACAGAGGGAGTAAATGTTGAGCGATCGCGGCGACCGGCCGATCGGGGAGATTGAATGACAGGTCTCGAGGATGGATTACGGGGATTTTAATCCACTAAGGAAAGGCAGAGATCTTCCAGCCCGGGAGATAAAGGTTGGTACTGTTAAGGGGATAAATTTAATGTGTCATGGAAGGAGAGAAGAAGAGGGAGGGAGAAGAAGTGCGAGCGCGAGCAATTAAGTTGGGTTCATGCCTGAGGTTTCCCACCCGGCCAGGTGATAAAAACACGACGACGACGAGTGCGGAGCTCCAGCTTTATTTTTGGTAGAGTTTTTCTCCTCAATTCAATGGGACAATATTTTTACACTTTAGAACTCTAAATATGATTTGAAGGACCTCCAGGATTCAACAACAATTAATTCAGGAGAAGATAGGAAGAGGAACGTGAAAAAGAAAGAAAGAAAGAAAAAGAGAGAGAGAGAGAGAGAGAGAGAGAGAGAGAGAACCGGAAGACTTTTGGTTCGGAATGATAGAAAAACAAGGAAATGTATATATGCGCCTGAAGAAACAGGTGACTCGGACGATCCTCGCGGGCTGTACAAGTACAGAGAGAACATACATTCATACTACCATACCACTTGATGTGGTAGTATGATTGATTGTATGATTGTATGTATGTATCTGTACTGTACGGTACGGTTCACCCCACCTGAAAGGAACGCGCCGCCCTCAAATCCACTATACAATCACAGATAACAGACGAGATATCCGATAGACTTTTTCGTTTTATACGTGATCATTTGAGTTCTTCCAAGTCTGATGATAACAAGAGGTTGGTTCTGATACGGAGGGATTGCATACGAAAAATGCCTCAGGATCGGTCCAAGCGTCTCCCCCGCTTTGGGCGGTGAGCGATTAACTCTAATTCCTTAGTCCACATCGACTAGTCTTGTCATATCACCCAAGCTCTGGCCAGCAATGGCTCAGAGAAAAAGTCTTGCTAAAGCAAGTCATTCTGTCACGCGAAAATACGTGTCGACGATCTGGTTGGTACTAGATTGTATGCATCTTCTACTCCTAATTTCCCATGAAGGGGTAAAGACCCAGGCGCGTTGACGTCACGTTACATGGGGTTTGTTACATTGTGAGACTCGGTCCTCAGTTACTCCTACATAGGGTTCCGAACAAGGTCGAGGCATTCATGAACGAAATGCGCGGATTCATTCCGATGGGAGACGGCGTACGCCCTCCCGGGTTATCTAGCAGCGACTACTAATTATGTAGTGACATCAAAAGTAATGGTAGAAAGAAAGCGAAGAGACAAGGGCGCAGGAACAAAAGAGGACAAAGATACATAACAGTAATCTACAGTCAATAGCAACCTGCAAATCCAGCTGCAAAATAGGGGTAGAAACTTGATCATGATACTTATACAACGAACATGGCAATGCAACACCCACCAGGGACAAAGTGTGTGACAAAGAGTTCAAATCAATTCATTTCATAAGAGACATAGGGAAATAGGAAGGGCAAAAACAAAGAAAATTAAGGGCAAGCGACTGGGGAGGAACGCCAAACCTGCCATGCAATTCGTTGCGCCAGTACCTCACTTCTCGCGACCCCGCTGGATCATCGCGCGGAAGTCATCATTGCTCTTTTTCGGCTTCCCTCCTTCCGCGGAGGGTGCGCTGTCGGTCGTCATCATGGTCGTCGTCATCGTTTTCTCTCCGTTGTGCTCTCCATGAGGCACGGCGCGTTTTACCCCGAGACCCCCTCGCCGGCCACCCCGCGAACCTGGCTGTTGTGGTCGCTTGATCGGCCCCGTGGGCTGGAGGAATGCCCCTTGCTTCTCCTTCGGCTTGCTGGATGGTTGTGTGCGACCGTCCTTATTCTCAGCGGACTGTTTCAGCATCTCCGGTACTGTGCCCACATGCAATTTGCGCCCCGGCGCTATCTCCTGACCCTCGAGCTCCAAAGAAGCCCGGCCGGCATGATTAACATCGGCAAACTCCACAATGGCCCCTTGGTGATCGGGTCGTAAGACAACCTTGATCAATTTGCCGTACGGCTCCACAAGGGCCCGGATGCGCGCGTCGTTCACCGTGTCAGGAATATTCATCAGTCCCAAGCTACGTGCAGCCCGTTCTCTGCTAGCAGTGTCCGCATCGGCTGATGCTTTACTCCCGTTTACTTCGGCCGTAGGGGACTGAGATTTCCCGACATGAGACACGATGGTGGTCGCGCTTCGCTTCGTACTCTGAGGAGCGGAAATCTTCACGTGGAGGGTTCGCGAGCGATACTCTTGCCCGTCCATGGCAACAGCGGCGGTGGCTTCCTCTTTAGTTGAAAAGACAACATAACCAAAGCCCTTGCTGCCACCGTCGACCTTCCTAGGCAGGCGGACCAACTCCACCGTCCCATACTTCGAGAAGAGCTCCTGGATATCACGCTCATTGGCCTTGAAGTCTACATTCGACACGTGGATCTCCCGTCCTTCGTATATAGGACCATGACGGTCTTGTTTCCGTGAAGGATCCGAGATCTTAGCCGTTAGCCTGAGGCCTTTACCAACCGTAGTCCCATCCAACTTGGTGGCGCTATGCGCTGCCTCTGCAGTCTTGAATTGCACGTAACAGAAACGTCGGTGCGTATTATATTTGAGCGATGGGAAGCGAACATCGATGATCTCGCCACACTGCCAAATGTCAGTGACGCCAGGTCACCAAGGGATGGAAACAACTCACTTCACGGAACAGGTCACGAATATAGCTTTCATCTGCCTCCGGGGGAAAGTTGGTGACGAACAATGTCGAACAGGTGCCAATCTGCACCTCGATGGTACTATCATCCAGTGATTTCTGATCGCGTGTTTGCGCAACAAGGGCTTCGTCCCTTGAATTAAACTCGATGACCGCAACCTCCGAGTTCCCGTCGCCCGGAAACATCTTGACGCTGTTTATCATACCGCACTGCCATGCTACCAATTAGTTGTAAGTTTACCAGATGGGCGATCAACAAGAACAACGTACATGACGGAAAAATTGTCGAACTTTATGTTCGGTAATTTGATGGGGTAAGTTTTTCACCACAACTGTCGCGTTTTCCCGGTCTCGCCGAAGGGCCGCTGGCTCTGCTTCCGTAGCCGATGTTTCCTGTTCTCCGCGAGCCTTTTTAGCAGGCAACCCATTTACATTAGCTTCCTCCTCCTCCTCCCGTTTTCTCTTTTCAGGGTGCGTCGCTTGTTCGGATGATGCGGCTTGCTGTGCGTGCTGCGCGGCCAGTTCTCGCGCGTCACGTTCTCGCCGGGCCCTGACTGCCCGCATTGCCTTCCTCGTTTCCAGGATGGCCAGCTGTAATTCATCAGAGTCCTCATAATCCTCACAATGTGCGATATAGGTTTGCATGATTTTCTCGGGCCAATCCAGGTCCGTCCGCTTGATAGCTTGTTTCAATACGGCGGTGGCAAAGCTGGGGTTAGGGGTCCGGCGCGCGGCATCAACGGTGGCTTCACCTTGCACGAATTTGCTCCATGAGATCAATTCCCATTCGTAATACGTGAGCCAGAACTCGTAGCTGTTGCCTCGTCGGCCCATCAGACCCTTGAAGGTTTCCCGTGCACTATCCCAGCTGCCACTTTCACTGAGATAACGAATGTAGATGCGCTCTAGGCGAAACAAGGGATCGCCCTGGTAGGACCGACCGTACTTCTTCTCACCCAGCTCTTGAACACTTTCGATGGCTGAACGGATGCCAACTTCTGCGACGTCGAGATCTTCATCGGTGGAGTCCGACATGAAAGCTCTCCGACGGAGGTAGCTGCACCATGCCGTATGCACCTTGAGAACTTCCTCCATGCCGGCTACATCGAGGAGGCCAGTGCTGGTGGCTTTGTGTTTGATGTCGGCAATCTTGGAGAAGGACTGACCCTCCCGTTCTGAGCTGAGTAAGTACTGAGACCAAAGGGTACCGGAGCACGGACAGTGCCGAGTTGCCCGTTCCAGGGTAGAAATCGTCGTGGTGTTCGTATTACCATGCATGGATTCATCGATGAGGAACATGACAAAGTCCTCCCACATGTTGGCGTCGGTTGGGAACCGAAGCACTGCACGCTGGTAGACAGCGTTGACCAACTCAAAGTTGGCATGGCGGTTGCGATGATTATTGCTGACTTCCCACTCAATGTATTCCGTGAAGATGGTCCACTCTTGGGTGGGGTCGCCCGACTCGGTGGCATTACGGAGTCGGATTTCAAACTCTTCGCGAGCGGAGTATTGTTCTTTGCAAGCCGTTGCATATCGGCCTGCAGTGTCTGCCATGATGGTTTCGTAATTTGCGTTGTAATAGGTGGAGACAAACCCCGAGAACGTCTGGAAAGTCTGATCCCAGGTGGCATGAGGGGTTTGCAGTCTGATGTCGAATAAATTCCGCACATGGCTAATCTTCTCCTGACTTGGGTTTCGTGTGATGTCCTGCATCTGCAGGTCGAGCAGTCGATCCCAGACCAGATGGCTATCGGGCGTCCTCCATCGAGTCGCTTCGGCACCCCTCTGCCAAACATCCAAAACCGACTGCCAGGAGAAGACCTCGCGACCGATCGCGCGATCCTCTTCCGTCCACTGGTGTTGACCACCCTCACCATGCGCAGAATTATAGAGATACAGAACCCATTCCCCGTAGATACTCCAAAGCTTTGTACTGCCGTACTCTTCCTCCACCGACCGCTGACAGAACTCCATCACTGCGATGCGCTCATCCACGGTTTGTGCGAGCATACTTTCATCTTGTATCCACTCTGCCCAGAGGTCTTCCCCCAACGCAAAGAGCTTGTCCATCTCTTCGCGAGCGGTCCGCATATCCTTGAGCAGATCGTACTTCCGAGGGTCACCATGAATCTCGGGATTGTTCGGTGGGTATACGTGGTTGACGAATCCCGCATGGAGTAGTCGAACGAAGTTTACATGCGCGTCGTACGACTGAGGGTTTTCTTGAATTTGAGCAAAAAGCTCGGTTGCCAGCCGCTGTGCATTCGGAACCAACGACGTTTCCATATAGTTTCTGCGGGCGGCCTCCCTAGGGCCATCTGACATGGCGATGTCGAATGACGATCGGGGCGTAGGTGTATTGTGTGCGACCGAACTGACATGGGGGTACATCGGCGAGGGAGAAAGTTGGCTCTCGTAGGATTCGGTGCTTCTGAGAAGTGGGGCATTCGAGCGCTGGGGTTGGTGATGCTGCATTGAAGCCAAATCGGCGAGAGTGTCCATTCCAGGGGTCGACGGCTGTCGGGGAGGAGGTAAGTCCGCCGCCGGAGGAGTCCCATTTCCACTACCCATGCTGGGACCAACTGTCGGGCTTATTGCTGGCGGCGACGGTTCTGAGACATGCGGCGGCGCGAAAACGTGCTGCGCGAGCGGGGATGAGGTCATGCCCTGTCTGGTTTGACCGGCGCGAGGATTGCGCAGAGGTCTTGGGGGTGGTCCTGTGGAGGGAATGGATGTGTTACTGACAGATGTTGGGGCCGCCGCGGGCGAAGACCGCCCCGATTGGGAATTAGACTCCTGCGGCGAGAGGAGTGAATTGATGTCCATCATTGAAGCTGATATGGATTGGAAGACGGGTAAGAAGAATCAGTTGCTTCTGAGGCTCTGGGGAAAGTGGGACCCAGAAACTGACAAAAAGAGAAGTCACCAAATCAAAGAACAGTCTTCAGTCGCCTCATCAACGAGTCCATTCCTGCCCCGGCCACAGCCTGTCTAGACTCTGGAACCGGGTAGTCACAATTTCTTTCTTCCGAAGGGGGGGTTGGTAAGCTCAACCACGATAGGTTGCGCAAAACAAGAAGTACCACAGAATAGATTGAGAAATGAAAGGGAGTGAAAAAAAAAGATTAAATTTTTTTTTCTTTCTTTTCCTTTCTTTCCTTGATTAGTGTTCTCAGATTAGTTTCTTTTCCTTCTTTCAAGCCTTTTGTCCACTTTTGGCAGCAAAAGCTTGGGTGGTCCGGGCGCTGACGAATTGATAGAGTGAGGCGCTTCGGGGTTGAAGAATGAGAGGACCGGGAAGAGAGAATGAGACAGACGAGAGGGGGGGGAGTTTAGAAACAAGCTATCGAACGATGGAGTGATTCACCCGACCATAGGAAGGGAGACAGCTAAGAAACAGCTGGTGAGCGGCGAGATGCAAAGAATGGAAAAGGCGGAAAGAATGAATTGGGAAATGCCGCGATTCACCTACAGGTGTAAAAAAAGTATAATCATAAAATAATAGAAAAAGACGTGAGAGCAATACGCCGTAAGACCCTGAAGGGCTAAAGGGGAAGGAAAAAGAAAAAGAACCACGAGAAAAATGAGAAAAAGAAGATGATGAGGACAGTGGATCGACACACGGTGGAGATGGTAGAGGTTAAGAGACTGCTCGAGTACTCTCAGTCGAAGGAGGGAAAGGAAAAAGAGCTCGGCATGTAGAAAAAAAAATAGCTGAGAAGAGAACAAACAGCACAGCACAACAGCAGGTCAACCTGCAAACTGCTCCATACGGTCAACCTCTTCTCCCCTCCACTACGGGGAATTTGCTTTTTACCAACTAAATGACTCCTAGTAGGTACGAACTACTCCTTGATCACCATAACGAGATAGAAAAATTAAAAATAAAAATAAAATACCAAAAAAAAAAAAATATTAATGCGACCAATACGACCGGGGAGGATGAGAATAGCAAATCTCGCTGGCCCTGATATTATGACGAAAAGAAAAGCGCCATGCCTCCAATCGGACGATGGGGTTTTATTGTCTGCAGTGATCTAGGACTTGTTCCCTAGTCAGACTCTTGTCGATCGGACTGATGACGGTGTAAACGGGACTAGAACGCGAGACTAGTAGAAATCTATCCTACGCGAAGATATTAGTATGTCCATCTACAAAAAGTTAGTCAAAATAAAATAAAATAAAATCACTCGAGGTCAACAGATCACGATCTTATAGGATATGCATGCCTGCAGATGATATTATATTACTGGGAAGACACTACTGTATGTATGTACATACAGACTCAGAGCCCTAGGGAAAGAAAAGGTAGAAGTCCAGTCTTGTTATTTTTTTTTGTTACTATGGGAATAGGGCTGCTCTACAAAGGGTTTAGCTCACAACTCCCCGAGAACGACATCCTGGTTCGAGTATGAGGTAATGATACAGGAGAGCATGCGGCATGATTGGTGGGAACCCTCACGCGATGCATGGGCCTCCTCAAAGAGCCACATGAGAGAGCCTATCCTCGGAAGACGGCATTACGTCGGAACCGTCTGTGTGGCTCACCCGAAAGCGGTGGCTTGACACTTCCCTTCCTTCCCCAGGCACACCTGAGATTCTAGGGCGGGCCGTAAGAACCTCAGCCGCAGCCAAGCATTTTGCGTCTCGAACACTTTTTTCCACCGGGTCTCCGAAGTCACGTCCCAACCAGCCTCAACTGTCTTGCTGGTTGTCCGTCACCATGGCCACTCTCGGTGCTCTCAACCCTTACGGGCATTTAGCTCGGTCAGGTAAGTCATCCAATGGCATTTTTCCGATGGCCCTATCCCACCAATGGCGAGTTCTCACCTATCCGAATCTCCAGCCCGGACCGGCATCACCTATATCCCTCGCCGCACCTTGACCTATACTGTCCCTCGCCGTGCCCAAGAAAATGGTGACAATGGAAATAAAGAATCCCAATCGAATCCCTCCGCGTTTTCGTCCATCAAGAACTTTTTCTTCGGCGGAAAGACTGACGCAAAGCCCACGGTTCACCGGAGGACAGCCCCCCAGAAGCGAGAGGGTAGCCTGAGTGCGGACTCAATTTTCGCGGAGGACGAGGCAACTCCCAAGCTGATTGCATCTGGTCGCACACCGGCGGCCCGTAAACAGGAGGAGGAACCTACCGAGGAAGAAGAGGTTCAGCCGGGTGTTGAGCACCGGAACCGGGACAATATGCAGATGGTGTTAGACCCCCGTCCCGAGGCCCGTATTCGTTGGGAGCGTAAAATGGTCGTCCGGGAGGTTCGCCGCCGAGGACGTCTTTCCAAGACCGAACAGATCATGCGCACGGAGCGTGAATCGGTGTCCAAGTCACACTGGTTCAAGACTTCCGTCAAGAAGCTTGGTCCCCTGGCTCGCCAGATTGCCGGAAAGAACATTGACGAAGCTATGCTGCAAATGCGCTTCAGCAAGAAGAAGGCTGCCAAGGATGTTCTCGAGCATCTGAAGCACGCGAAGAACGTTGCCATCGTCCGCTCTGGGATGGGTCTTGGTGCCGCCGAGGCGACAATCCGCAAGCCCATCACGATCACTCTGAAGTCCGGAGAGCGTAAGACTATCACCGACCCGACCTCCATCTACATTGAGCAGGCGTGGGTCAACCGCGGCCCATATGGCGTTGATTACGACCACCGTGCCAGAGGCCAGATCAACCTTCTACGCCCCCCGTACACATCTCTTTCGGTCGTCCTGAAGGAAGAGAAGACACGGATCAGGGAGTGGCAGGACCGGGAGGCTGCATCGCAGCGCAAGCGCAAGACTCAGCTCTGGACACAGCTGCCTGACCGGAAAATCTCCGCGCAGAACCAGTACTACAGCTGGTAAGCTTTTTCTCCCGACGTTTATCTCCGGCCTCGTCTCGGCAAATGATGGGTTTCTTCGGCGTTTGTCTCTTGTATTATTTTAAACCGTTAGCACTCCACCTGGCGGGTAAATCAGCGCATGTTCATTCTTCTTTCTATTTGCGGCATTTCTTTTGATCTAAACGCGGTTTCACCATCTCGTCGTCTCGTTTGGGTTGTTCTCCGTGAGTCGAGAGAGAAAGTATGCACCTTGGCCCAACCTGTTCAGATTATTCGTGATGGAAGACGCCGACCGAACTTCACAAAGGAGCCTGTCTGTAGTGGACAGAGCTCACTACATGTACAATATTGAAATATACAACATATATCTACATGCTCTCTCATCAGCCACATCCCCCATCCTTCATAAAATAAGATCTATTCTCTATCCCAACCAACCACACCACACCACCCTTTCACCCTCCCCCAAATGAAACCCCTAAACCCGACTCCGAGGCGGACAAACGGGCGCCCTGGTCGGCGGCTCCACCGTCACAGGAGGGTTCGGCCCCTCAACCCTCTCCGCCCTCACCAGCACCGAAATCACCGCGCCCGTCATCAACGCAAACCGCCGATGCCCCACCACCTCCAGAATACTCGTAATCGCCCCCGAATGCGCCGTCAACGACACCACCGTACTCGCATCATGCGCAAACACATCGGACAGTAGCTCCCGGAGCCGGACATCCCGCGCGGAGTCCGATTCCCGGAGCTCGGGGTCATACAGCGGATCTTCTTCCGCGAAGGCCTCCTCGAATCGGTACAGGGGGTATTCCTCCGCGATGGCGGCTTTGCTGGATCGGCTGTCACAGGTGTGGAGGCCGATTGTTTCGCGGAGGAGCTGGTTCGGGTTCTCGTTAGTTCGTTCATCAATCAATCTTGGGGTGGAGCGTGGTATAATCCACTGGGGGTTTGGGTTGTTTTTTGGAATAGACATAGGACAGGTAGGCAGATAATGTCAATGGAGTCATTGAGAACAGGGAATAGTCTTTGATGGTCCCAACTCACCTCTTTGATTACAGGCCGAAAGGGCTCCGTATGCGGTAAACCTAGGTTCTTAAAAGTGATGCTAGCGGTCGCTAGACACCGATTCAAGGGACTCACGTAGTAGGACTGTGGAGAAGGGATCTTGTCCTTGATTTGTGTTCTCCACGCCTGGTTGGCTGTTTCGGCTTGCGAGATGCCTACGTCGGTGAGACGGGCGTCGACCCAGGTACCGGTCTCGTCGCCGTTTTGGAGGGACCAGTAGCACTGTTTTTTTTACCCCTTTCGTTAGTGTTGAAGATCTGGGGCATGATGTAGACTAGAGTTGGGTCATGGAATCCTGCATGGACAGGGAGACAAGGAGAGGGGGAGAGATAAAATGAAGGAAAAGATACATACATCCCAAAGCTCCGTCCCATACCTCCTCTCGGCGACATTATGGATGCCTTCTCCGTGTCTACCCAGGAAGAGCAGTTTGAACTGCGTCTCGGGACTGCTATCCCGGTTTAGCTTGTTGATATGGTACTCGAATCGTTCCCATTGAGTCTTGCGGCCCTCTGGGTCGAACTCAGGGTCGGAGTCGTAGCCCCGGGGTATGAGTCCGAAATTGGATGTTACCTGTTTTTTGCGTCGTGAGTACTTGCTTTTCCGTTTCTGTTCAATGGGGTGAGGTGTGGGATGGAGTAGACTGGGGGCTTACATAGTCGAAGTTGTCGGGGTCGGTAATTGGGTCATCTTGGAGGAAATAACCGGTCACTGTTGTGAATTTGAAGTGGAAGTCTGACGGGGTTGATTTGGATGTCATGGCTGTGGCAGTGTTGTTCGAGGACTCCTTAGTAGTAAGCTTTTGGTAGTTGAGTAGGCTATGTTAGTTTTCTTTTCTGTGTGTTATTTTATTTTTTTTTTTTTCGATTGGAACTGGCTTGTTGAAGACCAATGGACGTACATGTTAAAGTAGAGTGACTTTCTTAGGAGAAGGTGTTGTTGATACTGGTGTGGACACCTTCCTAACCCTAAACTCTATGGGGCGTGGGGTAGTTTGTCTACGGTGGGGAACGGCAAGTATTCTCCTGATCCATTAAACTACTCTGCACTCTGTACAGAGGCTGGAATTTGGTGAAAAGAATTATGTATTTCTCTCTAACTCTAGCCAATCGTTAAATCCCGATTTTGAATATTCATGAAAATATGCCCAACAAACACCGCTAAAAAAAAACCTAGCAACAAACCAAATATGACCACAACCTTAAGGTATCTTTTCCCACAACCGAACAATCAAAGGACAGAAGCTTCAGCACGAACAGCAAAGGCTCAAGCAGGCTCGAGGTTAAATTAACCCCATTCCCTTCCGAGCGAACCAATGTTGTTTGGAAGCAAAAACGGCAAATGTGCCAAACATGCCTCCGGCCAATGAAACAACCGATCCCAAATTTTGCCAAAAGCCGGCAAATGCGAGACCAGTCTTGAAAATCGCTGTGGTAGCATACTTGCTGAGCGTGGTACAGTATTCTCCAACCGACACCGGTTGGCTTGGGACTGTAGACACAGTCTGCGCAATGCGCAATTGTTGGCTTCCACCACTCGACGAGCGATTGGTAGATACAGATTGAAGAGGCAGAGAGTTCATCTCCGCCCTGGTGGACTGTATGCGAAGTGAACCTTCGCTGTTTTCCTTTGGAACCTGGCTGAGACGCCAAGTAATAGTTTGCGGCGAACCGCTTGACACGCGATTGACGGTAGATCTGGGAGAGATTCCCCGTTCCACGACAGATTGCTGCTTCGAGGTCGTTACAAGCAGTTTCTGCGTTGGCGACATCAGGCGACCAGGAACTGAAGGAGTCTGGTCGACACCACGCCAAGGTGTTGTCGGCCTGTAAGACTGCGGTACCCGTGATCCGAGCTGTCCCGTGTTTGCCGCTTCCACTGGCTTTGACAGAGAACCCGGTGAGTGCCTTCCATGGTACACATCCAATGGTGAAGGCGCAGTGACCGAGTAGTTGTCCTGTGGAGACCGACGAAGATCTCTCTCCCTGTGCTTCCAAACCACAGTCTTTGGAGTTTCCACATTCGGTGGAAGCACACCGGTTTGCGTCTGTTTAATGAGTGAAACATGACGTGGCCGGGCGTGAGACGGGCTATGGAGTGGCAGACTAGTCTGTCTAGTCGAGTCAAGCACCGCCGTAGTAGGAGAAAGAGCAGGGTTGTTGACACTGAGACGAGCGCCCTTGATGTCAAGGCAATTGCACTATATGCTTGTCAGTACCCTTTGCCCCACCGAGAAGCCATGTCGGTTTACATACCCTCTTATGCTGTTTTCGATGTTTTTCACAGGCACCATGTTTTCGAACTTTGATGTAATTTTCCTTTTGCGCCCGTGACCGAGGTTTCTGCTTCCTCGGTAGATTCGCAGGCGTGTTCATGTTAAGGTCCAAGACCAGTTCAATCCCGCCGGGTGTCGCCTCGGCGGATGGCGGTGTTGGCGACTTGGTTGAATCGGACAGTAAAGTAGTCGCCGGACTGGCGCATGCAGGGTCATGGGAAACACTCCACGGAGGTGATGGGAAACTGGTATTTGAATCCGAAGACATATCTGCCTCGGGAAGTGGGGCATCTTGCAAGCGCTGTAGATGTAGGGCTATGGCTGCTTCTCGGCGTTTTTCTTTCTTGGATGAGCAGCTCGGGTCAACCGCCGCTTGCGACTCTACCATATGCCGAATGGTGGAATAGTAATGGTCGTCATAACTGTGCGCACCTGGCAACCAGGCACTGTCAAACTCGGATCCAACGAAGGCTTCACTGGGTGAAGATGACGGAAGTTGAAGGATATCATTGGGGTCTACCACGGGCTCGACATTCGCGGCACCTCCGAAGTATTCCGCGAATGATGGTTCGTGGTTGACAAAGTCGGTGAATGGAATTTGAGTGCACATGTCGAGTCCCGAGTCCCAATTTGACCCGTCCAGGTCGTTGTAAGTCAAGTCAAAGTCCTTGGGGGAAATTGAGTTGACCGAGGTCGGGTTACTGTCGACATAACCCGAGGGGATATCAAAGAAGTTGTCGAAGTCAAAGAATTCATCACCCTGGGATGAATGACCCATTGAGTAAAGCAATTGGTCGGCAGACATGATCAAAGAGCGACTCGTGTGTTTCAATTGGAGGGGGGGGGGGAAGAAATTGAGAAATAATGTATTATACAGTCAGGGTCGAACCCGATGAAGCCTTTCCTGATAGGGTAGTTTAATGAGGGCTTTTCAGGCGGCGAAGTTTCAAAGGATTCACCCGAAGACGAGGAGGTCGTTGCGCTTTCAAAAAGCGAGAAAACAGACACTGTCCAACGTCGCGCTGGGAAGGAATATTTTTGTTTTTTGAATGACTAAGGAACACAAAGCGTTCACTTTAAGAGGGAAGAGAGAATAGAAGTAGAAAGAGATGCCTGAATCAACCTTGAGGAAGGAAGAACTTCCCTCGTTCTCCATACACCACCTTTCCTCTTCGGGATCCCGACTCAGCGCTAGACCCGATTGGGTGCCCGACGGTCCTCTTCCGCGTTGCAATGCGACATCACATGGCTTTGTGGCTGTGCGGTTCTGCTTCTTGAACTGGCAATACGAACAATGCCCACTGGGAACGCCAATGGCAGTGCATTCTCTCCCCCCACTAAATTCATCCTTGGAAGCGATCGACCCCCGCCAGGTCACGATACTGAAGAGTCATACTAGTAGACCCCCTGCTGTTGCTGCTTCTTTTGAACTTTTAAAAAAACAACTTGGGTTTGCATGATTTGCATCCCTCTCCTCGTCACTGTTCTTCTATCCATCGACATGATCTACATCTTTCGATATGACACACACATGCTTCATTCCATGTCCGTTCAGCCCTATCCACAGAACACAATAGCAATCATCCAAGCCGCCAAAATACTGAGTGGTAGAAGACCAAGACCCCATACCAATTTTGCGGCTCCAGACTGCTTGTCCGAATCGGACGACTTGTCATTGGCTCCTTTCGTTGACCCCGACGTTGCGGTAGCGCTTGGCGTCCGTGAAGGAGTACCATATGTGTGGCTCTTCGCATCATACTTTAGACAAGCAGTGGGTAGAGGATAGGAGGTTGATGCCAGGACAGCTTGTACTCCGACCCTTTCACTGAAATCCGCAATGTCGACCTCCATGTTGGCGAGGACACCCATGTTGACGTCTACCGAAGGGGCGATATGGGTCAGGCTATCGAAGACATCATCCAGGACAGATGTCAAGCTGTCATCTCCACTCCCATCAACCACGGGCTCACACTTGTCACTGACATGACTCAGTTGCGTTGCATTCACCGATATCTTTGGCAGGTTGACGAATGCTCCAACACCGCCGGATACTAAACCCTTTGCCGTGCTGATTCCGAGCAGGATCTGCGGCGTGAAGGTAACACTGAAAATCAAAGACGCCGGGGCAGACGTAGATTCAAACTCCAGCGCGTGGACCTTGGTTTTATCACTACGCGCTGTTAGCTGGCCATCCAGCGGTCATGCATCGCTAAGGATAACGTACAACCCTGAAATGGAGGAATTCCCAGGCTCACTCATGTTAATCTTAATATTTGAGTTATCCGGTACCTGCATGAATTAGTATAACCTGGCGATTCTCTCTCAGCTAGGAACCAGTACCGAAAGATTGAAGCCATAAGAGAACCCTATCTCCTCCACCATATTTACGCTAAGTGAGAGATCCGGTTGGATTATTGGGCCGAAAGCTACAACTCCTGGGATCTAGGATTGTCAATACCGTCACAATGAAGTATGATAACACCTTGCGCCCGGATGCCTACCTCAAAAGGGGTGAGAGGAATTGCAGGGAGAGACATGTTGAGGGATGCCAGAGATTGGCTCAGCGAAAGGTCAAGACCAAGTTCAACCTGTGCGAAAAGGCCATTCGATAAGATTTCAAGAGCACCGTCGTCAAAAAAGGCAATGGTGTCTTTAATCTTATTCCCAGAAATGTTGAACGAGCCTCGTGTTATCTCAATATCACCCTGGAGCGTGCAGTTTTTGCAGGTCACGGTTACTCCTTGCGGTCTAAGATCGTTAGCCCCGTGAATATTACATACATTTGCGCTTATAAGACCTACATGAACATGTCAGCGGCAGGAGTATCTGGCGGAAATATTTTCTGGTCAATATAGTGCTTGTCGAGCGATTTTGTCACACTCGAAGGTAGTCCCGTTGTTGCAGTGGGAGCCGCTGGAAACGATACGGAAGGTGCAGAGCCTTCCCCTACTACCCTTGTGGTTGTCGGTGCACTCGTTGGCTCTTGCTGTCGTTTCTGATGCACGGTATATGTACGTTTCTGAATGCTTGATCGGTGCCTGTGGGAGAAAGACACGCTAGTGGAATGGCTTGCATCGTGCCAGTCGCATTTGACTTTCTCCAGGGTGAATACTTGACGGGCCAGATCGACAGTCGCCTTCGTCACACTATATGCAGTATGAGATGGGCTTAGTCGCGGCTCCGTGGTCAGACACTTACCGGTGGATGGACCTTTCCCCTTCCAAGTCGCAACCTTCATGAGAAGTGACGACTACAAAATCGGACGCAGCCTCAAGCTCCTGCTTTAGGGCTTTGGCCCGAGTAGGCGAGCCAATGGACAGCTGAATCTTTGCATCTGAGCATGTCATATCTTCTATGTCGGCGTCTAAAGCCTCAAGGGCAAGAATTGGGTGTTGAGATGCCACATTGAGGGTAGTGGCGAAGACATATTCCGTGTCCCCTTCTGGAACCTCGTGTATAAAGTCGAAACTTGCTTCTCTCTTGAAAGCGACCGTTTCGATTTCTCTCACCTTGAGACTTGGGGGCAGACTGGCCGCAGAAAGCCGTCGGGGCTTTGGGAATTCCAAGGCTTGGGAATGTTGATCGAGGGCTAAGTTGGCCCCTCGCGCAACGCTAAAGGGAGTCAAGAGAGCCAATAGGCCAAGGGTCCTGAACGAGCTCATCTTATCTGATCGGAAGAATAAGCCGTCCCTGTCGGCGCTTTCTATACTGTATACCAGCTTTTCTGGCGAAGAAATACAAATAAAACAGAACACACTCCATCTTGCAGGGTACCATATATACTACCCATTGTCATATACCCCTTTAATGCATAGTACTCCATGTGTGAGCGGACCGTCGCCCCCGCCCTTAGTGCCTTGAGCTAAAGAAAGGTGTAACAACGAGGGAGTTATAATTATCTGTCACTAGCTGCACAGCCCCGTGTTTGTTCAACCTCAGCATAGATGAGCTGCTGTTATTATGCTCTGTTGGGTATAGCACCAGTGACTAGACATGCAAAGTCACTGTGCCGCAAGGCTGAAGCCGACATTAGTACGGCAACTAACAAACGGCCCCTCGGACGCAACGGGCTATCATCGCGATTAACTGGCTTATATCATTGGTTGTCCAGACCTCCTACTGATGATTGACAGACTGTCAGTGGAATGACGGGACTGTACACTGCATGGTGGCTTGCATGAGGTTTCAGATATCAAAGGGGCTGCAGAGTATCAAATGCTTGAGAATGACCATTGGCTGGCCAAAGAGATGGAAGACTATCCCCAGTAGATATTGTTAAAGTGATCCCCCCCTCTCTCTCTTCTCTCTTCATGAAGGGGCCCTCCCTCAAAGTGGTCCCTTCCCCGAAAGAGTCATGGGTGTTAAATCATGATGAGTTGATTCTCGTGACTTGGTTCAGTGTTCCGCCGTCTTTGGTCAACAACAAATGTATACGTAGGAATTCGCTCCGGTTCTACTTTTGCAGGGCTCGCTGAGATAATTACATAATTTGTACAGAGCTGCGAACTTAGATTATTGCTTGACCCAATTTGATGGAGATATTCAAAGTTCAAACTAGTGCGACGACCAAGCTTCTCCGGCGTGTTTTTCCCCCTGGCAACATATATCTTAACCTCGGCCAACGTTAACCCTAACCTTGATTTTGTCATCACATTGCAAAGTAGCCGCGGCAGTCAGGCACATTACGGAATAATGATAGTATATGAAGGATAATAGTGAAGCAAGTGTCTGAGAAGACGGAAGATCAAGAAAACATGCGTACGTGTTGAGCAATCCTGCTGTTTTGGTGACAATGGAGACGAAACGTGGAGAATGTGGCTACTCCACCAGGGCCCTTCCGGATGAGTCTCAACTGGCCAGACCATTTGAATCAAGAACCTGCCCTAACAATTTAGCGTAGATCCACCGTAGCATTTGAAGAAGCTACGTTGGCAAGTCAGGTACGCTATTAGTCAAATCCACAGGTTCTCGGCAATCCGCGGTCACGATGATGGGGCCGAACCCCGCATAAAAAAGGTAGCAACATGCATGATTGACTTCATGTGAGGGGGAAAGCTGAAAGTCCGCCACCATCTTTCCTTCGTCATTTGTTTTTCTCTGCCCCATATAAGAGCTGTCCTGTGCACCTGTCCTACAAGCAATCAACCGCTGCGATGGTCCAGGTATAATCAATTGGCCCTAATCGCAACTATTTGGTGATCATTTACTGCAACCGGTACGCAAGGGGGTGACTGCTCTAGCCCGCGACCCATTCAAAACGAACGACTCCAACGACTGCTTTTTGGTACCACAAGTGATGTGTCTGCGATGATTGTTCTCAAAAAGTGTGTCCCATTCGCCTGTCGCCCGAGTGTTGTTTCCCCAGGGACACCTCGCAGCGCCAGGCACTGGTCCAAGACCTTGCAAGCACTGCCCCCGTGGCGGCGAGGTTTGCTGACCCAGAGCTATGCTCGTGGTCCGCTAGAGGTACCCTTGTGCTACGTGTCGAGTGTCTAGAGCGCATGAGGCTAACAATTTCTTGTTCTTACCATAAGCCCCCATTGCTTGAATCCACCATTGGGGACCATTTCGCTCAAATCGTTAGCTCATATGGTGACCGAACAGCGTCTGTCTCCTCATCCGCTGCAAAACCATCTTGTCCTGAGATGGACACTAACTCGATATTAGTGTCATCTGCAAGCATCAAAATGACCGAGTAACGTATGCCGGCCTCGATGCGAAAAGCAACGCCCTCGCACGGGGCCTGGAGTCTGTAGGCGTGCGCACAGGCGACCGTGTGGGAGTGATGCTCGGAAACTCCATGGAATTCTCCATTGTATGCTATAAGTCCAATTCCCGGCGCCAATGACGCTCCTTATCATTACCAAGATAACTCACGTCCATTGTGCGGCAGGCGACTTATGCGTTGTTTAAACTCGGAGCCATCCTCGTGAGTGTCCATCACCAACACCCCAGAGTGGAATTCTAACCGCGCTTCCCAGGTCCCAATCAACCCATCATTCAACGCAGCTCAAGTGGTCTCGGCATTAAATCACCTAGCGGCTACACATATGATTGTCAGCACCGAGTCTAATCTGCCGCGAAAAGAGCCCCGGAGCAATATCCCAATCTTACAACACCTGGTTCAAGACCTTCACAAATCAAAACTGGAGTCCGCACTCGTGCCCTCCCTGAAGCATATCATCATGGTCGACAACTCCTCCGGCCGAGTTGACATCTCCGATTACAAATCGTTGACGAAATATTCCTCGGTGATATCCGGCGCAAAGGCAGATGAAGCTGCATTGCCACACCGAGACCTATCACCTCATGACGTCGTGAACATCCAATTCACCTCCGGTACCACCGCCATGCCCAAAGCAGCATGTCTGACCCATCGCTCGGTTCTCAACAACGGCGCCCAGATCGGCGACCGCATGCGCCTCACCCCGGAGGATATCGTCTGCTGTCCTCCACCGCTGTTCCATTGCTTCGGCTCCGTGCTAGGATACATGGCCACGGCAACGCACGGTTCGGCCGTCGTGTTCCCCACCGAATCATTCAATGCCCGGGCAGCGCTCACAGCCGTCCAAGAGGAGAGGTGCACCGCGCTTTACGGCGTCCCGACAATGTTCATCGAAGAACTCACCCTGATCGACGATGGCGAAGTGCCAAACGAAGGATTCGGCCATCTGAGAACAGGCATCGCCGCCGGAAGTAGCGTGCCGGCTGCCCTCATGGAGAGACTACATCAGGTCTTAAACCTGACCGAGTTGACCATCTGCTATGGCATGACAGAAACGAGCCCCGTCTCCGCCATGACGACCACGGACGACCCGATCGACAAGCGCATCAACACTGTCGGCAGACTCATGCCGCATGTTGAAGCGAAGATCGTGAACCCTGCCAATCGGAGCCAGATTCTCCCCGTCGGTGTGCCCGGTGAACTGGCGGTGAGCGGTTACCTCTTGATGAAAGGGTACTGGGGCGACCCGCAACGCACTGCGGAATCGATGATTGCCGATGATCAGGGGAAGGTCTGGATGCATGTATGTTATCTTCTGGTCCCCTCTAACCCACAGAATCCATTTCCATAGATTCTAGCCGGCTAACAATCAGCACAGTCCGGCGATGAAGCGACCATATCCCCAGACGGGTATGTGACGATTACTGGTCGAATCAAAGACCTCATTATCCGTGGCGGAGAAAACATCCACCCACTTGAGATCGAAAACTGTGTATTGACGTACCCTGGTGTTTTGGATGTGTCGGTTGTCGGTGTGCCTGATGAAAAGTACGGAGAGGTCGTGGCGGCTTTCATCATTCCCAGGGAACACCAGGATGAGGCTGCGCCTCTGACTGAAGAGAATATCCGGGAATGGGTTCGGGGGCGGTTGAGCAATCACCTTGGTAAGCCCTCAGCTTCAGTAGATTACTTCCATTTACGAGACCAAGCGCCTATAGAACTAACTTTCCTTGCTTTTACAGTCCCGAAGTATGTTTTCAATCTGGACCCCTCGACAATCTTCCCCAAGACTGCCAGCGGAAAGATCCAGAAGTTCAAGCTGAAGGAGGATGCTATCAAAATCCTCAAGGAAAGGAACTCGTTGAGCTAAGTAAGTAGTAATGGGACATACAGACAGACAATCGAACTCAAATTCTAGAAGTAGCCAGCTCAAGCGGAGAATTAACCAATCTAGACTAAAGATAAAAAATCTATTTGTCTTCTACACAAGACTTATCGATGTCCACGTGTAGGTAGCCCTAAAGAAACCATCCAATACCTTATTGAACTCCTGGAACACCCGCTTTTACCAGCCCAACTCTAGATCTAGATCCGATATAATATATGAAAATCATGAAACATAAACCTCACCTTTCCCCATCCTCCTAGCCCTTGCATTCAACCTCAGATAAATAACCTCCTGCCCAATCGCCAACACTAACGCCCCAGCCACCAACGCAATCATAATCACAAGACCAGTAAGATACCTACAAACATCAAGACCCGAAACATCAGTCTATACATCCACAAATATATAATAGAAGTAACAAAAAGGAACCAAAAACAAGAACTTACAAGGGCGAATCCCTCTCCTGAAAAATCTGCGATCCACCCATCATACCCGCATTCGAAGCCATGACCCCTAAGTTCCATATATCCATTAGTCGCCTACCTATCAAAACACCCATAGCCCACCAACCACCTCATAAACCAGACGAAGAAGAAGAAGAAGAAGAAGAAGAAGAAGAAGACACACTTACACATCCTAACAATAACAACGTCAACACCACCACTCAATTAGCCCAAACCCCAAACCCAACAAACTCAACACCCTAAACCCCCAAAAGAAAATAGAAAAGAGAAGAAAAGGAAAAAGAAAAGAACTTACGCAATAGCAATACTCCGCTCCCCCGCACAATGGCAATTAAGCTGCAACCACGTATTATGCACGGGATGATAACAAACCGCGAACGCATTAATCACAGTCCAGATACCGAATCGACTCCATTTCCCTTCTACCCTAGGAAGAAGACACCGACACACGATCAACACAATCAGATAGCATGTTACTGCGGTGATGACTGTTAGGCCGCGTTTGGTGGTGCGGTCGCTGATGTAGGAGAAGAGGAAGACGAGGGGTAGGGCTAGGGTGGCGCCGATTGCGGTCAGGGCGTTGGATTGTAGGCGGGTGAAGCCTAGGGTCCTTTTTTATTTCTCACTTTCTGTTAGGGGTCTTTTTCTTTTTCTTTTTTTTATTGGGTTATTGTGGGTTTAAGGGTGGGTAAGGAGTGTACGCACATCATGATTGTGGGAGTGTAGGTTGTTAGTGGACTCCAGGTTGAGAAGACGCAGGGGGCAAGGAGAAAATGGGGCCAGCGGCGGTAGTTGAAGAGGGCTTTCTTGATGTTGGACTTATATCTTGGGGAGGGGTGGTCGGTTTTGGAGGGATTTTCGCTTTCGCCTTTTCCTTCTTCTTCCCTTTGGGAGGTTCGAATGTGGAGGATATCTCTATCTTCCGGGGAAAAGGATATCACGCCGCGGTCTAGGAGATATGGTCTCGGGTTTGAGGGGCTTTGGGGCAGAAGTAGCAGGATAAGAATTGCTGTAGTGATGGTGAAGATGCCCTCGACTGTGTATATTAGTTGATAGGTTAGATTCGGGTTATATGGTGTGATTATTGATGGAAAGGACATTACCTAGGAAGATCCACTGCCAGCCCTTCAGGCCGTGTTTCCCATCTAATTTCAAGATTGCCGCCCCTATAAGAGGCGAGATGGCGTTTCCACCGAACATTCCGAAGAAAAAGATGCCGATTCGTTTTGCGAGCTCGGTGTTCTCGTACCATGTTGATAGTGTGTATAGGGAAGCCGGGATGTATCCTGCTTCGGCGAGCCCGAGCAGACTCCGCACGACTAGGAAGCCTGTTCGATTGCGCAGGAAAACCTGGAAAGTTGCGATGGTTCCAAATGCGAGGACTTGCGCGGGGATCCATTTATCGGGGCCGATCTGTATTTTGTGATTAAGTCATTGTGCCCGGTCAGGGAAGTATATATACGTTGTGGTCTTGAATGAAGGCGCCGTATGATGAATGTTGTTGGCAGCAAGTGACGACTTACTTTCTGCAGAACGATATTGGAAGGAATTTCCAGCACAATGATACCTAGAAACATCAATTGGTTCCCTAGATTGACTGTGCTCTGGTCGATGTGTATATCCTTGCCAAACCCGCCGGTTAGGGCACTGGCGATGTTCATGCGATCCAGTTGGAACACCGTCATGCCGAGTAGCAAGAGGGGGAGGACTGAGAGATCAATTCTAGAAAGAGTTAATAATCGCCGTATCTCTGAAGAAGTTCAATTGGTACTGACTTTCTCCGAGTCTTGTGCTCCGACACGGCGACATTCCATAACGTCTCGGTGTCACTGTTGGGTTCCCGCTCCGAATAGTTCGGCCCGGGTTTAGTTTGAGAGATAAGCATGGTGATTTACAATAGTAGGTACGTGAGATGAGGAAACCTCCCATTGATTCTAGATTTTGGGTGATCTTTTAAGGTTAGGGTCCACTGTAAAAAGCGGGATGCGCGAGTGAGGACCTTCCGGGCATGATGCAAGATATACCACGTACCTTGAGGGCCGGAGTTCAACAAGGTAGCGGGATTTGCCTGAATAGCGTCATGAAGAACCTTATCATTACATTCATGCACTAATTCCATGGCTATCTGGAGAGCTTCCAATCACTTGGGCCTCTGGAGCAAAGCGGGTCCTCATCTTCCAATCTATAGTTTACATTGTGGATGATTCTAAGGAAGAAGTCCTCGTATCTACATAATACATTATGTCCTCATTTGTGACATACAAAGCCCAGCTGCAGACAAAATTCATCAATATCATATAGCCACGAGGGTATGTGGGCCATGAATTGGCGTCATGAGACATCATCGTCATTTATAGTACCACATGATCCTGCAGTGGTAGCCAAAAAGCATCATTCGCATAGAGAAACATTGACCATAATTAAGCGCCACGGAACTGGGAACAAAGAAACTCCGTTAGTCATGTCCAAGCCATTGATCAGGGATAAACTTACCATTCGCACAACCAAATACCACAGTGCTCCGATAAACTTGAAGATAGACAATCCCGCAACACTCCAGAGGACGACTGCCATGTAGATCTGAGATCGCTTGTTCGAACCTTCATTGGTCTTCTCATTCTCATCGAAGCGGTCCAAGCCAGCTGCGCTGAGCACGACGGCCCCCAGAGCGAAGTTGCAAAACACCCAGGCCAGCACGACCGCACTTCGAAATCCCTTGTAGTAATCGGCCTGTCGTTCTTCTTCCGAGATGACCTGCACTTCCTTGGGTGGCTTCTCCGCAAACTTGGCCAACTCCGAGTCGTATTGGGCGTTCAGATCGCCATCATCCTGCGGAATGTCGACGTCCACCTTGCCGCCAGGCTTCAGGTTCGCGGAGGGCAGCTTTTCCGCCTTGTCGTCACCCTTGGTACCCCATGTGATATCGTGAGTATTGCAAAACGCGTAGATGTTCAACACGTTGATATACGTCGGAGTGAGCAAGATATATTGGATGAACTGTCCGGGTTAGAGATATCAACTGGAGAATCAGACTAAGGGGACTTACGCTGGTGAACATATGCCAGGGGTCAAAGAAAATAATCGATGCGACAAACCACATGACATACGTTGAGCCCAAGGACACAATGATCGTGAAGAAAGTCGAGTTGGTGAACAGGTCTGTGAAAGTAAAGCCACTCTGTTGCACCTCCGTCTGGATAGATCTCACCGTGACGAAAATGCAGGCAAATGCTAAGTAAATCATAATACCAATCCAAAAATAGACCATGGTCATGTAGAACTTGTTGGATCCGCCCGGGCGATTGCCTAGGGCTAAAACGAAGCACGTTACCAATGTTGCGAGGTAAAGCCACTCGAAAACGACACCAAGCACTCTACCGGTGGTGCCGAGGAGATCTTTCTGACCGAGATATGTCGTAAGAATGTGGAAAACCAAGAAGAAATTACCCTGCAATGAAAGTTAGTGTGAATGTGGCCGGTGGAAGGTAGGATGGTGCTTACAATGCCAAACCAAGCGAACAGCATGTTGATGGTTTGATAGAAAAACTCGATGAGTAACGCGAATTTCCGAATAGCCGAATGGTCGCTTCTCCAGATCTGATAGAAATGGGCGATCGCATACACTGCAGCGAAGAAACTGCCGTTCAGCCACCGACGGCGCTGAAGAATGAACTCCGCCATCCGATCCGGAACATCGGTCTCGCCAGTAGAAGACTTCACGTATTGCAGTAGCCAGCGACATTTACGCTTGGTGACAATTTCGAAACACAGAATGCGATCCTCAGCCAGGTACATATTGGCCGTGAAAATACCGGCATTGGCACCATGCATCTTTTCACCGAGGAAATACCGCTCCAACGGACCTTGGCCGTTCTTATCGTTCTGCAATGCGACATATCGGTACGCAGAAAATGCACCAGGAAGCACACTAATAAACCCAAACGCGGACTCCATCGGTTTGTCAAGGATATTGCTCAGTTTATACTCGAAGTTCTGACCAGCAACCAGGGGGTTGAGCAGTTTCTTTCCATGCGAGAGCATGACTTTGATTTCACCACAAGCCCCTCCACACATCGGCTCCACATCGAATGCCTTCCAGAGACGATAAATGGAGTCCTTGCCGGGCTTCGTTCCAGCATCGAGAAGGACACAAATATTAGGGTCCAGTACCCGGCCAAATGCCTGGAAGAACCAGCGGTGGGAGTTGATCTTCTTCTGGTTCTTTTCCTTCAGACAGAAAATCATCTGGACGGGAACGGCCGAGCGTCCCTTGATTTGGACCTGGGTTCCCTTCAGCTCGAGAGCTATCTGAGTGGTGTACTCGTAGATGTGTGCTGTCACGTCCTTGCCGTTAACTTGCTGCTTCGCAATTCCGTCCTGGTAGACTCCCAAAGCGGCCAACACCGCACGGGTTCGCGGGTTGATTTTCGCACGACCGTCGCTGATGACGCAAACCACGATCTTCTTCCATGCGTCCTTGCCCCATGTCTTGCTCTGCGTCCTGGAACACATATACTCAATGTTTTTGAATACACCAATCAACGTCCGCGCGAAAAGAAAGTCATCTTCGTTATACATCGTTACCACGATGAAGAGTTCGGTATGACGGGGCTTGGCGAACAGTTTCTGGCGCAGAGTGAAGCGCTCTTCAAAGAAGTCGTTGGGGTCACATGTTGCGGCGGAATAACGCATATGTGTGAACTCATCGCGGCCCGGAGGCTCAGCATGAGGAACCTGGCTAAGAAGTTTGGGTGCGATGGGACAATCTAGAACGAGATTACCGTTAAACAATTGCACTTCTTTGACCGTTTTCCACCGTCGGATAGGTGCCGGGCTTGGGGTATGGCCGTCCGCCGGCTCTTCCACCTGGTATTCATCACTGTAGGGATCCGGCCCGAAGGGATTGTCCTGTTGGAGCATGGGGATGCGATCATCACTATACGAGTGCTGGTTCTGGTGTTCAGGGTATTGTCCCAAGTCGTAATCATCTTGTGGCGTCGCTGTAGGTTGGTAAGGTTGAGTATAGTAGGCGTCGTGATGTGCCTCGGGATCCACCGAATATTCATATCCAGGGTAAGCCTGCGGTTGGCGCTGTTCATAGGCTTCGTTATGGCCGTACGAGTTAGGCAATCGTTCTACCGAATACTGTTTACCCAAGTTTGTCAGAATCAATACCATGGTATATGTTAATCCGAGATACTCACCGTTGGCTGCTCGGCCAGCAAATCACTCGACGGCATATGAAGACGCTCCTGTGGCCCATACGAAACATCCGAGAGCTGGTAGGCATTCAAAGGCCGACCCGGTGACGGAGACCGATTGTGCATTTGATGGGGGTTCATCATGGGAGAGTGACTATGGTCGTCCTCCCCATATGATTCTCCTGGACTAGGGCGTCAGTGTACAGGAGTCCAGCGATAGCGAGCGCAGGCGGAAACAAAAAGAGAGTGAAAACAACAAAGGACGAAAAAAGGATGCTGTCAGCTTGCGCGCCGAGGCTATAGACATTCCTCCCCCAATGTTCACAAGTTTCAGAAAGGAAATGAATGCGGAGAACGGGTCTCGGTGCGACAGCCCACAGCAACGCAATCAGAACAGCTTTAACAAGGGAAACCATACGCAATGGGAAATATACTCACCCAGGCGATTGTACGACATGATGGACGATCGTGTTTCGGGTTAACAATCGTTCCAATCGGCGAGGATTCCTCGAGCAGGGGAGTTGCGGAGAGAGATTGCGCCAGGAGCGCGGGTGGAATGCTCTCAATTCACTTTTAATGGTTCCCAGGTCGGTTTCTCGGCGGAAGTTTCACAGGAAAGTGATAGGCGGTTGACGAGATAAAAGGTGGGTACCGTTGATTCGTTGTCAACCGATGTGAGATTGATCGGTGAAACGTGAAGCACGACGAAATAGCGAGGTTAAAGAAGAAGATTGAATGAGAGGCAGCGTTTTCTTTTGACGAGTGCCTGGGAAGCAGCCGCGCCACTTTTTCTTTCCCAAGCAAAAGCAAAAGCGAAGCGCGCGAGGCATAAATGGTCTTGGCGGGGTTTACGTTTGTTGACCAAGGAACCGAGCGATCAGCGGAAGAGATTCGTGGACAAAGATAGCGAACTAATTAGTTAGTTCATGGGGAGGATCTGACTAAAGGACCAAGTTGAATGAGGTACGAATGAGATTTCCCTTTTCAGCCGACGATCGTGAAGTCATGTGGAAACATAACAAAACAAAAAAAACCACAGTGGGGCCCCCAGCCGATTGGGCGGGAGGATTTATGTTACGGTACTTACCATACGGGGTAACCTTTTTCGGATTCTTCTCGATGGTTGTTGTTATTTCTTATATCGATGATTTCCCTCTCGATAAGTGGGAGAATATCTCTTTCTCTACACGTCGGAGAATTATCAATAGAACCTTTTCTCGGATTAAAAAAAAAGGAAGGGTTAAATCTCTTTTGAAACCCAAACCCTGACAACCTTGGAGCCCGTGGATCTGTACGGAGTCCTCTGTACCTTTAGTAGAGTTGCACTGGCCCATTGGGTCGTGTCTCCACTCCCCATCACTGGGCCAACAACATCTCGTCCACAGCCACACTGCCGTGGCGGTTCCTTGGGAGCGTCATTGGAAAAAAAGGTATTATGTTTGTCAGTTCTTTTTATAGGAACTTTTTCCTGGTAGCCTAAAAGAAAGTACATTCTTCAGCCCTGCCAAAGGGTTGGCAAGGCAGGAATATTCCGTTGCCTTCACGTATGCTCTCTAACTATAGACATGCGCTAGTGTATGTATTCTAATCCGACTAACGTCATAGTATCAGCAATGGGCCGACGGGAAGCATCTGCCGGTAGCTTATACTCCCCCCAAGCAACCCCAAGCTTTTGAATCAGATTATCTCTCGATCAAGAGCCAGAGAGAATAAGTACTAAATACATATATTTCTCTAACCAGGATTTTATTGCTCCTATTTTGAAGTCTCAACAACTCATCATATTACGTGAGATGTCACATGACATAAGCTCGCTCTCCCACCGCCTAGACCAAGGGCGAATAACATTGAGTCGTAGTACACTAGACCATCTCTATGGAGTAAGCTAGGCAGAATAGGCCCAATGTAATAGGCGGTAACCTTGTATAGTTGCTTTGCCTCTGGCTGATTTGTTGGGTTGATACTTGTCAACCTCGACTGAGCCCGTAAGCACTATACCTTCATGTTGCTGGACGGCGCGGTTGCATACGCTCCGAGAGGGTGTATGAGACTATCCCTGATCTTCAATATCCTGGTAAATACTGACCAACAGATTCCCAGACGTTGAGATGGTCGACACGGTTCATCTTTTATGTCCCTCCTGCGATTTGGCTCTCGTTTTTTTTAACGTCAATTGGGTAGGGATCGGACACAAGGACAGGGTTCGTGGCATGGAGGGTAATCAGAAGCAGACTGGTCAGCGTAATGTCCATATCACAAAGAAGATACCACTCAGAGCAACTAATAACTGGGAAGTTTAACCTATGCCTAGTAGTAGCACAGGACAGAGAAAATCTCCCTGCTGGGGCCATGTAAGGTGCAGTAATTGCATATGGCCTTCATAGATATAAGCAAAATTAGTCTGATAATAGTTTCAAATAGTACCAGTGCAGCCTTATCAAACTCATCAACAAATGTTGTTTAGGTACATACCTCTCATTACGGATATGCGTCAGGTAGGGAATAAGTGTTTAAAGTAGCCATGACTAACGGCAATGTTTTAGAAGATGATGGAGAAGACATGTGCACTTACCCTGAGGCTCGGTGTTGATGGGCAACTCTGAAGTATCCTACTGCAAAGAGTACAACACACTCATCGAATGCCAGATACAACGTGGCAGACAGGCTCCAAGTTCATGACATCTAGCTACGTAGCCATAATTAGAAGTGGGACTTGATGCTCTAGTCATTGCCATGAACTATTATATTGCCTAGTCGGTTAGATCGTTAGAGCTATAGTAGGTAATGAAGTAGATCACCGTTTACGGTCACACCATGATCTACAAAGAGAGTATGAGTATGAGTACCCTAGGGATTGATATATCCTTGAAAAGCGTACCTACCAATCATGCTGAGCCTCTGCGGCATGATATAGTAGCAGCAGGGCACTCTTTGCTGCCAGGATTCAAGAAACAACGGCTCGAATGCCCACTACCGAAGATGCAGTAGTATTCCTAATGAAGCTAGACTCGCAGCTCGACCATTGCAACTGGAGACTCTTTGCCATTGGAAAGACGAAGGTCCAAGGAACCAACAATTGGCAATAATTCGTTTGGTTATGATGCAACGATTCAGGCACGTTCTCTAGCCTAATATATTTAGCCCCGCTGTTCAAGCGTTCCCACCCCGGGCTCTTTGTAATTAGCGGAGACAGGTTATATGAATTAATTATCAAATAACTCGGTCTTTTGGGTCCCAGGGTTATCAGGGCACGGGTTTAATTAAACTGGTCCCATCGATTCAGAAAATCGACCCCCACGCTCTTTTTCGAGGAACGTGGCAGTGATATCGGCCGTGGATGGCACGGTTTGAAAGAGTATCATCGCCAGATTCTCCACACATGGCAAAACAAAGACAGATACGCCATTAATCCCTTTTCAAGGGTCTCTCGTCGGGAGGCACAGATTGGGAAATAATTTCTAGGCCCATTTCTAAGATTTGTCCCTGCTGGATTGGTGAAATACAAATCCTCGCTACAAAATGCACGGGGTCTTTTGGTCGGTGCTTATACGATGAAAAGCCTTGGTGTGAGTATATACGTCTCGAATTGAATGAGCTGTGATAATGCTACACAAAATCCAGTTAATGCGTACAAGGGCACCTATCGGCCCTGTTTACGGAGTTCTCGTGGCAGAATAGTACCTCGACAGTCCCCCAAGGACTCTAGGAGTTACCTCACTGCCTGAACAGTAGTGCTTGAGTGACATGGCATGAATAGTTTACTTTTTATAGATACTTCGGCTTTTGTTTAACTGGTCTTTCCCGCGTATCGTAACATTACTATTGGATCTTTTAGCCAAACACACCTTTGACAGCCGCAGTGGGCGCCAGTCTTCGTCTCACATTCCCTGTTTTTGAACAGCCCAATGCCAACGTGGCTCCGTGTACAGAGTGCGGTGCCTGTCGATCACTATATAGACTGTTTTTGTCTTTATTTGAGTTTGAGTGCCCGATGAGGACCACTCGAAGTCTTTATTAAGGCATCACGAGTGAAATAGGTTGACTAGTCAGGAACAGACCCCGAATTAAGGTTTGGTGCCCGGCAGTCTGGCCTCAGGAACCGTGTTAGGGCACGGGTTAGCCATTTGTGACCTTCTCAGATTACTTCCACTCCATTCCACCCCAGACTTGATCAAGCCTACGAGAATCATGGATTCATTTCTTCTCTGCACGTTCGGGATCTTTGTGTGAGGTTGTGGTTGATCAATGCGTCCGTGTCTTGGGTTCTACTGTCTAAACGCAGCAATCGGTTGGTCTGTACGGAGTATCCTGAACGGTATCCGTTTCTTTGTCTTGGATATTCGTTCGTTCAGACAATCAAGGTGATGCGACAGTCTGGAACCTTAATATATGGATTTCAGCCGTGATTGTTTTCTAATCCTAACAGCCAATATGAGGTAGCGGGGTGGAATCTCTCATGAAGTAGATCGTGACTTAATCTAAGTAGTACCACTGAACTCTCATTAGGATGAATTGCATATCTAGCATGACACAGAATGGCCCGGGCGTGATATACGGTCATCTTGATGAGTTAGACTGATCAAGTAGTCAAACAAAAGGAAAGTATTACCAAAATAGAATATCCGCGAGTTCAAAGAAACATAGGTCATAATCTCAAGATACACTAAGAGACAAAAACTGAAAGATCTGCGCACATGAGACAGATACATGATGTCCAACAAAAGCACTCTCCCTAGGAGTATCAACTGCAACAAGATGATGGCAAGAATTGCCCGACATGCTCCACATTAACACTGCCCACTGTCCCTTAGGCTAATGTTAGATATGGGGCATCCAGGATAGCCTGAAGACGTTGGGGCTCATCATCAGATATACTACTGAATCCTAGAGACGTGGAGCCTGCAGATCTAATGTTAGCAACAGAAGCTAAACAAGGTAGCATTAAGTTGCCCTTACCAAGGGGAACGGGATCGGGCGAGTCAGGACCATCAAGAAAAATGGTTGCAAGCGTCATGCACGCAGGCGGGACGTTGTCAATTCGAAAGGCTCCCGGTCCAGTAGGGATGAACTCTACAGTAACATCTTTCAATTGGCCGTTGCACAGATCACCTGCTGGTTGGGGAAAGCTTGTAAAGACATCGTATCCGTGCTTCTGGGGTTTAGAGTCGTCCTCTGTGCGGTTGCTGGTATGTCGTTAGTTTCGTGCGTAGACTTCCTCTTGCTACTGATATGCTCACAGGTTTTCAGTTCCTGTCGGATGAGCAAGGCTAAATTGAGGCGCTCCGAGGAGCAGCAGTGCAAGGGCTGAGACAGATGACTTCATTTTGACTTGTGCTGGAGTCTCTTGAGGCAAAGAAAGGAAAACTGCTTCTCGATGATCAACTTTCAGCAGGGCTTGGAATTGATGATAGGCTGAGATGCTGATAAGATAAAATCCAGACCCAGAGGGGTTTATATAGACAAAGTTGGCACCTTCATTAAGCGGTCTGGGTTGACGTTCTAAAGTCTATACATTCTGTTATGACTTTTGTGGCTCAACCCTAGCCTTCTTTGTAATCTAAATGTAGAATGATGGTTTACCTTGTACCTAGCTATCATGGTGATGTCGCATTAATTGACTGCAACCTACGTATCGGCTATCTTGCAGTGGGGCACAATCATAAATGCTTGAACCTATGCTGAGGAAGAATCAAGATGCACTGTGGTCACCTAAGATGGTATCATTGCTGGTGACGTTGAGCACCATAGAAGACAAACGGGCGATGCAACCATCAAAGTTCCGACGGCCTGTCCCTGCATACGCCCCGTTTAAATGGAGTCCGGCACTCCCACTTGTGTTGTTTAGTCTGGCAGACAAAGAACATGGAAAAGGTGAAGGAAATTACTCTATTGCCGTCGATGTCGAGGCTTTCTGATAGGGTTACACTCTCACCGGGCAAGACACGGGGCGCAACTTGTGCGTGATTCAACATTATGCTTATCATATGTGGTGTCATTTTGACCCGAAATTTAGAATGAAAAACATCGCTGCTAATTTCTAGTCCTTGTTGCGAAGACTAAGTCGGGAGCTGTGGGTATAAATAGATATGGCATTTCCCCCTTCCTGCATTGTTTACTTCGTTTCCAATCAACCAACTGTTTGTCACTCTTTTCTCACAGTCATCTCGTTCATTTATTTGCTTTATCAACTTACGTTCGTTAAACGCCATTCAAGTAATGGTCTCCCGACAAATCCTGGGGGTGCTCGCGCTGGCCCTCCTTTGCCTTTTCCAATCATGCGGAGCACTGCCATCTGGATCCGGAGTTTCACTGCTTGCTTCGGGTCCCGAAACTAAACTGGAACCTCGTCAGTTTGGCTTAGGAAAAATTGGCTCTTTTATAGGCAACATTGTTGGAAGATCGAAAGGATCTGGGGGAAGCGTTGGGGGTAGTCATAAGAAGCCAGACAACCATGATGATGACAAAAAGGACGATAAGAAGGATGAAGCGCCAAAGGAACAGAAGAAAGAAGATAAGAAGGAAGAGGCACCAAAGGAAGAGAAGAAAGAAGAGACGCCAAAAGAACAGAAGAAGGAAGACAAGAAGGAAGAGGCGCCAAAAGAACCGAAGAAAGAAGATAAGAAGGAAGAGGCACCAAAGGAAGAGAAGAAAGAAGAGACGCCAAAGGACAGCAAGAAGGAAGAACCGCCAAAGGAAGGCAAGGCAGAAGACAAGAAGGATGAAGCGCCAAAGCAGCAGTCAGGACAGGGGCAACAGCCTAGACAGCAACCAGGAGACCCGACGCAGGGACAACCCCCGGTACAAGGACAGCAGCCAGGGCAGGGACAGCAGCCAGGGCAGGGACAGCAGCTAGGGCAGGGACAGCAGCTAGGGCAGGGACAACAGCCAGGGCAGGGACAACCCCCGGTACAAGGACAGCAGCCAGGGCAGGGACAGCAGACAGCACAAGAACTAGCACAGCAAGTGCCCCAGCAGCAGCAATCACAACAGCAACAAACATCGGCACAGCAAGGGCAAGGGACACCACAGCAAGTATCCCAGCAGCAGCAACCAGCACCGCAACAACAGCCAGGGCAAGGGACAGCACAACAAGTATCCCAGCAACAGCAACAACAGCCGCAATCACCGACACAACAGACATTCGGGCAGCAACAAGATTCAACACTGCCAGCACAACAAGTCCATGTCGATAATACCCCTACCAGACAAGATATCTATGGCTCAGCCCTTCTGGGAGCTGGTATTGGAGCTATTCCTGCGAGTATCAGTGCTGCGACACTTAAACATGAGAATGAACTTAATAGGGAGCAAAATGCTCAAGAAGGAGTTTTGAACAGACAACAGTCTCTCGATCTGGCTGAGAAGCAAATGCAAAGCAATAGTGGTGGCGCCACTAACCCTTCTCCTTCTCCCAGCCCTTCTCCTTCTAGCAACCCTCCTCCTCCTGCCGACCCTGTTCCTCCTGCCAACCCTGTTCCTCCTGCCAACCCTGTTCCTCCTACTAATCTTGTTTCTCCTACTAATCCTGGAAGCACTGGCTACGGCGAAGCTGGCTATGCTGGCTATCCCGGAAATACTGTCAATTCTGGTGCTGCTGGCAATTTTGGGAGCACTGGATATGGAGATGCTGATATAGCAGGCACTATTGGCACTACTGGTACTGCTGGCACCGTTGGCAATGCCGGCTATTCCGGAAATACCGCCAATGCTGGTGCTGCTGGCAATGTTGGAAGCACTGGGTATGGAAGCTCTAATACAGCAGGCACTACTGGTTCCACTAGTTCCACTGGCACCGTTGGCAATGTCGGCTATTCCGGAAATACTGTCAATGCTGGTTATCCTACCAGTACTAATCAGAAGCGAGGATTTCCACAAATTAACAAGGGCGCTCCTCGAGAAATCCAAGAAGCCTATGATTCTTGTAATAAGGACTTCAATGGTCCTTCCTATCTGATCTATTTCTATGAGACCGGCTCTGACTGTAAGTTTCTAATTTTCTCCTGGGGTACCCTCACCTATTTGCTAACAAATTGGGGTTCTAGCTATTCGATTGGATGACGTTCCTCCAACCTGCATGGAGCTCGTAGAAATCCTCTCTGGCCAACCTGAACTGGCTGCAAGCAGCCTAAAGCCAACTGTCATTGGTTCTACAAGTATTGAGTATCGTGGACTCAGCGAGCAAGAAATGGAGAACATCATGAACTCTCTACATGACTCGGAGGCTCCATAACTATGGTGATTGAGTCTCAAGACGACGCAGGAAGGACGAGTGAGGTACATTCTACTTTTATGTGTTTTGATTAATGAGTTTGTAGTACTCAGATTATTTTGATTCGATTTCGAAGGCTTTCCAAGTAAGGGTTATACCTAACAAGGCAGTTCATCGTAATTCTTGAAGGCAAATACAAGGAGTAATTCATGGATTTATATAATGTATCCTACAAACAAGAAATGCTAAGGCCTAAGCAAAGCTAGTACTAGACTCCTGTTTTATAATGATCTCGGTGGGAGCTGCTGCTTGGACTGCGTTCAAGGTTACTAAACTAGCTAGCATTTCCTCGGATGCATTGTGGTGCAATCGGATTGTTTCCAGCCGACAGTCCTGGATAGCTCTGTTCTTTAGATGATACGACCCGTTGCTAACTAGATCATGTTCCCTTCTCTCTGGCCAGGGTTCTTGTGCTATAACCCGCTCATCATCTGCCTGATGTACAGAGTTTACGTCCGGCTCTGAATCGATCCAACATTAGCGCCGTGGGCAAAGATCTAGATCCAAACCACCAACCGGACACGATTAGTTTTATAATAACGGCTTTAGTAGAAGTCATATCTCGGAATCTATCAACGACTACACATAATCCTTCATACCAACAGCAACAGCTCTCAACTCCTCACAAAAGCCCACCTCCCGTAGTTTGTTTTGTATTTTCACAGGTATAGTTCTGGTAGTTTCCTTTCAGAGACCCGGGGAACGGGATAAAACTGATCGCATCCTGGACACGATGTGCTTCTAAAACGGCCTCTGCAACCTCGAGGAATGTTTCAGACCGACCGGTACCCACATCGAAGGTCCCAGAGACGAAGGGATGGTCAAAGAACCACAAGTTCACCTTGACAATGTCGTGCACAGAGATAAAGTCTCGACTTTGCATTCCAGCTGCATAGCCATCATATGCCCCGGAAAGTTTGATTTTCGAGCCTCCTTTGAGTTGTTGATGCATTTGATATGCAATACTCGCCATCGGGCCCTTGTGTTGCTCTCGGGGCCCATAGACATTAAAATAGCGCAATCCAACGACTTGAAGACCTTTATATTCATCCACGTGGCGCGCCACATACTGATCGAAAAGGAGCTTCGAGTAGCCGTAGACATTAAGCGGGACAGGCTTCTGAAGCTGCTGGCCAGCCTTTGGGAAAGCATTCTTTCCGTATACCGTCGCAGACGAAGCATAGATCAGCCGTGACCTATGTTTCTGGCAGTAATGTAGAATTTCCTTCGACATGGTGAAATTAAGGTCGATCATGAATTTGCTATTTTGCTCGATTGTCACAGCACAGGCGCCGTTGTGGAAGATGATATCCGGAGGCGGAGACAGCGAGTCTTGAGTAATCACCGTGCGGAATTCGCCAATGTCTAAATAGTCTGCAATCTCGCAGTCGGCAAGGTTGGTGAATTTAGATCCGTCAGTTAGGTCATCCATGACGATAATATCGGTCCGGTTGTGGTCGTTGAGGGCTTTGACAAATGTTAGAAGCGATAAAGCCCATGCCGCCAGTATTGATAATCATCTTGATTCACTTCGATGGCTTGAATCAGATCAAGGGGGGTTTCTTGGTCGAACAGAACCACGAGGTTCTCACAGTCTAGTCCAGCCAGAGTCTGAACTCGTTGAGCCCCAAGAGCAAGATATCGCCGAGAGTCTTAGCTTTCTGCAAGTACTCGACGTGTCCAGCATGCAGGATGTCAAAGCAACCATTCGTGAAAACAATTTTCGCTGACGGCTAAGACTAGCGCACAGCATGAATTTCGGGCAGCAGTTGCTTGAGAGTTCGATGCTTGTGCGGGATATGCCCTCGGCCTGTCGAATTGGTTGAACGGGCCATCACAAAGTAGTTCATCCACATCAATTGTGCTGATTCCCTTCTTACCAACGGCCATAGTGCCTGCGTGGTTGGACAACTTTGCGGCCTAATGGACACAGGATCTGCAGATGGTGAGATCTCAGGTGAATACGGCAAGCACAGTATCTCCCGCACCACTGACACCAGCTACTATTTCTGCGTGGCCCGGAAAGTGTGTCTTTTGTTGAGACTCCAATTTATACAAATTAGACCGTCCTGTCCACATGTAACAAGAAGCACGGATGCCTGAATCTTGGTCATGAGCTCTCTCGCAGCCACATCGACATCGGACGGAGGGCGCAATAATCGGCCCGTGAAAAGCTGGAGCTCGCTGATATTGGGCGTCAACGGTGTGACACCGCAATAGTGGCCGAGCGGCTGAAGTTTCGTATCTGCAATGACCGTCTTTTCCAGCAATTTTGCATGGCGGATAATCGCCGTTACCAGTGACGGACTAAGGAAGCCCCATTATAGATGTTCTTACTGGGATAGGGTTATGCTCGTCATGTGCGGTGATACCTCCTCATTGCTTTTTTTTTTAACCAACCCGTGCGTAATACGTATTCCATTCTTCAAGACTGAATGGTTCTTACTCGTTCTCCACTCCGTCGTAGTACTACATATAAGGGGCCAAGCGCATAAGTTTATACTCTGTATGTATATTTCTTATGCACGGACCACTCGCTATCGATAAAGAATCTGCGGCAAACCCCGCGGCCATATTTAGTTATCCTTCAAACACCCTCAACCACTACATAGACTGGAACAAATCATTCTGCCTGTGAACACAAACCAAGATGACGGCTACAAAGACGGCACCCCCCGGACATCAAGTCAATGTCCTGTTTGTCTGTCTTGGGAACATCTGTACAGTTCGCCCTATTCCCCTCTCCGCATGGGGAACGAAAAGGAATTGAGACTAATCTCTTGATCACCACAGGCCGGTCTCCCATGGCCGAGGGAGTCTTTCGGAACATGGCTGCCTCCCATCCTCTAATCAACGAGATCGATTCCGCCGGCACAGGCGCTTATCATACCCACGAACCCCCTGATTCTCGCACCATGTCTACTCTCCGCCAACATGGAATCAAGAACTACAACCATGCCGCCAGAAAGGTCACCAAGGACGACTTCCTTAAATTCGACTATCTCATGGCCATGGATAAATACAACTTGCGCGACCTCCTGGATGTGCGCGAATCGGTCATAGCTTCCCTGAGCAAGTCCAAGAAGGGCACCCGTGCGGCGAGTGGAGAGGCAGGGGCTAAGGTTGCGGAAGTGCGGTTGTTTGGGGACTTTGGAGCCGGTGGAGTGTTGCATGAACGTGTTGGGGGTGGTGAGGTGGTGCAGGACCCTTATTATGGTGGTGTCAATGGGTTCGAGGAGGTTTATCAGCAAGTGGTTCGGTTCTCAAAGGGCTTTTTGGATTACCTAGAGCAGAACCAGGGAGAGGCAGATAACTGAACCACTATATGCGAAGGGGGCCATGCGTTTAGTGGTTTCCCCTTGCATCGGAGCGAGGTTGAGAAGAAGTGACTTAGATACCCAGCGCTTGTTGAGACCTTGATCGATTGAAGCGTGAGCCAATGCTTTGCAGGCGTGTTTTGACATCCATATAGTACATGCTAGAGACATATAGAGTGTAGAAAGAAAACAAATAGATACGTCTCCAAAGATCGTCAATGTTCACAAACCGTTAATCAAGAATATAATACATCCACTATGAGTGTGGTATCGTACAAAAGACCTGTAGCTTATGAGCGGTCTACCACCCCGTATGGTACCCCTTACCGCTCCTAAAATTATATCGAAGCTCGCTTGCTGGATCACACCTTCTCACTGATCTTGATGGCCGCCCTACACCCTAATCGGATGACACTGACTAGAGGGTCGTAGGGTCGAGCTTCTTTGGCGTCGTTCTCGACAGCATGATCCAAATGCTCTAATTCTTCGTCGCGGATTCGTCGGAATGTCGCCAGCATATCCTTCAATTCATCGTCCAGTTCTTCCCCTCTACGCTCCGCTTCTGCCTGCCACGACAGTATCTCCCGCACTTGTTCATTGTAGTGGGAGCCAATCTCCGTCTCCACGGCTTCTGTGCAGGCCATGGCAGCCTCACGTCCCATTGCTCCAGTCGACCAGCCGAGAAATGTTGCCGCTACCTCCCATATCGGATACATCGCTGTTGGCCGAACTTGATGTTTCGCAACCATCTGATTGAACGTCGAAAAGTGCCCAGCTTCTTGATCATACATGTGCTTCATCAAAGGACGCAGGTGAGGATGGGAACGCACGACCTGCGGCGTTTGCGCCTTGTAAATTAAAGTAGCTGCAAGCTCTCCCGCCTGGTTGACCCGAAGTGCACTATCCAAGAATTCGCGTTGTTTTTGACTGAGGACATATTTGGGTGTTGACGAAGTTGGAGCTGTGTCAGGCGATGGAGATGCATCATGCGATTTCCCCCAGAAGGGGGTCTTTGCTGTGGATTGGTATCCGCGAGAGCTCTGTCGCAAAGTTGACGGCGCGAGGAAATCGAACACCAACGGTGATGTTGGCCGGCAGGAGTGGGTAAGAGACACCCGCTGGAGTGCTGCGACGGTCTTCATCTCGGTCCGATATGAGATTGGGGAAGAGTGAGTGAGTATTAGGGAAGAGATAAGAAGAGGAGAGGATAAGAAAGTAGGTAGAAATTCACAAAAGACGGACTAAGGACATTCCATCATTCCGAGGTGGTCCAACCCGATCGAACTACTACATTTAATTTATTCCCGCAGACGCGCGCTTAAAGGCCCGAAAAGGGCTTGGCACGAACGGACGTCATGCCGACCCGCGACTCAAGTTAGTCGCTTCTTTTCACTTCCAAGTTCAAAGTCAACTTCTTCTTCAACCCGCCACCCGAACTGCTCACTTTGCCGGTGTTCTTATATCATTGTTCCTCTATAGCCCGTTCTTGAACGGCTCCTCCTTGTACGAGTCATCTATAATTCCTATATACGACCATTTAATACGATTCTCGAATACGCTCCGGCCCGTTAGACCCTCGTTCATTGCGACTATCGCCCAGGGGTCGTCCATTCATTATTCTGTCACCAAAATCCTCCGCCTGAGCCGGCACGTTCCGTCGCTGATAGGCGCTCTTTTCCGACGTACTCAGCCACCTCACTTTTCAGGCATCTTTTGTGTTATTCACTATGGCGGATGATCTTGATGCCGAGCTGCTCGCTCTTGCGGGTGACACCTCAGATGAGGAGGCGTCTTCGCCCCCCAGGCAGAAGGATGCTTCTCCTTCTGCATCTCCCCCACATTCCCCTGAAGGGTCGTCAACCATGGGTCGCAAAGGAACTGCTAAGCCCGTGCGTCGGGGTCGAAAGTCACGGAAAGACGATGAGGAAGACGGAGAGGTGTATGTTCAAATTCTTTCTCCTTTTTCCTTCTCCTGACAGAGAGCCTGATTTGGGGTCATATCGTGGTACAATACGGTGACTGACATAGTACTTTGACTAGGTCCGCGGCTGAATCCCACAACTCTCTTGACTCGGCCAGCATGGTTGAATCGGAGTCGGCCTCTGATTCGGAAGGGTCAGATGCCGGTGCTGAAGACGAGGGACCCATCTTTCCTTACGACAAGTTATACTATTCCTCCAAGGACAAAGAAGAGATTATGGCGATGCCAGAAATCCAACGAGAGCAAATTCTCTCCGAACGAGCGCAACAGGTTGACCGCCACAATCAAGATCTAGCCCTTAGGCGCCTTTTGGCTTCCCGTGAGCGTGAAGAAGCCCGCCAAGCGAAAAAGAACAAGCGGAAAGCCAGCATGGCAAACCTGGAGGATGGCCAACGGAAGAGCTCGCGCCAGAAGACAACTCTTGGTGGTCGCAAGGTCGGCGAGACCTCCGATGCTATCGAGGCCTACAAGCGACAACGTGAGCAGAAGGGCAGACGGGATGAGCTTCGGCGCCGTGAACCGGCATCCAAGGATCACACCGTTCGTTCGAGGGATAATAGGGTTTCAGACGAAGACGCGGAAGGAGAGAGCGATGCGGAGTGGGATGATAGAGATCGCTCGCCATCGCTACCCAAAGATGATCCGCCTGCTGAGCTGAAGGATATCCAGCGAGCTCGTGTAGGTCGGACCAATTTCGCGCAGGTCTGTTTCTACCCTGGATTTGACGACGCTATCTCTGGCTGCTACGCACGAGTCAACATCGGCCCGAATAGGGAAACTGGCCAGAATGAGTATCGGCTTTGCCTGATTAAAAGTACGTATCGCCAATCTGTCGTCGACTATATTTTGAAACCTGTTTCTAATCAGCCTTAGAATTCACTGAGGGTCGTCCGTATTCTATGGAGGGGCCTAATGGCCGGTCATTCGTGACAAAGCAATATGCTGTGCTTGCGCATGGGAAAGCGGAGCGGGAGTTCCCTTTCGTTGCTTGTTCAGACTCTCCGTTTACTGAGGTTTGTTTCATACTTCTTTGTGCAATCCAACTCTCTAACACTGTTGCAGGCGGAATTCAATCGTTATCGTCAGACCATGGCGGTTGAAGACTGCAAGATAGCTACAAAATCCACGCTAGCCGAGAAGGTGGTGGATATCAACCGGTTGTTGAACCATAAGTTCACCCCGGAAGAGTTGACTGAAAAACTGCGAAAGCAAGGATCACTGGACTCCAAGTCGACTATTTTCAAGCGCATCGAAACCGAAAAGAACCTGAAGCTTGCGAAGGCTGCGGGCGACGATGCTGAAGTTGAGAGATTAGAGTCCGAAATGGCCAGCATGAACACACCAAAACTTGCTTTCAACGCGAACTCTTCTAAACCCCGTGCAGACAAGCCTTCAGAGCATGAACGTTTGTTAGAGCTGAACCTCCGCAATCAGAGACTCAACACCGAAAATGTGCGCCGTGCTCAACTGGAAGAGAGAAAGGCCAGCCGAAAAGCCGCTGCAGCAGTCGCCCGCGGAGAAGCTCAGCCAAACCCGTTCATGCGTGTTAGAACACATGCCAGGACACATTACGACTCCAACGGCAATGCTACAGCACAATCAGAAGCAACTAGTCGAGATGGAACCCCTGCCACTGGGTCCGACACGCCCTCAAAAGTAAACACCCCCAACGGAAGCAACACCCCCTCTGGCTCCCAGAAGAAACCCACCAAGGGTGGCGTCGCAACAATCCGTCATCGCAATATGGACGATGAGAACATTGCGGCTCTAGATTTGGACCTTGATATTGAGATCTGATCCTCGGCAATGCCTTGCGACATGCCGCTGTTCATGACCTGTATTTTATCCTACGTACAGCTCTGTTTATTGGATAGCCAACGATTCCTTGATGACGTATAGACTCTTGGAGATTGGGCCAGCAACAATATCCCTCTCCCCAACCGCAAAGCATCTGGCACAGCGTCGGTTCTTGTATTTGAAAACGGATGGAGTTCACTTGGCGTTACATGGCCCTACTACCAATATCTTGCATGAACATGTATTATTGAACTATTATTACCTACTTTAAACCTGAACTCCAAGCATATTACCATTGTCTGTCACTGTTCATATAGCGAGATGTCTCTGAATAATCTTCAATAAAAGACTCAATATCCAAAGCCCTTTTCTTTCCAGTGTTACATGAGAGTCTCCGATGAAGATAGGGCTCTCCACATATCACGTGTGATAAGGGGAATGTGACGGCAATCGGAGGATACGCGCTCAACACGCGGCGCGTCGTTCACGCCCTAGATTGACGACATTTGCTCCATAGCCCACCCTACATTTTACCCCCTCCTATGACCAAAGATATTCCTCAAAACCCTACAATTAAACACTATAGTAATGATACCATTTCCAGCTACCAACCAATAACGCCAACTCTTACATACGACGCAACCATGTCGACCCCCTCCACACCGCGGACGGCGCGTTCCGCGTCACCAACAGCCAACTCACCACAGATGCTCACCCCAGGGCAAAAGATCAAAGCTATGCTCGCCCAATTCGACAGCGACTCAGACTCAGATAATGGAAATCCACAGCCCCAAAGATCCATCGCAAGAATCACCGACAATCACAATAACAGCACAGGCTCGGACCACCGACCCACCATGGATTTGGATGATGAGGCTTCAGATGAAGATGACGATATTATTATGCCCAAGGGCCGCATGGCTGCTCGACTGCAGGCTCAGGATAGTGAAAAGAGCGAATCGGCATTTGATCGAGTGTCGAAGAGCTTGAAGAACGCACAGCAGGAAAAACGCGATTCAGAAGCCGATGAGGCGATGTCCGAGGACAATGACGAAGACGATGATGATCTTCCTGTGGCTGGTCCATGGAGAAAAGCTAATAATAGGGTGGTTGAAGAGCGTGAAGAGAGTGATACGGATGCGTCGCCGTCCCGTGCGCGCGCGTTTTCGCCTCTGTTCGTTTCTTCCCCGACTCGTGATAATGCTGAGGACCAAGACGGAGCGGATGGCTCGGAACAAGATGAGCCACTGCCGAAGGCGAATTCCCGGTTCCTCGCCCTTGTTGCTCAGAAACGCAAGGAGCGCGAGGAGAAGGAGAGAATTGAAAATGAGAAGAAGGCCGCGAAGGCGAAGCAAAGGGAGCAGTTTAGCTCGGAGATACTCTCTGGTGATGATAGTGAAGGGGATGACGAGTCGGAACGGAAATTATCACAACCTGCGCGACCTGCGCGAAAGGCCAGTAAGAAGGCCCTCGAAGAGATGAACCGGGAAACCCAACGACTCAGCAGAAGTATGCAATTGGTCCATCAGGCCCAGACCAAGAAGAAAATCAGCAAAGAAAGCTTTTTTGCTCGATTTACCTTTATGCAGCCTGATCAGCAAAATGCCTCGGGGTCTGCGCCGGATAACTCGTCGACTACCGCTGATTCCCAGAATTCGTCCGATGCTGAGGCTCAGAAGAATAAGGAAACACCGCATACTTCACCAGTTCTAGGTCCATCTGAGAAGCCTTCAACTGGCACTGATACCAAGGAGGCGTCCAAGGAGGCTTCAACCGAATTCCCGACATTAGAGGAAATGATCGCTAAAGCGCCGCAGCAATCAGAGCAACCCATTGTTGGCCGCGTGGAAGAACAAGCGACGGATAAGAAACCTCAGGCAGCCGAGAAAAAGAAGCAAAAGAAGGTTCTAACAATGCCACCTGTTCGCGTTCGCCTTTCTCGTGAGCAAGTAGCTCGGAACCAAAAAGATGACTCCGACAGTGATTTGGAAATTGTTACATCTCCCGCCAAATGCCGACGATACGCGGTGTTTGAGAACCTTCCCATGAGAAGACACCAGGAATCGGCCACTATGTTGAAACTGAAGGCACTGGCTCAGCTCACATCTCCGAAGAAGAAATCAGGCATGAATTATGCCGAATTAGCCGCCCATCTCTTACATCAGGCGAGGCAACAGGCAAGCAAAGAGAGGATGGAGCGAATTGAAGAGCTGAGGGCAAAGGGTGTCATCATTGAAACGGCCGATGAGCGGGCTGCTATGGAAGATGAATTAGAGAACCTTGTCGAAAAAGCACGGAAGGAAGCCGAAGAAATCGCAAAGAAAGAGAAGGCAGCAGCTAAGGGTGAAGAGAATGAGGATGGTGACTACGAATTCTCCGGGTCTGAGGAGGATGCTGACGAGGCTGACGAGGACGGAGAAGATGACGATGAAGAAGAGGAAGGTCACGAAGACGGCGAAACGGAAGGTGGCCTATTTGACGCCGAAGCTGGCGAAGATGAAGCATCCGATGATGACCAACCCGAAGTCATGTCATCCGAAGAGACCGGTTTGGTAACCCAGAGACGGAAACGCCCGACTCGAGTCATTAGCGACGACGAGGACGAGCCTCCCGTACCTAAGACGCCTGCAAAGATGACCAACCCAATCACAGTACAATCCGTGGAGCGCCCACATATTCCTGGTTTGCCTTCTGATGACATGACTATGAGCTTAACCCAAGCATTCGCTGGAACTTTGGGCGATAATCATGCGGACAGCCAAGCAGGATCTACAATCCCTCATTCGTTGCCTGACCCAGTCGATGGTCGACGAGATTCAGATTCGCAGGTGATCATCAAGGATAGCCAGGAACAACGGCCTGAAAGTACCGATTTACTAGCAGGATATGCACAGTCTGAGATACGGGTTTCTGAATCACCTGCTCCACGAGGAATGTCTCAGTTTTCTCAGATTCCGGACCCAACACAGGATGCTGGGTTTGTGTTATCACCATATGATCCCTCGAAACGATTCATGAGTACCCCTGCGTCTACCGTGGAGACTGTTCTCATCAACCGGAACGAGTCCCGGAACAACTCACCTACTGTTGAGCGGAAGACGAAGCATCTGCATCGGGGACGAACAATTGAACTATCCGCTATTGAAGAGCAAAGTGAAGGCGATTTTGAGATTGATGCCAGTGCATTCGACGTCATGAAGAAGGCAGTCAAGAAAAGGTCTAGTGTCCCTTTTGATAAAAACAAGAGTAAAGCGAAGGATGTGGTTGAAGAAGCTGCGGAGGAATCAGACGACGAATATGCTGGGCTTGGTGGCGCGAGCGACGAGGACGAGGACGTGGAGGATGCATACGATCGACAGATGATTGACGATAACAGCGGAGAAGCTGCCGACGAGAAACAATTGGCCGCTCTCAATGCGTATGTGATGCCATCCTGGATTAATAACGATGAGAACATATACTGACCTTTCCACAGACTCCATCAGAGAAATGCAGATGAGAAACAAGTAGCCAAGCTTCTTAAAGACATCACAACGGGGGCCCTTAGACGGCGCAGAGGGGGCGATGATGAATTCGACTTGGACGATTCTGATGATGAGCTTCTTGCGCGTCGGCGAGAGAAACAGCGAGAATTTGCACGGATGCGAAAGGCACTCATGGCTGACGAGAAGATTGGTGAAATTGCCGAGAACCCGAAGAAAGCTGCATTCTTCAAGGCTGTTGAAGATCGCGATATGGACGACGACGGCCTCGATTTCTTAGAACCCGAGGAGAATCCTGACTTCCAAGGGGAATCATCATCGCAAGACGTGATTCCAGACTCACAGCCCGATACTACTACAACTAGCGATAGCAACAAGAGGAAGAGGCCCCTTGAACCTTCAGCTGAAGATATCAATAACCGACCTCCGCCTCATATGCGTCGCAAGCCGGCAAGTGTCATGTCCAAGAAGCCAGCTAACCTTGCTGAGATCCGTGAAACCCTTTCCTTCCTGACTGAAACTCCCGAATATGACTCTTTCCACGAAGATGCCACTGTCGATGACGATGAAGAGCAGGACAAGGCTATTGAAGGTGAGGCAGCGGATGAACAGCCATCCAATAGCCAGTCCACGGAAGAATTTGTTGTCCCACGGCATCCACGCCGGACAAAGGGTCCTGTCGTAGATCGACTTGCTCTGCTACGGCAAGCATCGTCTAACTCCGCCACATCTGGTTCCTCTAACTCTCGATTTGCTTTCCAAACTGGCTCTGGACCTGACCCCATAGGATTCCGCCCACCCTTGCTTCGAAGGACTACGACGGGCTCTTCTTCCACCAGCAGCTCTTCCAAGTCGGACACGTCGCGACGCGTAACCAAGCCTGCATCAGGTGCATCGGTTGCCAAGAAGGGTGCCGTTAACTACTACACGGCCGCGCGAGAAAAGGAACGTGAGAGGGAGCTTCGGGCCAGGACCCGTAATACTGGCACCAATATCACCGCGTTAGTGAACAAGCATGCTAGTAACCGACTCGGCGCTCTTGGCCAAACAGGGCAATGGGACTAATTCAAGGAGCCTGGCGGGCACTTTCTGTATATATTGTATTTGTTTTTGATGTCAGGCGTTCTGGAGCTGGGATGTTTCGCAGTCACGGTCATGAATGATAACATTAGCTAGATATTTCCCCGAAAACGGGTGGCTGGGCGTGAATGGGACTGATTTGCATCTCAATTGATATAATTTGTCCCACATATTTGACTCTTGTCTTGTCAGTCAGCATTCAACGGTTTCTGGGTGCTTCTTCCAAAACGTCTAAAACCTTAATCAACCCTCCTTCAGTATATACCGTGGGTTAAGTTTACAGATAGAGTAGCCCCAATGGAGTGAAGAGACCTCCATACAATCATACCAGAGTACCCAACACCCTCGAATCAATGATAAGCCTCCAGTAAAGGGACCAAATCCACAAGCGACCGAATCACATTGGCATCGCCATGACCACTCCTCGCATCGTCACCACGAGCAAGGAAATACCCATGCCAACCAGCCCCAACAGCAGCCCTATAATCCTTCTCCAAGTCATCCCCGACATGAACACAAGTCCAGTCACCAAGATCGTCACCCGGAGCCAAAGCCTTCGCCTGCCTCCTTGTCACCTCAAAGATCCTGGGACTCGGTTTCTCCACTCCAGCCTCGTAGCTCGTAACAACCAGATCGACATCATTGACGCCGCCATTCACAGCTGAACCCTCTACTACCACCCCCGAAGACGACCTTTCTTCAAACCCCGACAACCGCATACTATCCACGCCCTCGTCAGCCCTACAATCCCCAACCCGCAACCCCAACGACTTCAACACCGCGGGCACCCGATCATCCGAGTTCGAAACCACCCCGATCACCACCCGATCAAACGGACCCAATC